CATACAAATATATTTATAGATTCACCTTGACCTTCCGACTCAACACTGACCTCGTCCCGTGGGAAAGCAACGCGATGTTGAGATCCAAGTAATACGTGTATTTGTGTATTCAGGTACTTTTCAGTGGTGGTAATATCACGCTGTGTGTATATGGCTGGTTTGATAATTGTGCATACTTATAGAAGTAAGTGATTGACTGTATTATCTACCATAATAAAACAATCGGTAATAAATCATACATCCCACAGCGCATGCGCTGCACGAGCTAGCACCGTGAACATTTGATGTGGTTTTAGGTGTTCGTTATTGCCAAAGATTGCGTAAACAACTGTGTCAGAACACTATTGGTAGCACTTGTAATTAAATGTGTATTAAAGACAAACGGTTAATACTCGCTTATGGAAACAGAGGGGAAAACATAGCAAAACAGCTCAAAAACTCTTCAGTGCCAGACTAACAAGGAGTAACTTAGTTCGGACAGACACTGGCAAAATTACCGTCGCCGAGCCAGACCTTTACATATCGTCTTCAAAGACGGCCATCCTAGTAAACACTATATAGTCAGATTCTGAAACTGGGTTTGTATTGCGGCGGAGAATGTGTCTCGGATGCAGCATAAAGACGCTAAAACGATATGTATGACGTCATGTCTAAATTACGTAGACTTAAATAGAGTTGTCCTTTCTTGATGATTTCTGGGCGTTCTTTTCACACTGATAGAAAACTATTTATAAAATATTTCGGAATGTATATTATTTCCTCTCGGCATAAACATTAAACACTGTTATCACGTTTTCCTTATTTGACATGAAGACTCACGTTTACACGTAAGTCGACCGGATTGGTGAAGGTTTCGGCTTGTAGTGTTACTTATATCGTGCAGCCACTGAGTAAGCCCGACAAAGTACTGTTTGTGTTGAAGAGATCGTCTTTGTCAGTCCGTGGTGTACTAGCGATTAACCGTGAACTACTACTGCCCCTGCCGTTTATCGTGTACATTCAATTGGTCAGCATCCCGGAGATCTTGCGATAACCCAATTCTGTTTGATCTCAATACTGTCGCAGTGCATGCCGGAATTTCGAGTGGGCAAGGGGCCGCCGACTACCGACTTTCTTACCCGCATACTCGAACTAAATAATGAGTTTTACGCAAATTATCGTTTCATTTACATCATGCGTGGCGAAACCTCACGTTATCATGATGTGTGACAGGTCTACACATGGTTCGTTCATCACTTATGACGGGGCCGCACATTTTCACCATGCGTGGCGAGACATAACGTTATCATCACATGAGACGGGTCCACATGCTTGATCATCACTTCTGACGGGCCACTTATTTCCATCATGATTGGCGAGACATGACTTATGAGGAGACATAAAATGATCGTCATTCTGACGAGGCCGCACATTATTATCAAGCGTGACGAGACCTCACATTATCTAGACGCATGACGGGTTCGCAAATTACACTTCTGACGGGACCGCACTTTAGTGTAGTGATCACGTCTGACGGGACCGCACGTTAGTGTAGTGATCACGTCTGACGGGACCGCACGTTAGTGCAGTGATCACTTCTGACGGGACCGCACGTTATTGTAGTGATCACTTCTGACGGGACCGCACGTTAGTGCAGTGATCACTTCTGACGGGACCGCACTTTAGTGTTGTGATCACTTCTGACGGGACCGCACGTTATTGTAGTGATCACTTCTGACGGGACCGCACGTTAGTGTAGTGATCACTTCTGACGGGACCGCACTTTAGTGTTGTGATCACTTCTGACGTGACCGCACTTTAGTGAAGTGAGCACTTCTGACGGGACCGCACGTTATTGTAGTGATCACCTCTGACGGGACCGCACTTTAGTGTAGTGATCATTTCTGCTGGGCCGCAAATTATCGTCACATGTCACGAGACCATTTTTTTGTTTTAAGTGTTGGCACTCATAAGAAATCAACTCAAGCTTCCTAAATGTACAGTCGCTTCCGTCTTTAAACAAATCAATGTAATGGATAATTTGGATCATATCTTTCACACCTGACTTGGACGAGTCGTTCGGGATCTGCACCAGCATGCGAACTTCATTTTACTTCATGTTATCAGAGAACCCACCACAGCGAAGGGAATATATTAGTCATAAACTTATATTAATAAGCGACATGTACACCTGCTGGACAGGTGAGCGTGTCATTGGTGCTTTCCTTAATATCGAGGTTTCTTGTAAATACATAGAGGTAAATATAAAAGTTCCTAATGAAGAAGTATTCAGTCTTACATAGATGACACAGTTCAACATTAGTACTACCCGTGGAAGGTGACTGAATGACGGCGCCATTTATACTTAACTTCATTAATTGTCTGTTTCGTAAATCCGGCATCCGTCTGCGCTATTTCGACATTTCCCAATCTACCAGACTGAGTTTCGGGGTTTTTTTTATCAATTCTTTACTGTCTATTTGCCAGAAGTCAATGTTTTATGTTGCTACCAGTTAGAGGTGTCGCTACTTGGCATCCATTACATAATGACTTTGTGGTAGACAGACGCCGAACCATCTCGGGTCTAGACGTTAGCGAGAACCTCCGGCTGTAATGGATGACTACAGGGCCACGAAGTGGGACCCTGTAATGGATGGCCTAAGGGCCATGGAGAGAGACCAAGTAATGGATTGGATTAGGGCCATGGAGAGAGACCCAGGGGTCGTTGAGAGAGACCCTCGGTATCGATAGTTTATTTTTCCGTTAATAAAGCTATCCAGTAAGGCTGTCACATAGAAACCGTACATCGACAGATAGCTGGCGGTTAACGAGAAACGACAATTATGTGTTAGGTAACAATGCACGTCAATGCACGCACGACCAAAGGCCATGGTGTAGATATTACATAATATCTCTGTTTTTTTGTTATTGGCCAAAGCAGTTCTTCTAAGCATTGTACTTTATTTGTGGTTTTGATTGCCATGGGAACGTGACGACCCCAAGAAGTATTCACACATGTTATGACGACATCGGATATGACCTTATATTATCAGCAGCTACAGATATTGATATATCTACAATACAGACAACAAAATGCAAGGTGTTGTACTGCCGAGGCAAAGTACTATGGGGTGATCACGGGTGTTATGGGAGTGTTGACGATGTCGTTTTGGGATCACTTATGATGTCATAATGATGTGATAGATGGTCTGGAGTACATTGTTATAGGGTGTTTGAAATTAATGGTTAGAAAGGCAACCTTTGTTTGTGAGATAATCTAGAATGCCTAGTGGATGAAGTGCAACTAAGTTTGTTTAAAAGAATGACCTTGACCCACTTACAATGTCACATGTATCAAATATGTCAACATCTTTTCAATAACCACAAGGTACAGGGTCATGATATTGGGCCAGTAGCATGCTGGTATGAATGACATGTTTGTTTAAATGAATGACCTTGACCTTCATTCAATGTCACAGAGGTCAAATATGCTAAACTACAACAATATAGAGTGTCAGGTTTGTTAAATTGAAAATGAAACCTTTAAACTTAGACCAAGAAAAACTTTGTAAGTATGCATATATCAGTTTTTATCTGTCTTTCCAAATTCTGGGATTGATGGACATGTTCTAAAACAGTCTAAAAACCTGAAGACCTCAGGTGACCATTAAAGCCCATGGCCTCCTGGGTGTTTTAGATTTTAATTTTCATATGTAAGTTTCCCTTGTATGATTTCGTTATCATACCCTGTATAATTAATTCGCATGCTATTCGCGTGGTGTTCGTTAAAATTAATGCCCACATTAAAACATGAGTAGCTATTTCTAAGTTGCTCACGTATTTTTAGACTGACAGGTGAAAATATAATAGTTGTTACCGAAATGCTTTGCTCTCTTTCATATATCAGTAATACACATAGTTGATAACACTCTACAAAACTGTGAGAATATATCTGTGACATAATGGAGCATTCCATTGCCAAAGTACATACTACTCATCAGCCAGAACAAACGGGTTGGGTTACACAATGATCTGTTTTCCAACTTACTTGTCTCGACTCTAGGATGCACTTTGTCATGATTTCGTTTTTCCCTCGCTTATAATAATAATCATTGGAAAAAAAACATAAAAAAATTTTTCTAATAGAATTAGAATTGATTGGAAATGTGTTATTAAAGTGATTACAAAAATTGAGACTTCCCTCTCCCCCTCTTCCTCTTCGTTATCTCCTCTTTCTTTCTATTTACATAACACGTAACCCACGGGCCGAGTTGGCCTCTCACCTTGAAGCCCCCGAGCCTAGTTTATCAGTGAATTTAGACATCTCAATATACTTTGATGTCTTGCCTGGTTAGCACGGTCCCGACAAGCGTTATCGGAGAGAGAGTATATGCTGTGCTTATATACATCGCCCAAACCGCTCCGTATCCCAGTCGAGAGTTACGATTGGATTTAGTAGCCGTACTGATACAGACGATTAACGCTCTAGTTCTGGGACGCTGGAGACTTTCATAACTACTAATTGTGTTTCGGGGATATATGATTGTGTGATATGATTGTGTTACGTTATGTACAATCACGGCTGGCATGCGAGTGACCGAGGTGGACAATCGGCTCATTAGGCGCAGGTTCGAACGCGTGGCCAAGAAGTGAGTGTAAATGAGTTACACCAATGCCGTCTCGTGTGGTGTGGACATCTTTGGATCATTTGTTTTTGTTATAGAAATGGATACTATATTTTTTGTTTTGTTTTAGAAATGTCAGAATTTCACAGGTTTTCTTTGGAATTTTCCATTATCGTAACTTTTGCATTTTCTTTACTATGCATTGTCAGTCACATGGGCTTAGGAACGCACGGGGATACTCCTGGTTTTACCGATAATAATGATTTCGTTTTCATATTCAAAATTTTATATCCGAATAATTTTCAATGAAAATTGTTTCTTTATTTCAATGTTAAATTTTACTGAATTTGGTTTGGTAAGTGTTCCTATTTATTAGACTCGGGTTTTCTATTTCAGCGTCCCGACCTTTAAACACCTTCCAGAGGAATCACTCAGTAAGATCGCAGACGTTCTCGAAGAGGTAAGTTTTACGTAATTAATTTTACACGTCGCTATTTTGTCTTAAAGACTGTTTTGTCGTCACAAGAAACAGAAATGGGATTAGATCTTCCCGATTTCTATTAATCTTCAACAACATCCTTGTGAACGAGCGAAAATATGTTTTGTGATTATACATCTATCTTTAGCTAGTTTTGTAGAAAATTACATATATCTACTTATAACTATTTATAATCATAAACACACAGAGTATCTGTTAATATGAGGGTTATGAAGGAAGGTAAAACGCCTCGTTAGACTTTCATAATCAAATGACAAGGCATTCTTCCAATGCTCACTTTTGCAGTCAGCGTCCTCTGTTAGGTTGCACAAAACTCCGCCGAATTTACTACCCTTTCTTGTTTTGATCAGCCACTTTTTTTTATTTGCTGGCCTCACATTTTTGTCTTTTTGATAAACCTTACTGGTCTTGGTGATCAACCTTTCGACCATTGTTTCTAGTTTCGTTAGCCACTGTTTCTAGTTTCGTTAGCCACTGTTTCTTGTTTCGTTAGCCACTGTTTCTTGTTTCGTTGGCCACTGTTTCTTGTTTTGTTGGCCACTGTTTCTTGTTTCGTTGGCCACTGTTTCTTGTTTTGTTGGCCACTGTTTCTTGTTTCGTTGGCCACTGTTTCTTGTTTTGTTGGCCACTGTTTCTTGTTTCGTTGGCCACTGTTTCTTGTTTCGTTAGCCACTGTTTCTTGTTACGTTGGCCACTGTTTCTTGTTTTGTTGGACCCTGTTTCTTGTCTTTGCGCTCACTCTTTCTTGAATTTGTGGCCATCATTTATTGTGTTCGCGACCACCATTTCTTTATCGACCAATATTTTTATTTTGACCACGCATTCCAGCCATTTTTTTTCTTATACCATTTCAGAGTAGCTTTATAAACATTTATTTGCCCCTTTTGAAATATGTTGATTTTTAACACGTTCATTTTATCGTCTAAAAGTGGCTAAACTGACCGATTATTTTCAAATTTTGATGGAAGAAAACATTTTTCAGTGAGATTGATAGTATGACTTTTTACACTATATTGAGAATATTTATCTCTAAGAAAAGCAAAATGGAAGTATGTACATTAATTTGCATATACTAAAAATATCTTCACATTTTTTCACAAAAAGAGCGAATTGAAAATATGTTCACATATTTTGTACAAGTGGAATATATTGATTGAAGTTACCATTTTCAGAGAAGAGCAATTTTAGAATGTTCCCAGACTTAATCAGACAGAAGCATATATTGAGCTTTTTTCACACAATAGAGTAGATTGATGAAACCTCGCTCTAACACTTGCCAGGTGTAGTTACACATTGCCCACTATCTTCTCACCCTGCTCAGACTTAAGTAAGAGGAACAAAGTGGAGATTAAAATCTCTCTCACCGTCGTGAGATAGGGCCCGATAACCTGGAAATTATGTGTTCTCTGGGAACAGTTTGATGGTGTCTGGGCGTGGTACCGACTGGCCGCGGTAGAGGGGAGCGTGTTGAAGTGAATTTTACTAAAGAGAAGTATTTGAAATGATAATTAATGTTATTACATGCACTGTATTACCTTAAATTTGTGTCGCCCTGATGCAAAACTGGAATTCTAATAAAAAGTAATCAGTAATTACTACTACTCCGTGTGTAATCACCATTCAGACACGGCGCGATCTCTATTTACACTCTGTACTAAATGCCTCGGCATGTTACCCGTACGATTGTGAAAACATACAACTTAGAAATCGCTGTGCTCTGTGTAAGTTCGGACTTTCTACACTTGAAGGTCAGACATGCTTACCTTAATTCACTTTATCAAAAAGCAACTCCGATCTTTCTTGACTTTCTTTATACTCAGTCAGGATGATATTTCAGAATTTATAACAAATGCTGACATGATCTATGTTGATTGACTTAACACCAAGTCAACGAGATCTTTAAAAATCACTTTACCCAAATTAACAATGTCTTTATGAACAAACGTTACCGAAAGACAGTAAGATCTGTATGATTTACTGGAGTATAATAAAGTTAGCACTTCAGAAAAGTAATTTTGTTCAATCGGTTTTTATTCCTTGGAAATAGAATGTTTTACACTATGGTAGAAGTAAATAGGTTTTACTTTATGTAAAAATCCATAAGTTTAGGTAGAAATCAATAAGTTTATTCTGTTGGTAGAAATCGATACGTTTTTCTTTGTGTAGAAATAAATAAACCTACATTACAGAAAGCAGAAGTTTGTATTTTCAACAGCATCTGCTGATGTAGATAGAAATGTAAACAGACTTAATATAATGTCCCGTATTTACCGAATCTGTTATTTACATTTGATATCTGTAAACAAAAACACGGCTATAAAAAGATGATAAGTGCAAACATTATCTGACATGCGTGTGCTTTTTCATAAAGAAGCATGATTTCATAGCTAACTCCGACATTAATAAATAGGTTTTAAATCTACAAACATCCATATGTCGCAAACACAGATAAAACATTAGTAAATTTTATAGATAAATAACACATCGCTTATTTGTAATAGTATAAACACAGACATTTGTTTTATAGCCGGCCTGGGATGTTTTAATAGTTTTAAGGCGGTGGTGTGTTTAATAGATCTGAGTTGGAAGAGTGTTTGATAGTTTCGAAGACTGATATGTGTTTAATCTAAATAGTGTTTACGACGGAATTGTGTAAGTTAATAATTTCAGGAAAGGATGTGTATTTCATAGTTCTTAAAACGGAAAAGTATGTGATAGTTGTAAACTTTTTTTTGTATTTTTTGAATAAGTAAAGATACGTGTGTGTAGGACAATGACGCAAAGTTATATAAAAGTTCTAAAGGCGCAAACCTAATGATTTTAGAAAATCTTAACCTTATATCAATATGATTTTAAAGACACAAATATTTTGCTGAGGCGGGAAAATGTCTGTAAAAAATATGACGTCATATGTAACAAACAAACATGCATGTCTTGGTTTGCATACGGTTAATATTATGGACATATGTGGAAGTCAAGTGTGGTATGTGGATACGAACATGTGAATAAAGTATGGACAGGGACATATGGCAGTGAAGTATGACAAAGATGTCAATTTTGGTACGTAGATACGAGTCAAAGAATTTAGAACAATCTACTCACGAAATGCCAAACAACATGCATGTCATGGAGGGACTGTTTGGTTTGGAAACGGACACAACATGCATGTCATGAAGGGACTGTTTGGTTTGGAAACGGACACAACATGCATGTCATGAAGGGACTGATTGATTTGGAAACGGACACAACATGCATGTCATGGAAGGAATGTTTGATTTGGAAACGGACACAACATGCATGTCATGAAGGGACTGTTTGGTTTGGAAACGGACACAACATGCATGTCATGAAGGGACTGTTTGGTTTGGAAACGGACACAACATGCATGTCATGAAGGGACTGATTGATTTGGAAACGGACACAACATGCATGTCATGGAGGGACTGTTTGGTTTGGAAACGGACACAACATGCATGTCATGGAGGGACTGTTTGGTTTGGATACGGACACAATATGCATGTCATGGAGGGACTGTTTGGTTTGGATACGGACATAACATGCATGTCATGAAGGGACTGATTGATTTGGAAACGGACACAACATGCATGTCATGAAGGGACTGTTTGATTTGGAAACGGTCACAACATGCATGTCATGAAGGGACTGTTTGGTTTGGTACGGACATAACATGCATGTCATGGAGGGACTGTTTGAATTGAATACGGACACAACATGCATGTCATGAAGGGACTGTTTGGATCGGATACGGACATAACATGATTGTCATGAAGGGACTGATTGGTTTGGAAACGGACACAACATGCATGTCATGGAGGGAATGATTGGTTTGGAAACGGACACAACATGCATGTCATGGAAGGAATGTTTGGATCGGATATGGACACAACATGCATGTCATGAAGGGACTGTTTGGATCGGATACGGACACAACATGCATGCCATGAAGGGACTGTCTGGTTTTTATACGGACACAACATGCATGTCATGAAGGGACTGTTTGGTTTGGATACGGACATAACATGCATGCCGTAAACGGGTTGTATTTTACGTATCGAATGATATTGTGTACATGGTTCTACCATCGTGTGCAGTGCTTGTTTTTGTTTCGTATTTCATTTAACATCACATCACTTCTAAATCCAAGTGTGTACCGTCTGAGTTTATCGTCGTGTTTATTATTGAACATAAAAACGGTCTTTACTATGTCAGTATTTCGTAAACAGTTTTCGCTTGACGTTAGCAAAGGTTTCGTTTTAATTAGCAAATCAAACTTTGATTAGTTGAAGTGGTGAGTTGGGAGTTTGACGTTGATATGGACCGTGACTCATTGCGCATATCATGATTAGCACTGTTGTTATCAGGGATAGCTGGGTACGAGACCTAAGGGCCCATGTGATCGTGTACTGCCCTGTATTCGGAGCCACGAGGCCGCAGGATCATTCGGAGCCGCACGCCCTCCGCCCACCTATTGCGGTGCAATCTGCCCGTGATTTTCCCAGTATCATTCTAACACATCCAAACACTACTTTCCTCAGTCAGTATCAGAAAACGACTCCGTGGGGGATTTTAACAACACTGTCATATTCACAACTCTTCTGTTTGTATATCACATCACAAGTTACACCTCCAAAACATATAATCACTGAATTCTGATTCCATCCAACGTTCTGAATCGTCATCCTCGTCACAGTCATCAAATTTAAACTATTTTTATGGGAGGGTCTGGGGTATACTGAATTAAAATAACGCCATTACTTGTACTTTTATATTTCAAACTGGGGCTTTATTTAAAGGAAAGTTTTAGGGGATTTTTTGCAAGCAAATCTATCGTCATGATGAAGGTCTTCGAATACCTTAATAAAGGAACACTTATTCGAACAATACAAATTGTTCATATTTTTCTATATGTTCTGTCTATGTAAAACTTAGTTTTAGCGTGAACTTTTTTTATTCTGATGTCGAATGAATCAAATAAAGCAGTTTAAGAAAACCAGTTTTGTACAAATAAATATGTTTCTGCTTCCATACTGTTAGCAAAATTTTGATGGATCAGGTTTATCAATTTTTTAATTTTTCTTTGAAATATTGAAATATAGATTGGGCCTGATAAATCTAAAAACGTCTGTTGTGATAACTTTAAATACACATTAACTGATAAATCTAAATATATCTGGTTTGGATAAAGCTTGGTTAGAACAGTATAAATATATGCGGTCTTTTGATCTGGTTTGGAGATATAGTGGTGATAAGCCTCGATAAACATGCATCGTACATTGCTGTAGATACAAGATAGTCGTTACACGACTTCTGATGTTGGCGGCGATCTGGTTTGAATCCTGATTAATGATGAGCCGACATGGTTATACTAGTCTGATAAAGACGCTAGTTAACCTACTGCCCTTGATAACTTTCCTCGCTACAATCAAAGACACTTGTATCGCGGTAATTAAGAACCAAAATACACTTGTCTCACTCAGCCTCATTATGTCAAGCTGTGAATATACACATTCATCTGTATTTAACACTATATCTAGCATCAGCACAGAAACTACTGTCATTAACTGGACATCGGCAATCATTTCCGACTGGTGGTAACTAGTAACAATGTTACAGATACACTTTGGATGTGACGTCATACTTAAGTAATTACTTATGTGGAATGTGTAATGACATAAAATGATTACATTTGTTTTTAAGGAGTGCTTTAGTCAACTAATTAGATGTAAAATCCACCAGGTAGTAAAATAATCGCTTACTATGAAAGGTACTTCTCGTTATGTGGTGAAAAGCGTTACATTGTAGTAGAAATGGAGTACCATCCAGTACTTATTACATAAAACATTGGAACTCTTTCGAAGCTATATCAAAAACAAGGCTTAGATGTCTTTTGGTTAGAGTATCACGGGATATATTGTTTTGTTTGTAAGCCAAATCAAACAAATATTCCACGTGTAAGGGAGTAGTTTGTGTAAATATTTTACATGTAAGGGAGTAGGTTGTGCACAGTCCATGCAGTGGAAGGCATTTGTTATAGTATATCATAGTGAGCGACTATTTTTGTTAACAAACATCAAAACATCTAACCAGACATTTATGGAAACCCTTAATTTTTACATTTGAATTAGAGGTTTCTTAAATACTTCATCAAAAGGTGTATCAACCTGGATAATTTTGACGTACAAGTCTGTATGGTTATTACATAACTGGGCATATATTGGGTGAGCCTACATTAGGAGTAGCTGGTCCATGCTGATACTGTACGTGTTGGTGAACCTAGGTAAGGAGTAGGCGGTCCCTAATAACACTGTATGTGTTTGATGATCCTAGGTAAGGAGTAGGCGGTCCCTACTAACACTGTATGTTTGGGTGATCCTAGGTAGGGAGTAGGCGGTCCCTACTAACACTGTATGTTTGGGTGATCCTAGGTAAGGAGTAGGCGGTCCCTACTAACACTGTATGTGTTGGGTGATCCTAGGTAAGGAGTAGGCGGTCCCTACTAACACTGTATGTGTTGGGTGATCCAAGGTAAGGAGTAGGCGATCCCTACTAACACTGTATGTGTTGGGTGATCCTAGGTAAGGAGTAGGCGGTCCCTACTAACACTGTATGTTTGGGTGATCCTAGGTAAGGAGTAGGCGGTCCCTACTAACACTGTATGTTTGGGTGATCCTAGGTAAGGAGTAGGCGGCCCCTACTAACACTGTATGTTTGGGTGATCCTAGGTAAGGAGTAGGCGGTCCCTACTAACAGTGTATGTTTGGGTGATCCAAGGTAAGGAGTAGGCGGTCCCTACTAACACAGTATGTTTGGGTGATCCAAGGTAAGGAGTAGGCGGTCCCTACACACTGTATGTGTTTGGTGATCCTAGGTAAGGAGTAGGCGGTCCCTACTAACAAAGTATGTGTTGGGTGATCCTAGGTAAGGAGTAGGCGGTCCCTACTGACATTGTATGTTTGGGTGATCCTAGGTAAGGAGTAGGTGGTCCCTACTAACACTGTATGTGTTGGGTGATCCTAGGTAAGGAGTAGGCGGTCCCTACTAACACTGTATGTGTTGGGTGATCCTAGGTAAGGAGTAGGTGGTCCCTACTAACACTGTATGTTTGGGTGATCCAAGGTAAGGAGTAGGCGGTCCCTACACACTGTATGTGTTGGGTGATCCTAGGTAAGGAGTAGGCGGTCCCTACTAACACTGTATGTTTGGGTGATCCTAGGTAAGGAGTAGGCGGTCCCTACTAACACTGTATGTTTGGGTGATCCTAGGTAAGGAGTAGGTGGTCCCTACTAACACTGTATGTGGTGGGTGATCCTAGGTAAGGAGAAGACGGTCCCTACTAACATTGTATGTTTGGGTGATCCTAGGTAAGGAGAAGGCGGTCCCTACTAACACTGTATGTGTTGGGTGATCCTAGGTTTGGAGTAGGCGGTCCCTGCTTACACTGTATGTTTGGGTGATCCTAGGTAAGGAGAAGGCGGTCCCTACTAACATTGTATGTTTGGGTGATCCTAGGTTTGGAGTAGGCGGTCCCTACACACTGTATGTGTTGGGTGATCCTAGGTAAGGAGTAGGCGGTCCCTACTAACACTGTATGTGTTGGGTGATCCTAGGTAAGGAGTAGGCGGTCCCTACTAACACTGTATGTTTGGATGATCCTGGGTTTGGAGTGATAACAGCTGTATCTACCGCCAGTGTCACATCAAAGTACAAGTAAATCTAACGCTTATTGGATATGTCTATTCCAAGTAGATTATTTAGATTCGACACGTTCGTATTTACAATACTTCCACCAGCCTTTCTGTACTCAGGGTTATAAACAAATATCAATGTATATAGGTCATGCGTGAAACTGGCCTATACAATCACGATCTTATAGGTAACATGACGGTAACATGACACTGGCCTACACATTCACGATCCTACAGGTAACATGACACTGGCCTATACATTCACGATCCTATAGGTAACATGACGGTAACATGAAACTGGCCTATACAATCACGATCTTATTGGTAACATGACACTAGCCTATACATTCACGATCCTATAGGTAACATGACACTGGCCTATACATTCACGATCCTATAGGTAACATGACACTGGCCTATACATTCACGATCCTATAGGTAACATGACACTGGCCTATACATTCACGATCCTATAGGTAACATGACACTGGCCTAAAAATTCAAGATCCTATAGGTAACAGGACACTGGCCTATACATTCACGATCCTATAGGTAACATGATACTGGCCTATACATTCACGATCTTATGAATAGCATATGATTCATGAATCTCAGAAATTAAGAGAAATCTCCAACGTCTATGCAGATGAGACAAACGAACGCCGAGCCGAACATGGCGTGTTTTGCCCTGCCGAGACAATCATCCGACGTCATCGTTGATGGTGACGCACCATTTTTACAGGTGTCTTACTATATTTGTGGCTTTTCTTTAAACAGACCTGTATTATTGAGTTAAATCTATAGTGTATGTGTGCGTACGTAGTTGTTTTGAAATGCTAACAGTAAGGCTAATTAATCGTTTGTGTATGTTCTTTTTCAGGCTCACTACAACAATGGTGATTATATTATACGACAGGGGGCGCGAGGGGACACATTCTATATCATCGCCAAGGGCAAGGTTAGTATATGGTCGCCATGACAACTTAGTATCAATCTCATTATTGGTGTTTATATTGTATTGCATTGCCAGTTTTTAAAGCTGAAACAGATTAAACAATAAAGCATAACGTGGACAAAACACGTTATTTTCATTTGGACCTGTACTTTGTCAGCTAATGTACTTACGTAGGTAAAATACCTGAAGTTTTACCCACTCGAGTAGGAACAGAATACTATGTACATTCATATGTCGTCTTTGTTCATGAGTCCTTGTCAATGAGCTCCTGCTATCACCACTGCTAGTACCCAAGGGAATGTCCCGATACTTTGGCTCAGGTATCCTAGGAAATGTCCCTATAGTGTGGTTCTAGTATTGTAGGGAATGTCCCTATAGTGTGGTTCTAGTATTGTAGGGAATGTCCCTATAGTGTGGCTCTAGTATTGTAGGGAATGTCTCTATAGTGTGACTCTAGTATGGTGGGGAATGTCTCTATAGTGTGGTTCTAGTATTGTAGGGAATGTCCCTAAAGTGTGGTTCTAGTATTGTAGGGAATGTCCCTATAGTGTGGCTCTAGTATTGTAGGGAATGTCCCTATAGTGTGGTTCTAGTATTGTAGGGAATGTCCCTATAGTGTGGTTCTAGTATTGTAGAGAATGTCCCTATAGTGTGGCTCTGACATCGCAGAGAAGTCCCTATAGTGTGGTTCTAGTATTGTAGGGAAAGTCCCTATAGTGTGGCTCTAGTATTGTAGGGAATGTCTCTATATGTGGCTCTAGTATTGTAGGGAATGTCTCCACAGTGTGTCTCTGATATCTATGGAAATGTCCCTATAGTGTGGCTCTAGTATCGAAGGGATTGTTGCGATATTTTAACTCTAGTATCTCTGCTGTAATAATACTTTTTGACGCTAACTGTTAGTATGGATGATTTTGTGTCGTCAGGTGAAAGTCACAAAAAAGACATCAAAAACAGGAGATGACCAAGTGATTCGCTTCCTACAAAGAGGCGAATTCTTCGGTGAGCGTGCGTTACAAGGGTGAGTACAGGGGCCACAAAGGTCAACATTCAGTAATAAACATGAATACTCAAGTTTCTGAATATTTAAATGTACCAAGCCTCTTTGATTGTCGAGTTGAACCTTGTAATCTTAGAAAATGAACGGTCAAAAACCAAATTTGAAATATGTAAATGTTTCAAACATTATTCGTCTGAACATTAAGTGAACATATTTTCGGAACTATCTCCAATCTCTTCTTTCTGATGCGAGATGGCTCTCCATAGTTAAGAAGGCCTGTCAAACCTTCTAACATTCACATACATATCTTCTGAATATGAGCGAACTTTACCGGTACAACAAGGGTTTTCCATCAACTTAAACAGAAGTTTAACTACTGCAGTTCATATGCCATAAACATCATACTCACAAGACATTTATAGCCAAACAGTCGCAGACGGATTGTAAGTGATAAACATGTCGACCTGTTCCGGCAGATAACATTGAAGCCTTGCACTCTATACACGACCTTTTGGCAAAATGGCTACCTCTGATTTCATATACTTACTGTCAGATATAACTTCTCTTAGCCGTGATTACAATCAGTATCTAATAATGGGACATGCAGAGGGCTATAGGATAATAGACCACATGCAATGTGGAGAACACACTTTATCATGTAATAGACGGCATGCACTAGTGTCTACTCACTGTTAACTTTATCATGTAATAGACGGTATGCACTAGTGTCTACTCACTGTTAACTTTATCATGTAATAGACGGTATGTACAAGTATCTACTCACTGTTGACCTCATCATGAAATAGACGGCATGTTCAAGTGTCTACTCACTATCATCTTCATCATGTGATAGACGGTATGTACTAGTGTGTACTCATTGTTAACTTTATCATGTAATAGACGGCATGTTCAAGTGTCTACTCACTATCATCTTCATCATGTAATAGACGGTATGTACTAGTGTGTACTCATTATCAACTTTATCACGGAATAGACAGTATGTACTAGTGACTACTCTTTATGTAGTCTTTATCATGGAATAGACGGCATGTTAAAGTGTCTACTCACTGTTAACTTTATCATGGAATAGACGGTATGTACTTGTGTCTACTCGCTGTCGTCTTTATCTTGTAATAGACAGTATCTACTAGTGTCTACTCGCTGTCACATTCGTGATGTTTTCGCCAATGGTGTGTAAAAATATTTTACTATATGGAACCTTTATGGTGAACAAAGCGGTATGTATAAGAGTCGATTAGCTACAACCTTCCTGATGAAATAGACGGTGAATACATATGCCGACCCGGTACCACCTTTCTGGTGAAATAGACGTTATGTACAAATGTCGACCCGGTACCATCTCTCTGGTGAAATAGACGGTGAATACAAATGTCGACACGGTACCACATTTCTGTTGAAAAAGACGTTATGTACAAATGTCGACCCGGTACCACATTCCTGGTGAAATAGACGTTATGTACAGATGTCTTCTCGGTACCACCTTTCTGGTGAAATAGATGTTATGTACAAATGTCAACCCGGTACCATCTCTCTGGTGAAATAGACGTTATGTACAAATGTCGACTCGGTACCATCTTTCTGGTGAAATAGACGTTATGTACAAATGTCGTCTTGGTACCACCTTTCTGGTGAAATAGACGTTATGTACAAATGTCAACCCGGTATCACCTTTCTGGTGAAATAGACGCTATGTACAAATGTCGACCCGGTACCACCTTTCTGCTGAAATAGACGTTATGTACAAATGTTGACCCGGTACCACCTTTCTGGTGAAATAGACGTTATGTACAAATGTCAACGCGGTACCACCTTTCTGGTGAAATAGACGTTATGTACAAATGTCAACCCGGTACCACCTTTCTGGTGAAATAGACGTTATGTACAAATGTCAACGCGGTACCACCTTTCTGGTGAAATAGATGTTATGTACAAATGTCGACTCGGTACCACCTTTCTGGTGAAATAGACGCTATGTACAAATGTCGACCCGGTACCACCTTTCTGCTGACATAGACGTTATGTACAAATGTCAACCCGTTACAACCTTTCTGGTGAAATAGATGTTATGTACAAATGTCGACCCGGTACCACCTTTCTGCTGAAATAGACGTTATGTACAAATGTCGACTCGGTACCACCTTTCTAGCGAAATAGACGTTTTCTACAAATGTCAACCCGGTACCACCTTTCTGGTGAAATAGATGTTATGTACAAATGTCGACTCGGTACCACCTTTCTAGTGAAATAGACGTTATATACAAATGTCAACGCGGTAGCACCTTTCTGGTGAAATAGATGTTATGTACAAATGTCGACTCGGTACCACCTTTCTGGTGAAATAGACGTTATGTACAAATGTCGACCCGGTACCACCTTTCTGGTGAAATAGACGTTATGTACAAATGTCGACTCGGTACCACCTTTCTAGCGAAATAGACGTTTTCTACAAATGTCAACCCGGTACCACCTTTCTGGTGAAATAGACGTTATGTACAAATGTCGACCCGGTACCACCTTTCTGGTGAAATAGACGTTATGTACAAATGTCAACCCGGTACCACCTTTCTGGTGAAATAGATGTTATGTACAAATGTCGACTCGGTACCACCTTTCTGGTGAAATAGACGTTATGTACAAATGTCAACCCGGTACCATCTTTCTGGTGAAATAGACGTTATGTACAAATGTCAACCCGGTACCACCTTTCTGGTGAAATAGACGTTATGTACAAATGTCGTCTCGGTACCACCTTTCTGGTGAAATAGACGTTATGTACAAATGTCAACCCGGTACCGCATTTACTTTGTAGTAAACGGTATGTTCATTTATTGTGTAATGTAAGGCATGTACTACTGTTTGGTTGAAATGCTGGCCCCTGGTAATCTACCAGAAACAATGTGGCGCCATTGTATATATCTCATCAAAGCCTCGTATCATCAAAGAGATGAGAAATCAGTTGATAACAAAAACCTGTCTCGTGCACAGCCGCTTGACCCAAGGTTAGATCCACCCTTACTGTAATGAAGTCTACATGTTCCTTTATGTTTGTCTTCAGTGAAATGAGCCAGTTATATCACATACTCGTGAAATAGCAATTACATTTAATAATACGATCCTGTAATGTCCACAGAATTCGCTTTACAATAAATTACTCTGTAATTTGGAAATGAAAACCAATCACGGGATATCGTTTTAAGACCCCGGCGTGTATCGGAATTAACTATATATATAACGAATAATGCACGTGCACAATGCCATAACTACAAAATCATAAGATGCCGAAAATAACATTCTCGCCAGAGGGCGTGACAATCGTCACTTTTTACGTATTTCTGTTTTATTACATAGAAAATTTACCCGATGTGCATGTATTAATTACTTAAAAGAAACTAGCCAATCTTTGGAAATATTATTCAATTTGTTATAAAACTGCTTGTTGGAAGGGCAGGGGGATTCCTGTGAGGGATTACCACTTTTCCACATCACTGATTCTATAATCACAGTCTGTCCAAGCATCGCGGGGTCCTTTTCATAGCCCCAGAGGATTATGCTGTCAAACGCGAGTTATCATGCTTAGCTATATGAAATCGGTCGTAACGGTCATATATAACAAGGTCGGGTGATCCCTGTAATTTTGGATAGCTGGCGTTTTATATCCCTTGCTCAGAATTCATAGTACGTTCCTCTATAACTGGGCTTATTGGGTGTTAAGTATGATTCACGAACTCGGGGAAATAAAAATAAACCAAAGCCCACATATCTGATAATCACAAAAGATTATATCTCAAAGTTCACACTAAGTAATCAACTGTTTATATTAAGAAAGCATTCTTCAAATGAAGACTTTATATCTATCCTGGTATATCGGTGGTCAGTTTGTCTGTTCGGCCAGTAAGGTTTCAGGAAGTGTAGGGGGAATGCCAAACCAAATTTATGTTGGACGGCACGAGACTGCTGAATGTTATCGCAGCTCTAATCCCTCAATGACTCATCGCCTCTTCAATACACTAAAAATAGCGCTTGTTTAAAAAATGTTGCTCATATTGTGAGTTTTGGAAGGCAATCGCGTGCATTTTTGGCGTATGGAATACTGATGCAAAGATGTATAAACGGTTTCAATATGACACGCATTAAGACAGCGTGTCAGGGAAGGGTCGAGTGCCAACCCCGGCAGTAGCTTAATGTACCGGCCATTTAAATACACATATGTCTGCAAATCCAACATTTACAAGTTGATGGCGCCGGCGTTCAAAGTTATTCCGTGTGATGTTTGTTAAATACGCTCTGTTGTAACTTGCCCCGTCTCTTTAATGACCGGTATTGTGTAAGAACTGTACGGATGTAGCACCCATTGCCTATACTGGAATAGGTCTGCACTTTACAAATAGAACCGGAATTCCGATAGACACAACTTAGTGACCGTTGTAGGTATTTTACAGACGGGCTATTTGCCACTGTTTGATATGTTAATAGACTGACCATTGACCGCCCGCTGCTGTCTGTGCTAATTCACGCCGCAGGAAATATATTTGACCAATCTGCACTCCGTAGAGATGCCTGTACGAAATAAGAATAATATTAGTATTTATGATATAGCCTTCCAACGCTAGCACTTGGTGACGTAGTTGGCGGTGGTGTGGCTACCCAGTATGACCTCTAAATTAAGGCCACAAACGGAACCAAAAAATAATTTTAATTTAACAAAACTGCTCAATCCAAACTTTTCAAAGCAGGACTTCAGTGAGAAGGGACTTCCATATAGTGTCGACTATATTGGGCATAACATAGTCCTCACTGGTAATGAAACCAGTTCTGTATACCCCCGACTTGGTAGTCGGGTGCCACAGTGGTAACGCGCTCGCTTTTCACCTAGACGTCCGGCTTTGGGTTTCCGGAACGAACGTGAAAACGTATCGAGGTCACCTACCCGACCACGTGGGGTTTCCCAGGGTACTCTCACTTTAAGGCCCCTTTACATCCGGGTCAAGAGTGATTCATATAAGTTAGAAAAACTTATTTCGCAATTGTTGTGAAATAAATAAAGTCTATTTATTTCACCATTTTACATTGAATATTTTTTCTATGCATAGTCGATGATGGCATGTAGAAGCTTTGGGGGAATTCTATGCTTTCTTTCCAATTTCATGGACTACACATTGTCCCAGTTTATAAATATAGAAAAAAATCCATCATTCCAGATTTTAAAACGTCACGGAATTCATCAGCTTTTGATGTCGGTTCCCACCCATGCGTGTATCTGGGCCTCTGACCGCACCAGGACGATGCCCCGGGGCTGTAATCTCTTCTGATGGTTTCTCCAGTCGAACTTTCTGTTATACATAAAAGTGATAGAAAACCATTCGAATCACTGGGTTTATATTCTACCTCTCGCTGTATACACTATTACAGCCCTCTCCCAGATCCCCCTCTAACTTGACTAAGTATTTATCTGTATTCGCCTCGCCTTCCATTAATCCAATTTCGACAGTAATCCTTTCGCAATCTTGCCCAGCGTCCACGGAACATTTATGTCCAATTTAGCGTAGATATAAGGTAAACATGAGCTTGCGGAACCCAGCAGGCAGTATAGGATCTGTAACGCCCAGACAGGTTATCATACTCAGGTCGTCACGACATAATGTTGAGATAACTCGGGATACAAACTAGACAGAATCGAACATAAAACGGTACATGCTCACTGCAACATCGTTGCATTTCACGATTCAAATTAATCATTTTCATGAGATAAATAATGCATGAATCACATTGATATCTTTATATCGTAATAAAAGTGGGCAAGAACTCGGAAGAATGGCTCGTCTGTTAAAACGTAAAGGGACGAATTGGAGATGACCGACAAATAGGTAGACTTTGATGAAAAAGTATTGAAAGACATTGTTAACTTATTCGGTTTTTACCACACTAAAAGTTTGTGTCCTTATCTGTTTTACAGGGAAGATGTCCGGACAGCCAGTATCGTGGCAGCTGATCCGGCTGGAGTGGACTGTCTGGTCATTGATAGAGAGTAAGTATGTTTTGTTGGCCTTTAAGTGCACATGATCCTTCCACCGTCTGTCCTTTTATCCTTAATCAGTGCCCCTGTATACCATCATGTTATCTTCGTCAATAATGATAATGACGGAGTATTATTTGCATTCATATCTAGGTTTGTATGTTATGAGAGCAGATGTGCTTGTGCAGAACTATTTTGGCTAAGAGGCGGAATTGTTTTGACGTCATTTTCCCACGTGAAATATACAAACCAGGCACCGCCGTAGATATGATCAGCTGGTACCTCATCGACAGTGGTCATCTAGAAAGTTTCGGACCATGAAAAGTAAACTATCGGGGTTTAGTAAATGCTCTCAGATGTCCCCCATCTCCCCTCCCTCTCTTTATAGCATATGATAACCTTTTGATAAGTGGTGAAGCATGTTTATTGTAATATCTAGCAGACGGACCTACAGGAGATGATCTGGCTCCACAAAGATGGCCACTCTATACCAGCACCATCTGGTGGTGGATAAGGGCCGCCCGTTAAATCAGGGGAGTGACAATACTAACTGATTTATACAGGGCTTTACCTACCCCGACCTTCATAAACAGTCAAGCGGTGATTAATCTTCCTCATCAAGGTCAACAAAAATAGATAAGGTTTTTGACATCCAGTTAAATTCTGCGATATGTTGACTAGAAGAGTCCCACCCTTGACGGACAGATATGACGGGGCCCATCATCACTAGTTCATCAGCGCAGTCAGATAACAAGCAGCCGCTGTAGCAACGATGGCTTAGAGCACCGCCATTTTGTATCTGTTGCATCCTTTATTACTATTGCACCTATGTTGATGTTAGCCGATTGTTTTGAAATGTTACATACGGTAGCTGTGAAGCATCTCTTAACCTGTGATCTTCCTGTCGGTGCAAGTGAACTCACGGTTAAACTTCCATCGACACCTTCAAGCTGTTTACTCCAAACGAGGCTGAAGAGATGAAGATGTTTCTTACCAATGACATTTTTGGTCTTTTATATACAAAAGTCTGCATTTCACTACCGGAACAAAAGTGAATTGTACGTTCTGTGTTGCGTCACACTTGACCGTAACTCCATCAGTAAGAAGTGCAAGGCGCATTAACCATACAGAGACCTGTCGATACAATCTCCAGGGGCGTAATACCTAGCTGTGGGTTATAATTGGCTGTTGACAGGTACAGCTTTTGAAATATGGGAACTTAATGAGCACAGACAATTCCCTCAATTCAAAAGTCAAGCTTGACTAATGGTTTGAATCTGGAAACAGCGATAGGCATACATGTTCCGGTGTGGTGGGGCGTATCAAAACCGGGGTCTGTATATTTTCCGTAGACAGGTAGCTTCACGTTATATCTATTCCCGACACAATAGGAAGGTCATGGCAATGTGAAACACTCTCTTGTTGGCACGTTCAAAATTATCTTAAAGTTGATAACCTGTCCCTCGACCAGAACAGTACAGTATGTGTTTATCCCTGTTATTTGATGTAACACAAAGCTCTTTCACGATATGTGAATGAAAAAGACTAATAAAATTTAATAACAGTCGAAATTAGGAAATTTGATATTGGTAACTCCGCGACTTGACGGTGGAATATGTGTTTCATACAGAATCAAGAACCTTACTGATTGCGAACATGCTATCGATGTTTAAATGTATTATTACCGTCAACGCGGATCTAACTCCACGGTGTTCAGGTTATCCGCGGTCAGTATCTAACTGACCAGGTAGACGAATTCGCTGGTCAGATTATTTATTGAAATGGACAATAATTTCAGTTGCACAATCTCCATAAGTAATGCATATAAAAACATCACACATAATAGTACAAAGTATAGAGGATAAGCATTATTATCGTTAACGAGGATATGATAAATTAAGGCCATTGAAATGTCTCGTATAAAACACACTGATAAAGCACGTATTGTCACCATTATCTCAATATGTAAGAAATTTACAGTTATTGAGAAGCACGAAACCACTGTTTTCCCCATAAAACTTTAAATGGCTAATTTTCAATGTTATAGATGTCTCATTCTTACCTCTCATTTGACTCTATTTTGGAATCTGTTGTTTTTGTCCTGTGTTATTATGATTTACGAACCGGACAGCTGTAACGCAGTGTTCGTAATACCACCGATAATTTATTAAGAATATTTAATAATAACAAATATTGCGCACTCGTGAACGGTACTAAAATATTAGACACACTTGTGAAATATATTGTTATTAATGAAGATACTATTAAATATTACATTTATAACATTTTCGCAAGCAAGATAGCCAGGTTACTGGCATGTTTAGAACAGATGTATAACGAGAAAGCTGGCTACATTTTTCGCGGACTTTACTCTCCATTAAAACTTGGCAGTATGCGACAAAATATATTTAAATATAAAAAAACAAAAGTACATCTCAATATAAATCTATTTTCATAATCATCTAGGAAATGTAACCTTTTTATGTAACTAAGAGACAAAATTTGCTGTTAAACGTTCAAAGAGAGTTTGACCTGTGAGAAAATACTACGCGGCTGAAAATATGGCGGCAACCTACGGTTGTCGCTGTTAATGACACGAATTCCCTTGAAATGTCTGAAGTGTTAGCTCCACATTCAAGACGTTCGGTTTTGGATTGGGTTTGATGTCTGATAAGGTAATTTGGGTTGCACTTTTGCTGACTTTCATGGAACTGAACGTCAACCATGGAATTGAAGGTCGTGCAAGTAAACAACCCCTTCAGCTGTCTGGTTTAGTGTTTTTTGTCAATTTGTGTTCTCTCTTTTCATTTGCGTAAGTCTGCAAAAGTCTTATTTTTACCAATGAAAAATATCGAAAAAGTGTTATTTTCACTAGTGAAAAAAACGCACTTTTTTCAATGAGATATTTCTTTGGCAAAAAATGAAATAAATGTCGCTAAAACTAAGATATCTCTAGCTGTGTTGGCATGGAGTCTGTAATACGTGTTGGAAACTGCACGAACTGAATCTATGAATAAAATATCTCGATATGCTGCGTTTGGCCTTGTGACACATGGTGTGTATAAATTAGTACCATTCCGGAGATACTCGTGTCTACAGAGCGATATATCTGCCTCTCAATTACAGAGTAACTCATTCTAGGTGGACTTGGCTTGACGACAATATCGTATTCTCATCACATCTAATTAGCAGAAGGACTCTGCACGTGGAAACGTTCCTCGAGAGTCGATGTGAAAATCTTACAAGCCTTGGACATTTTGTTGGTTACCTGTAATTAATCATCAGCTGTAACATTTTAACTGTATGCGTCCAAAAAAATCATAATCTGGAAATACAAGCAATTTTATTTTATAAAATTCCCTATGCTTTAAAAGTATCGATCGGTGGTGCCCAACCCACGTGACTGTGTCCCAGGTTTGGTACAGTCAGTTATGTCCGACCTTTTTTCTTGTCAAACGAAACGTCAGAAATAAAGCATGTTGTGCGTATTTCTAATAATAAATACTTAAATATGTATTAAAATAATAAACATGCATCAGATATTTCAACTTATTAAAATTCACAACGACAAGTGCTTGTTTCGGTTTACATGAGATAGTCTCCGTTTTCATTTTTAGTATTTTCTCGTGGTTAATATCTAGTTTCATTAAGTTTTGATAACTTACTTTTAGTGATATGGTTGGTTCACAACAGCCTGTGTGGTAGAACCCTATATACAGTCTGTCCCTTAATTAATACATAAGAATTAAGGTCCTCGGCATACTGAAAACACAATTCAGTGCTTGGAACATGATGTTAAACGAAAATATAGTTCTTAAAGATAGGAAGTGCTGACAAGTTATGTAGAAGACTTTGTTTGACGGGAAAATTGAAGACTTTTATGAAGGCAGCTTTTTCAATGTCACTTTGCTTCCTTCTAGTCCACTCTCTTTGAAGGTTCTTGAGTTCTTGTCCACAACAACCGATCTCATAGGCTGTACCCTCTGAAGCAGATTCACTAATGGTTATACATCTTGAGACGGATGTTTACCAACAGTTATATATCTTGAGACGGATGTTTACCAACGGTTGTGCATCTTGAGACAGATGTTTACCAACGGTTATACATCTTGAGACAGATGTTTACCAACGGTTGTGCATCTTGAGACAGATGTTTACCAACGGTTAAAATATACCTAAAGACAAATATGTTTACCAACGGTTATACATCTTGAGACAAATGTTTACCAGTTGATTACTAAAATGCCATACAGACTTACTTTTCCATATCACACTGGATTAAAACATACTCATTAACTGTCTTGCATTTGTAGGTCCTACTCACAGCTAATCAGTGATCTAGATGAGCTCAAGCGAGTGTATGAAGATGAGGACGAGAAAGCTGTGTAAGTATACCAGACTATTGGGGATGAACCCTATACAGTAAAACGTCACATACAACCTGTTTCCTCTGTAGTTAAGTCTAAGCGATTTTAGCGTTGTGAAAAACAAAAACAAAAAAAGTTTATTTATCCCCAAAACACCGAACCGTTTTCAGAGCAGAATCCATTTTTAACTCCGCAAGACATAAAACCGACACCCTTCAGATCAAGTATTTTATTCTACAACAATCACCAGATCTAGCGGATGGTGGCAACTTCCAGATAAAACCGGCTTAGGCTATGGCACACGAAGTCGTCTATTGATGAAACAATGCCTCTAAGATATCTTGTATACGTCAGCCGTCAATGCAATGTGCATTATCCGCCATGCAAATCTCATGGAGAGGTTTTCAAGTGAAGATGGATATTCGATATTTGTCATTGTATATTCGTAATGCTTACAGACACTCGGGAAGGAAATTGTTTGGTGCTTGAATTGATGATAATTAATGATTTATGTGCTATTGATCCTTGCCACAGTTAAAAGAGGTGATGGTATCGTTTTTGGGCTGAGAAAATTTAAATCAAAACAAATCATGTTGCCAGTATTTTCATGTGTTTTGTTTTTACACATTTCCCGGGTCATGAATTATAACCTGCATTTATTCAAAATTGGCTGCAAGGAAAATGTTGTCGTTTAATGGATGTGCTGCAACAACGGCGAATGTCTCTGTTGAACGTATTCCTTAACTTTTGGTTTATAAATCCTTAGTAAACCGGTGTGTGTTAACATCAAAGCCGACTACCTGTGTACAATGTACATGTCAGACAATTCTTCTCGACATTTCAAACACATTAGCAGATAAAAAAAATGATCACAATAAACAATGAAGAACCTTATTACACTAATACCGTAAACAATGTGTGACATATGGCGTTGTGTTTTATTTAGGTTCGACCCCGAGTTTGTAAAACTCAAACTCAGCGACATCAGTATAGTCGCGACTCTTGGAGTTGGAGGTTTCGGCCGAGTAGAACTGGTAAGTGCCTGCTATAGGAGATATCAAAACTTACTTTTTCCTTAGATTTACCGTGTTTTCTTGCTATTTTATGTCTCAAGTACACTTGTTTACATTTCAATACATATGTTGTTTTTGACCCAGGCATTTCTATTACTGCGTTTGATATTGTAAGATACGATTTTATTTGACAAGGGGAGTTATTTATCATCTCCGACGGAAAGACGACGCACAAGTACATTACAACAGATTTTTTTGTTTTTTGTTTATCTCGGGGAGAAAGATCGAGAGGAGGTGTTGATGTAGTTTTAGATTATCTTAGATCTTGGCAAGCTCTACTTTGGAACGAAATTATAGAAAAATGATATAATTTATCACCGTTCTATAAAAAGACGATCCCCATGCTTAGATAGATATGAACAGATGCTGGCCCCACAACTGACAAGGGGTATATATGTGGACGGGTCGTTGGCATTTCAGCAACTTTGGTACATAGGTATAATACGCACTCATCAATTTCCGATAGACCTGCGCGTGCTGCGTTCCTTTTTGTGGTTCGTTGGCTAACAGATAGACATGCACGCGCAGCGAGAGTTATCACCGCTGCGGGAAAACCAACAGGTTAACACATCAAGCCGTAGCAAACGGGTATTTTATTACACCTGAAAAACCTATGCAAATATACATAATGATATTGGTAACGCTAGCCTAGTAAGTTCATTTTGACGTCGCATGTTCCTTTGTTATGATAACATGTCTGTCCCCGTGAGGTACAATTTGTGATGCGGCGACCCCCCAGGCCGCGACCCTGATCTAGGTGTTTTACTCATAACCAAGATTCGTTTTCATTCCAAAGATGTTGTCTCAGCCACTTGTATTGTTTAGAAAGATTACGTGAGGTAATTACAAACCAAAATGTAACTGCCAAGAATTACGTCATGGTTCCGTTATATAAGGCCTTACGTTATTGTCAGTGGGATTGTATTCAGTGATAGGACAGCTGGAAATTAGACAATGACCACGTGTAGGGCCTTTCATCATTTATGAGGTAACATCTCTTGAACAAAAAATGATATGAACTTATGGAAGATGTCGGACTTGTAGCCAACTTAAAAGAACATAAGCAGCTCAACACTTTGCGCTGAATGTACTAAAGCCGTCATTGGCTAACGTTTGTTGAGTCTCATAATCCATGCTCAGAAGAGTCGCCAAATTCCCACCTGTCTCAGAAATGTATCATTGTAGTGCTTTGATGTGTAGTAAGGATAGGTCAAGCGTTAGACAAGATCGTCGTTTCATCGTTCCGCCATAGTCATTATGATCTTGATCTGTGTATTACGACTGTCGACCCACAGACTTGGTGAGGGAGTTATGTTGCGTTGATGATAGCTAGATTTACCACACGTCTGGTCGGGAAATGAATGGTATTGTGGCTATATGCATTCACGGGAATCCCTCTTACTGCCTTCACAAACGGAAAACCACTACCGCCCAACGCATCACAGTAGCTATGTAAATGGTCCGCCGACGTCTCTGTGTTGTCATGTTCGTTATGTAACGATACGTGCACCACCTGTGCAGGAGTTAAGATAGAGTGACCTTGACCTGAATACTTGCATCCCTTCTACCTCTCTCTTACAACTAATAAAATTATTGTTTTCAGCTGCAACACAATTTCGTCTGTTTTGCTGTTAACAGATATTTATTCTATGGTGTTTTGCTTTGTCTAAGTAAACATTGTTATTTTCTGATTATTGTCAAATATTTTTGTTATGTAGGTCCAAGTAAACAATGATAATTCGAAAACATTCGCACTGAAGATCCTCAAGAAGCATCACATTGTGGAAACGAGACAACAAGAACATATCATGAACGAGAAGAAAATCATGTCCGAATCCAGATCCGACTTTATTGTCAGGTCAGTGTGATGAGTCGTTTCGTTTGATTTTAAGCGAACTATGACATTGGGTAATAGTAATAGTAGACATCTTTCATCCACACGCCACCCTCTCCCACTGGCCTTGATAAGGACACGACCGTGACCACGCTCCCCAAGCGGGTTGTTCACCACGTGCTGTTTGTTTATCTAGATGCTATGTTTTATTACCGAAAATTTAATGCGTCGTTACAATAGCATTGCCAAAACGTTGTTAAGTGTGTTACATCAAGTGCAGCAATGGCGTTGGCTTCATCTCTGAGCGTGTTAAAACGCCCTCCGCCATATCACATCAAATCTCGCGCACATATCGCATCACATCTCACGCACGCAGCACGTGGGCCCACATGGCGGACTCTATTATTAACATAAAAATTGAATACATTTCTTATCTCAAAAACCCCTTGTCAGACACGTTTTAGAGTCAAATCCTACTTTGTTTTCTCTTTATCATACAGTTATCTCCCCTTGATCTTTCATGCTGCCATGATAACAAGAAAGCTGTTGTTTTAAGTGTTAATTTGTTACCCACAGACTATATCGCACGTTTAAGGACAGAAAATACCTGTATATGCTACTAGAGGTGTGTTTAGGCGGAGAGCTGTGGACCGTCCTCAGAGACAAGTGAGTAGACACAAATCCCACATGGCTTGATGAAATCCCTTAAATATTATAAGCTCTCAGTAAGATTGATTTCCATTTCTCTGTGATCATTTTCATAATAAAATATTGATATATGATATTTGTATTTCTTAGGGGTTCGTTTGATGACAGCACCACTCGGTTCTACACAGGCTGTGTGGTGGAGGCGTTCGCCTATCTACATAACAAGGGCGTGGTCTACAGGGATCTCAAACCAGAAAACCTCCTCATCGACACTCAGGGATACGTCAAATTGGTGAGTTCGCCAGGATAGGTCACACTACTGGTTAGTGTTGTCATGTGACTCAGAAGATACATTAGTATGGTCAGTATTATCATGTGACACTGATGATATGTCAGTATCATCAACTGCCTCTCAGCGATACATCAAAATCGGTCCAGTGGGGGATGGGGTTGAGCTGTTGAAGTGGTAGAAACAAATCTTTGGAGAACTTCTCGACCGAAGTTATGGTGCAATAAGTTTATATCAGACCAGGGACCGGAACGAGTGCGCACGTGTAGTAACTGTAAACAAAGCGAAACCAAAAACAAAGTTCCCCATTGTTTGCATTATTTACTAACCATATTTTTAATAGATTTCCTATCTTTATGATAAACTACACATATGTTTCAGTTATCGATAGTTCCCCCTATTTATAGTACTGAAATTACGTAATTCAATTTGTAAAGTACCGACTCCCAGGATCAGAATTCCAAACAAATAACTGTAGAATACTTGTATAATATTCTTCAGGTGATAGTAAATCATTAATATCTACATCTCGGTATGATTGCTAGTCTGTTTATTAACCCCTTGTATTGTAAAGTATTCAGTATCATCCCCTCATTCGAAAATTAGAGTATATACTATAGAATTAGACATATGTAAGAGATCCAAGTTCATTGTCTTATTTTATCGTTAGCAAAACAAGATTCTAAATAGTCTTGTGTCACCCATGTGTCTCCAAATAAACGACATATTCCTACCATTCCAACCACACTTGCGTGTCTTTTCCACATCGATATCTTCTCTCACACGCCTCCCCATACCAGTATCTTCTACCACACTACCCACGTGTCTTCCCATACCGATATCTTCTCCCACACTACCCACGTGCCTTCCCATATCGATATCTTCTCCCACACTACCCACGTGCCTTCCCATACCAATATCTTCTACCACATTACCCACGTGCCTTCTCATACCAATATCTTCTCCCGTACAACCCACAGGCCTCCCCATACCAATATCTTCTCCCATACTACCCACGTACCTTCCCATACCATTATCTTCTCCCACACTACCCACGTACCTTCCCATACCATTATCTTCTCCCACACTACCCACAGGCCTCCCCATACCATTATCTTCTCCCACACTACCCACAGGCCTCCCCATACCATTATCTTCTCCCACACTACCCACACGCCCCCCATACCGGTATTTTTTACAAGTCTTATACACGGCTCTACCCACATTGATACCTCTCACCAAAGTTATGCCTTAACAGCCAGGGTCGTTTTGAGGCGTGGTTGCCTTGTACGAACTGGATACCTATTGCATACCGATAGTAGCCAAGAGCCTTGGCTAAGGACACAACAACGATATCACAGGCCGGTCGGTTTCTCCGGTAGTAGAAGGCTCCCTCCAATACAATACCGAGGTCTCTAACGACTGAGTGATGTTGCCTCAAGTCTACATGCATTGGCCAATTACTGAAGTAATTTGTAATTGTGTATGATTTTCCTTTTCCATGTTTTGTCTCCCAGGCCAACCAGTGACTCGCCAACTCCAACATTGTCCAACATACTTAACGTGTTGGATAATACGATATGCCTGTTTCTTCTGACACATTCCTCACATGAACCATTCTTTGTTACATATCAAAACCATGTCAAGTACAGTAGTTATGATTACACGTGTGCTATTTATAGACCATGTTTTGTTGGTAGTTAGGTACGTTCACACTAGTACCACGCACTTTGTAGTAACACCAGGTACAGAAGTAATCTAGTCTAGTCATCACGACGTAACACGATTAATGCCCTATTAAAACCTTCCGCCAGGTCATTGACTTCGAAAGTGGTTACAAATGGGCCCCTCCAACAGCACTTAGTTGGCTATGTAAATAAACCCTTCAACAATCCTAACAGAAAATACTGCAGGATTTACTACTAATACACAAGCGTCGTCATGGAATCGTGTCGTCAAGGCATGTAACACTTATCCAGTCTCTAGATAAAACCTGATCTTCATGTACAAGGTCTGTAGGTGAAATCTCTCAATCCCAGTGATAAAGCTTCCTCAGTTTATAGTTAAAGTCAAGTCATCCCATTGATGCATCTGACTTCAGCTTAAAGTAAAGTCAAGACATTTTAGTTCAGTGATAAATCTTCCTCAGTTCATAGGTAAAGTCAAGTCACCCAGTAGATAAATATTCCTGGCTTTATGCAAATTCTCTTTATCCCGTTTGATATGTAACAAAGTTATGAAACTTACCCAGCCTATAGATGACAGCGCTGGACGTCAATTGGTATTACACAGGTCAATCGGTAAATTTAAGACGAAATCGTTTTTAACAGGTGGACTTCGGTTTCGCTAAAAAGGTCGGACTAGGGAGGAAGACATGGACATTTTGTGGCACCCCAGAGTATGTGGCGCCGGAAATCATTCTCAACAAAGGTCACGATATTTCAGCTGATTATTGGTCCTTGGGAATACTTATGTTCGAGCTGCTGACGGGAAGGTAAGACCCCGGATGTAAACCTTGTAGATAATGATGAACATGTAAATATACTACGTCATGTATAGACTTTAAACACTACCTCAAGGTCAGGAAACTCATTACCTACAGCCGATAGTATGATGATCGTATGGACCAACTTACGTTTTATGCCCTCCTTTCATCACTGGACGTTTTCTGTGTCATTTCAATTCTCGGACAATTAAAGGGACACGTTTGCATACCTCGCCATAGGTTTTCATTTTTTTTTTAAGTTTTCAAAATATTTGACCTTCATTATTGATAAATCAAACTATGTTACACCGCCTTCCATAGATATATTGAATATAAATGACAACATTGCAAAAAATGTTCATGAAGATTACGACATTTTCCCACCAATCATAGAGTCTCTCTTTTGTTACAGTCCGCCTTTCACGGGGCAGGATCCAATGAAAACATACAACATCATTCTTAAAGGAATTGATGCTATTGACTTCCCACGCAAGATCACAAAGAACGCCCAAAACTTAATCAAGAAACTATGCAGGTACGGTAGCGAATCCAATGGAAGTGAAGAAGGATACTGTTATTTATTGAAGTTTAATTGTCGTATCCACTGAACCCCGTCCACAAAAGCGTTAATATAAATAGTCTAAATAGTCTAAACTGTCGTTGAAAATGCACAATTTCGGAACTTCCTACAAGACACATAATACTCTACAATAAAAATAGTTTCAAGCAATTTCTGATGAAATGACAATGTATATACCTTTTAATTATATATATAAACTTGATAAACGCAATAATCAAAATAACACATTTTATCATGTATAGAAATCAGAAGGTAGTCTCATGACTAAATACTCGTGTTGATATAAAACTGACCTCACTGCCAGGATCTTTACACTATCGATATTATTTCAGGGAGACTCCGTCAGAACGTTTAGGGTTCGGACGGGGTGGTGTGCGAGAGATCCAAAAACACAAATGGTTCGAAGGCTTCAATTGGGATGGCCTAAAGAAACGGAGTCACAAACCCCCTATATCGCCTTCGGTAAGTCACTATTACCTGGCAATAAAACAGCATGCAATGCGCATAGATTATTTAAGTATTTACCGTCCATGAACGTTAGTAGATTGAAATAAATGCGAAGATGAAATATCAAAGTACCGGAACAAAATAAGTCATGCAGAATCATGATGCAGCCAACATTTTAAAATCAAAATGTGAATAATTTTTTTTTGTATTTTGTTTAGATAAAAGGCACAACAGATACCTCAAACTTCGACGATTACCCAGAAGAGGAAGACGACCCCCCTCCAGACGACGTTACAGGCTGGGACAAGGATTTCTGAGAATTGTTCCATGGATCGGTATTTGTTATAATAGAGGACTGGCGTCGGAGGTAACCTTACAGGTCACAATCGGAAGTTGTTGTGGGTAACCTTACACGTCACATCCGGAAGTCGTTGTGGGTAATTTCACCAGTCGCAACTGGAAGCCGTTGTGAATGGAGAGCACAATATGACAATGATCTTAGCGTTCAGAGGTGTTTGAACATTACATTGTGAAACAAACGACCTCACTTGAAGTGTAGAAGGTGACGCCATAGACCTTATTGTCGGTCCTTACTCAAACCTAGGAGGCATCACCACAAAGATAGTGGAATTATGTCACATTAAAGGAACGGCGCCCTACATAACCTATGCAGTGTGTGACTAGTGCTGCTCCAGTGACCGACCAAAGTGAGGTGACTGGCTGTGATAGTGTGTGGTATCTTGATCTCCGTGTCGGTAGACATTTGTGTTTTATACTTTCCAGTGTCTGCTGCGTGCCTTACACCATTTACTACGGCCCACATATCCATCCTTGCACGGTGTTTTCAATGTGGCTCGAATTTCGGATGGACACCAGTAGTGATTCGTGTTTGAATTTTCCGGAAAGCCATATCTACCGTTCAACTATTATTTTCCAACCACCGTCCAAGTAGAAGAGAAAACGTTTAAGCGATTCATCAGATTGCGAACACTGCTGGAATCAAGAATCAAGTTTATAGATTGAGAAATGCAAAACACGTATAATATTTAATTGGATAGCTTTGTATGGCAATATAGTAGGTTTTATTGTTAAATGCAGCAAATATGTTAGTCCCAGTTGTTCCTTCGGGAACTGATTAAGTGCTAGTGGTATTGGTGACCCGTGTTACTGAAAATAACGTACTTTTCGCGTGATAAGTCAGGACTCGCGCCATCACCAATTAAAGACACTATCACGTAAAGGAATCATTACAGACTTTAATTACTAAACTAGTACATGTATATTCCATTGACTTTGGTCAGATGCGACCATGTTAACATTTTACATAGATGTTTTTTTTATTGTGCTGCCAAAGAGAGTCGAATTTTTGCAGCTCCTAGAAATTTACATTTGTAATCAGGCAAGTTTGAAAGGAAAATTAAATACATCGCCATAAAATTGATAGATTTGTAAGGAGGGACTGATTTTATAGAAATACAAGTTTATATATAGCAATGTAATGGCTGATGTCAGCTGTACGTTATTTTATAGACATTGTACCGTGCAACACAAGAAACAACTTACGTGACTTGTGTCGGCTCTCTGGTCGACAGAGTCGTGTGACTTGTGTCGACTCATTGTTTGGCACAGTTGTGTGACTTGTGTCGTCTCTCTCTTTGGTACAGTCGTATGACTTGTGTCGACTCTCTGTTCGACAGAGTTGTGCGACTTGTGTCAGCTCTTGGTTCTGCAAAGTTGTTTGACGTGTCGTCTCTCAGTTTGGCGCAATCGTTTGACTTGTGTCGACTCTCTGTTCGACAGAGTTGTGCGACTTGTGTCAGCTCTTGGTTAAACAAAGTTGTGTAGCATGTGTCGGCTCTCAGTTATGCACAGTTGGGTGATTTGTGTCGGCCCCTGTTCGACAGAGTTGTGTGACTTGCGCCAGCTCATGGTTCAGCGCAGGTGCGTGACATGTGTCTGCTCTCTGTTCGACAGAGTTGCACGACATGTGTTAGCTCTTGGTTCAGCACAGTTGTGCGACATGTGTCAGCTCTCGGTTATGCGCAGTTGAGTGACTTGTGTCGGCTCTCTGTTCGGCACAGTTGTCTGACTAGTGTCGGCTCTCTGTTTAGTAGATCTGTTTCTCTGTTCGACAGATTCTTGTGACAGGTGTCGCCTTTCTGGTCTGCAGACTTGTATGACTGTTGTAGGCTCAAGAGTTCGGCAGAACTGTTCTACAAAAGAGAACGGTTTAAGAGAGGGACTACTAGTAAACGAATTTTTACAATTTTTTATTGTTTAGGTGAAGACATTTTAACTTATACGGGGTTTGGTATTAAGTGTTTATATTTAACGGGGTTTATCTAGACTGCTAGCATGTGTGAATGTTACTTAGCCAAATCGTGTGTAGAGAACGGAAGGGACAGTATTTTATGTACATATGTTTCGTGTGTTTAGTATCTCCGATTAGTTGTTCGACTGTATCGTTTTACTATTATACTGACGAATGGGCTGTTGTGTTATTGTATACTCACAGTATATATCGACATCCCGACATTAACCTTGGTTGTGGTGGCCAGTTCAACCGGATTATGGTCAGCTGAGATCTATCTCCAACAACTTTTAAGTTCACGACGATTCTATCTGTTTAATGAAATCTGACTACAGGGCTATATTTATACGGACTATTCTGTTCTGTAAGGGATATTTTGTGATATTTTTTTCAGTAATCCTAATTATTACATATGTAAAGAAATTGTTGATGACGTTTATAATGGTGCTGTAGTCTAAGGTAATGTATCTGTCCGATCGTCCGTTCGTCTCTACTGGACGTACGAAGGGACATATAACTCCAATTTACTACTTGCCAATGTTGGGTATTCTACTGAAGGGTAACGTGCCTTACATAGTGGTCATGTGACTATTTTGATAGAAAATAAAGAATTCTGAAATACTCTTACCTGATGTTTCTGTCATGTTTTCTCGTTTTATCTAGCCTGTAGATAGTAGTAGAAGTTTTCAGACTATCCCAGCAATGGTCAACATGACCACAATTTGTCTCTAAATGCTAGAGTAACGAAGTTAATGTACACTGATATTTTGTATTAGAAACAATGGACCGTCAGAGCACTGCTTGTTTACAGATACCATGACAACGTACATAACACTCCCAAATATATACCTGCTCCTTTACCTAGGCTTTTATGGTAACTACTTCTGATGGGTTGATGAATCAGATGTAAAGGAATTTGTTTTGAAAAGCATACATATATCTCCATAGTATTATAAACAATCGAAGAGAATATTTACACATGAACAAAATATATAAATACAAAATTGATAAAGCTTAGGCAAAATATAACAAAGATTTACGAGCATTGAACACATATACATGTATCTTCATATCGTATTAGTGAAATAAATATCCTTAATGATTTCACAGCGTTGACCATAGAACTCCTCTGTATTTTTCATCAACCTACATTGTTCGAAACCCTGTGCTTTAAGTTCACGGGGATTGTGATATTGGAAGCAAACGGCACATTCAGCTTGTAAATACTGCAGATTTTGGAATCATGGAACTTACTATCTAGAAATGGAATTTCTAAGTAGACAAATTGAAATAATCATGCTTGTGACATTGCTTAACAGAAAGATGTCCCATCTGAGAAGTCACATTGAAGAGACTGCCGTGTTCGTGTATGTATATTTCTTGATATACAAAACAAGACATCATATTGTCATCTAAATGTGAACTTGGAGTTATAAGCATTGGCCTCTAGAATCCAGGGCCCAAAATAGCGAAATATTGGTGTCGCTGTTGACCTTCCTGTTGAGAGTTCAAAAAGCGCAAAACAGTTTTGTGATTTTCACTACATACATCTTTTATCCAGTCCCATAATTTATATTTATTTTTACGTTTATTTTAAACCTGAATACAAGATCCCGGGACTCTAATACGGAAAGTGTGTTTAGAAGCTAATTCCGTGTATATCTGTGTTTTTCTACAGCGTGAATCACACGAATGAAATCCTTTATACAATGAATGGCTTTCTATCCATGTCAGATATTTTTCTTTCAGTTTACTTTCAGTTTCAGAGCAACATCTCATTGTACCATAAATTTCATTATACATAGTACAGCATGATAAAGACAGTTAGATACGGAATCAATTCATGTTGAAGTGACTTTCTCAGGACATCAGTACCTTGTACCATATACCCTCTCAGGCCACATGTACTACATCATAAACGTGTTACCCTCCCAGGACATCAGTACCTTGTAATAAACCTCTCAGGCCTGATGTGCTATTGATGTCCTCCCAGGACATAAGCAGCACATAATAAACGTTACTGATGTGCTATTGATGTCCTGGGAAGGTAACCCGTTTATGATGTGCTACTGATGTCCTTAGAAGGTAACCCGTTTATGATGTGCTACTGATGTCCTTAGAAGGTAACCCGTTTATGATGTGGTTCCTATGACCTGAAAGGGTAACCCGTTTATGATGTGCTACTGATGTCCCTAGAAGGTAACCCGTTTATGATGTGGTACCTATGACCTGAAAGGGTAACCCATTTATGATGTGGTACATATGGCCTGAGAAGGTAACCCGTTTATGATGTGCTACTGATGTCCTTAGAAGGTAACCCGTTTATGATGTGGTTCCTATGACCTGAAAGGGTAACCCGTTTATGATGTGCTACTGATGTCCTTAGAAGGTAACACGTATAGGATGTGATACTGATGTCCTGATATATACAGCTCTGGCCCATGAAGGTAACAAAATATACACAGCTCTGGCCCATGAAGGTAACAAAATATATACAGCTCTGGCCCATGAAGGTAACAAAATATTCACAGGTCTGGCCTGTGAAAATGACAAAATATACAGCCTACATGTGAAAGGGTAAGCCGTTTATGATGTGGTACCTATGACCTGAAAGGGTAAGCCGTTTATGATGTGTTGCTGATGTCCTGAGAAGGTAACCTATTGTGGGATTGTCTTTGGGGTCAAAAGGTCAACTAAAAAGGTCACGATTGCTAACAGGAGATTTCTGGTTTCCAGATGATAACTTGCTTCAAAAAGTTTAATTACAGCACGGTAGGGGTCCTGTGTTGCTTGCAACACTAACTGTAAGCTTGTTGAACTTTCACATGTAGGCTGTATATTTTGTCATTTTCACAGGCCAGAGCTGTATATAGCTGTATATATTTTGTTACCTTCATGGGCCAGAGCTGTATATATCAGGACATCAGTATCACATCATATACGGGTTTCCCTTTCAGGTCATATGTAACACATCATAAACGGGTTACCTTCTCAGGACATCAGCAACACATCATAAACGGGTTACCTTCTCAGGACATCAGCAACACATCATAAACGGGTTACCTTCTCAGGATATCAGCAACACATCATAAACGGCTTACCTTCTCAGGACATCAGCAACACATCATAAACGGGTTACCTTCTCAGGACATCAGCAACACATCATAAACGGGTTACCTTCTCAGGACATCAGCAACACATCATAAACGGGTTACCTTCTAAGGACATCAGTAGCACATCATAAACGGCTTACCCTTTCAGGTCATAGGAACCACATCATAAACGGGTTACCTTCTAAGGACATCAGTACCACATCATAAACGGGTTACCTTTTAAGGACATCAGTAGCACATCATAAACGGGTTACCCTTTCAGGTCATAGGTACCACATCATAAACGGGTTACCTTCTAGGGACATCAGTAGCACATCATAAACGGGTTACCTTCTAGGGACATCAGTAGCACATCATAAACGGGTTACCTTCTAAGGACATCAGTAGCACATCATAAACGGGTTACCTTCTAAGGACATCAGTAGCACATCATAAACGGCTTACCCTTTCAGGTCATAGGAACCACATCATAAACGGCTTACCCTTTCAGGTCATAGGTACCACATCATAAACGGCTTACCCTTTCAGGTCATAGGAACCACATCATAAACGGGTTACCTTCTCAGGACATCAGTAGCACATCATAAACGGGTTACCTTCTCAGGACATCAGCAACACATCATAAACGGGTTACCTTCTCAGGACATCAGCAACACATCATAAACGGGTTACCTTCTCAGGACATCAGCAACACATCATAAACGAGTACCTTCCTCTGCTGACATTATATATATATATTGTACTAAATATTGTTAGCACAAAGTCGCATGTTACTTTCGCGGGGACAAATCTGTATATCTAATGCCACTTCCACGGGACATGCAGTATATCTAATGCCACTTTCATCGGTCAGGCTCTATTTTCATTGCCACTTTCAAAGGTCTTGCCGTATATCTAATGCCACTTTCAAAGGTCTTGCTGTATAACTAATGCCACTTTCACATGTCAGACATTATTTTTTATGCCACTTTCACAGGTCATGCCGCATATCTAATGCCACTTTCAAAGGTCTTCCTGTATATCTAATGCCACTTTCAAAGGTCTTGCTGTATAACTAATGCCACTTTCACATGTCAGACATTATTTTTAATGCCACTTTTACAGGACAGGCTGTATAACTAATGCCATTTCCACAGATCAGGCTGTATATTTTATGTCACAATTACAGGTGCCGTTGAAACTGCAACGGACTACAATGCTTATCGTCGTCTGTCTGTCTGTCTGTCTGTCCGGACCGGATGATATCTTGCATAAGGGATGACCGATAAGGTTAAAACTTGATAAAATGTCAATTTAGTATGAGATCTAGTGTTGGATTGTGTTTGGGGTCAAGAGATCTACTACAAAGGTCACTGTTACTAAAAATAGATTTTTGATTCCAGATGATAACTTGAGTTAGGGATAGCTGATCAGGTTTAAACATGATACAATATTAGGTTAGGAAACCTATTGTGCGATTGTCTTTGGGGTCAAAAGGTCAACTACAAAGGTCACGGTTGCTAACAGGAGATTTTTGGTTTCCAGATGATAACTTGCTTGAAAAATTTTAATTACAGCACGGTAGGGGTCCTGTGTTGATTGCAACACTTACTGTAAGCTTGTTGAACTTTCACATGTAGGCTGTATATTTTGTCATTTTCATGGGCCAGAGCTGTGAATATTTTGTTACCTTCATGTGTCAGAGCTGTGTATATTTTGTTACCTTCATGGGCCAGAGCTGTATATATTTTGTTACCTTCATGGGCCAGAGCTGTATATATTTTGTTACCTTCATGGGCCAGAGCTGTATATATTTTGTTACCTTCATGGGCCAGAGCTGTGTATATTTTGTTACCTTCATGGGCCAGAGCTGTGTATATTTTGTTACCTTCATGGGCCAGAGCTGTATATATTTTGTTACCTTCATGGGCCAGAGCTGTATATATTTTGTTACCTTCATGGGCCAGAGCTGTGTATTTTATGTTACCTTCATGGGCCAGAGCTGTATATATTTTGTTACATTCAATTATGTTTCCTCTCATGTGGTTCCGTGTTCTAAATATATTCTCCAATACCTAATAACCCATTTTTCTATTTTAGAGAATTTCCCCTGACAATATCTATTTGTAATATATAATAAATTCTTATTTTCATATCTGAATTTTATTATACAACATTACTATAACATATTTTGTGTACATTATATAATTTTGGCTAACAATGCAAGAGTTGTCTCCCTTATAATTCATTTTCACACACATCCACACATCCTCGTACCCAGTTCAACAAATACATCTAGCCAAGATATTGTTACATATTACAGGACAAATCTTCATGGACGGCTGAGGAAACTTATCACAGTTAGGCCAGTAATCACAAAGGCTGGTCAGTCCAGCATAAATCTGCCAGTAGCTCTTCTTTTATATCCAAAATAGTTTAAACAGCTTTGGCGAACAAATAGTTGAAGGTTTCCTTTGATTCATCTTTAGACACTTTCCAGACAACTTTTTATATCCTATCTACATATTAGTAAATGCCTCATTGTCAATGATATGATGTTTTGATTTTTGTGACTTGAACTATCAGGTATATCTATCTACGATGCTTCTTGCTCTGGTGGAGCCTCTCCTCCTTCCTCCTTTGCTTGCTCACCGTCCTCCTGTAGGCAGAAGTGTTCAAATCATTATACATTCACTGATATATATCATATTAATAGTGATTTGATTACTAAAGCCTTTCTACACATTAAGTATATCTAACACTAAAAACCAGAGAGTATATTTTATGACTTTAGACAATGGAAGTACTTAAATATACATATGTTCCTGCCCCTGTAACTATACTCAACTGTATGCATTTGAGTACTTAACATGAACACTTACTCAACATTAACTAATACCGGTAATAACAAACACAAACCTCTTTTGGTACAGACACCTCCTCTGTTGTCTCCTCACTTGGTTTCTGTGCTTCTTCTGCAGGTGTTTCTGTTGCCTCGCTAGGTTTTTCTGCCTCCTCTGTTACCTCTGGTGCAGCCTCTTCCTGGATTTGAGCCACTGTTGGTTTGATTTCTTCCTCTGTGGGCTCCTGTGCCTCCATCACTGGTGGCAGCTTAGTTGGGGATGAACTCTCCTTCTTAGCACGCTCCTCCTCAGCCTACCAGAGGGGACAACGCAAATATCATAAATTGTTCTTTTAAGTTCAATGAACAGATCCAATTTATTTACTAAATTATAACTGCAGAACTTTTATAAAGATTCCAACTGCAAAATATGACCACTTTATTGATCTTTCAAATTAAGAACAGTTTTTTTTAAAAACAATGTCTACCACAATATAATGCCATGAAAACATGCTTGAAAATTTCCTTGTAATTGTGAAATACATCCCTGGTATAACCAAGCCTTTGTGAAGTGTACAATCACAATCAAACATAATAACAATGAAAATAAGTGAGACCAAGTGTAATTAGGTAAACACTTGCCTTTCTTCTCTCTTCATCTTCTTCTGCAATTTTCATAGCTTCTTCTTTCCTTTTTGCTTGTATTTCCTTCTCTTTTTCAAAGTTGTCTTGTTCCAGAATTAGCATCCTCTTTTCATTTTCTTTCTGGAAAAAATGGTTCATACATTAAGATTAAATTTAGTTTTATAATTACATAATCCAAACTAAGAATAATCTGACCAAATTTAATGTGTGGTACTAATCATGTTGAAGGTTTATGAGCCACAATAACATGTCACATATATAAAAATGTCACAGCAGTGTAATCAGTCAGGTCACTTTGAATATGATTGAATATGATTGAATATGATCAGCAGTTGTGTAAGCCATATCAATTCAAACTCATATAATTTGATAAAGATTTGCTTATTCTTATTAAAAATTATATAAAGACTGTTGATTTTAATATTGATATTTTGTTTGTATATTATAACCATCTGTATGAGTTCAATTAATTCAAAAACAATATCTCGTTTGTTCATATTGTACAGTTATGTAACTTCATCAAAATGTTCCAAAAAATCTAAATAGTAATGTCATAAATAATCATGATCATTGATACCTATTTCCACTACATGCCCACTTTACAAATGATACTGACTTTAATATACTTCCTGATTTAATAATTTTATTGATAAATATAAGTACATCTAATTGTCAGAAAATAATTGAACCTATTTACGACCTCAAATAACTTATTCACACAGATAATGATTGGTGAATGACTACAAATCAGCTACAATAACCTTAGAATCAAACCTTACTTGAGCTTTGTATTGTTCGTTTTCTTTCATCTTGTACAACCATTGTGCAATGTACTCTACTGGATCCCTGGGTCTTTTTTCTGCTACTTCTGATAAGCAGGCAGCAAGGCAAGACCCTAGCTGTTTCTTGAGATAGGCAGAATCCATGCTAACACCTGCGTTGTAAAGTAGAAATTAAAATATGTCACTTCCAATCATACAAAATTAAATATAACTCAACAACGATTTAGTTTAAAATCTATTCTACATATGTATATCATAGTTGTTACTGTCATAGCGTATCGGACAATGAACAGTTTGACTAAAATATACTTGCTATGAATCCACGTGCCCTAATGTATGGACGTTAGTCAGGAAATGTACTGTATTGTGTGTGAAATTGGGGGAAGGAGAGGGGGGCGGTTTCGGTCAGCAAATAAAACGACGTGGCTGTTCATTGATAATTAATACATATATCACCAGCAGTTACCATGTGCTATCATTGGAATGTACAAGAATACTTTATTGTCCTAGTTAGTCTAGTATTCCGAAACGTTAACATGTGAACCAATTCACTGACGAAGTTGGCTTCCTTCACGACCGTCGTTCACTACATCACATTTCGTTAAAAAACAACAAATGACTTGAATGAAAAACCCATATGCAAGTATCTGTTTAGGGAAGATATTTAGATACACTATTAACTACAACTAAAATATCTGTGAACATCATTTCAAGCACTAGAAATCGTTCTTACCAACTTCTATTTCAGCTCTTGTTCCTATGCAGCCTCGTTTTAGAATAACAACTTCCGGTATTTCCTTAGTTACACTTGACAATGGCGTCTCGTTGCTAGCGAGAGGTAATCAGGTGTGGACTCACCTCGTGTTCAGGCCTAGTACGACCCGTGTGGGCATTTAACAGATCAGAGGAAGTAGCTTATCTTAAAAAGGCGGCAGCAATGACTACCAAAGTGTCGTTTGCTGACAATAATGATCCAAGAAGCATTTACAATGTCATTGATGGAAATGAACCCTGGGCCGGAAGAATGCTTTTTACAGGTAATGTATTGTTAACTCTTAATTGTACTGATAAATCAATATTAATTTAAGTATAATTAATAGATATTACAAGAACAAAAAAAAAATATTTGTAACCGTGTGTTGCAAATTCAGTTAAGTCTACATCATATGTAAGATCGTTGTCATAACTTTGGGACAACTTTGGCTCAGTTTAGGAGTGGTGCAGTAGGGTTAGTATGTTAGCACAGTAAGACCGACTTAATACACATATCTCCAGTGAAAAGAGCGTCAAATACACATTCTGTAAAGGCTTGTATTTACACTTGCGGTTGGTTATCAATACGTATTTACATAGGGTGTTAAAACCAGACGGAATGTAAATATGCTTTAAATAATAGTTTAATTTCGAAAACTTAAAGCTGGAAGTTTATCGCCCAAATCTTATTAATCATTATAAATAAATGTAGGCCTATGAAGGCTTTATTCATTTACCGGTAGATTAATGAATTATTAAGTATTGTCTAGATCCATTTGTTTGGCCCGTGCGTTTTAGGTTTAATTGTTGTGAAGTTAGGGTTCACTTATCTAGAAGTCTGTAATAAATTGGCCATTACATAAGATTTTTTTTATAAATGTTATAAGATATTTTACGGGCCTTATTATTTGCGCGCAATGAATGCCACATGTAATAGTATTTCATTATGTATCTCTTTTTGACATTCTGCATTTTCTGAAATTGATATGCGCATACAATATGTATATCACTGAAATAAAAGCGAAATACTATACATATATGTCATTACCGTGTGGTTACCTTTGAGTATTTGTGCCGTAGTCAAAAGGCACGTCGGATTTTATTCTGTTCGGCTTAAACTACACATATCACGCGAGAGAAGTTATGTGGGACCAAACAAAACCCCCAACGAACCACACACACACACACACACACACACACACACACACACACACACACACACACACACACACACACACACACACACACACACACTCACTCACACACACACACACACACACACACACACACACACACACACACACACACACACACATACACACACACACACACATACACACACACATACACACACACACACAATCATTACCCTGAAATATATTCGTCATTTTAAAATTCAATTTAGCAGTGCTAGTGATGATTGACTATGCGATCAGTTGTGTCCCAGTAGATGGCTGAATGGTAACAGTAACTAGGATGATTGGTAAAATCAATAAAACATTCACTAAAGCGGTAAAAAATGTTAAATATTAATTAGGTAGGGAATACCTGGCGCCGTCAATACACAGCAGACTACTTGTAACATGTAGTTTATAACAATTTGGCGTAATTATCTCTCGTTATTGGACGCATGAACTCAGCAAATTGTATACAACACAATGGGAAATAAGAAATTGTGATTTCTCCCCTATTATTCTGTGCCATCCATAATACAAGTAATCATACAGAGTTTTACAATATCAACTCTGTAGGCCAAGAAAATATTGAAGTCCTTGTTAGTAATTCCACGTCTCATGAATACCACTGAGCTATTTTTTCCTATCTTGAGTAATATCCGAACCATTCTCTTTATCCGTACGTAATATGCCAATCATTTACTCATTTCATATATATCACAAGCATTTTATCGTTCTGTTTGCAATATCCTATTCTTTCACAGATTCGGTATATAATAATATTTCAATAATTTACGCATTTTATACATGATATCCAAACCAATTACCTTTTCGGTGCATATTCTTCCAACCATTTAATATCGTATCCGTTTACTCAATGAAATATCACAAACATTTCCTCTTGTCGTACTTTATATCTCAGTCGTATTTACTTATTTCGAATGAAATATCCCAGCCATTTCCTCTTTACATGATTAATACCCCACAAAAATATGTAATATCCCAGCCATTTCCTCTTTACATGGTTAATATCCCACAAAAATATGTAATATCCCAGCCATTTCCTCTTTACATGGTTAATATCCCACAAAAATATGTAATATCCTAATTATTTCCTTTTTCTGAATACATTTCCCATCATTTACTCATTCCACCTGTATTGTCTCGAGCAAGTACCATTTGATCTGAAGGATAATATATGTTATAGTTTTTTTTCTGTAATTCACTGATGTATATTTTGTGGTGTGATTGCAGTGGATTTCAGCGTGATACCGCTGTTATATTTTGTATTATAATAGCACAAGGGTCTCAATATGCCATTGTTATATTGTGGTGTAAACATTGTTATATTTTGTATTATAATAGCGCTAGAGTCTCAATATGCCATTGTTATATTGAGGTGTAAACACTGTTATATTTTGTATTATAATAGCGCTAGAGTCTCAATATGCCATTGTTATATTGAGGTGTAAACACTGTTATATTTTATGGTACGATATCATTGTTATATTTTGTGGTATGATAACACTGTTATGAGGAATGATAACTTGAATTAGAGATCGGACATGTGACACTTTGTCATTACAGGCCCTGATGCTAACAGGGACCACAGGGTGACAGTAGAACAGGAACACAGACATATAGGTATCGGGACTATGTCTGCCGAGGGCACGGGCGAGGCGGATTACATTTGGAGGGCGGGCGCCCAGACTCCCCACCCTAGACCTCGCTCACGGATGGTTGGTGAGGTGGGCTGGGGCGTTCCCTGTATGACTGACTGGAAGATGCCTCGTTCTGGCAGGCAGGTCGTGGTATGTATTTGTGCTCGTGTTGTATGGGATTTGAGAGATAGACTGGTATTTTAATGGTTTGTTATCATCCTGAACCATACTATGTATTAACTAAAAACATGAAGACGTATTTCTAAACTTGACGTATTGGGAAAACATCACATACAAGTTTTTATATAACATAAAATATCTGATATAGGTCCGGGAAGAAGGGGATTAAGACCGTTGATGTCTATTTGCACAGACTTAGCTAGCTAAGTCTGTTATTTCATTGAAGTTGTTAATACGGTACCATAGCTGTTCTTATTAGTAAGTAACCAGGACTAGCTCGGTATGGTCAAGAGTTTTGTAGTTATATACGGCACATTTCAATTGTATTTTTTACATTTTATTTTCCAGTTGGGAGAATTTAGGCAGGAATGTGAAGATCGTTACTCCCATCTTTATCAAAACCCCTGGTGAGTTGTGTCAGTATCGTCAGAATATTTATGTATACACGGATTGAAGTGTGATAAGTCTGCATATCGCATACTTCCTTTTAACGGATTTAATAAATATCGATCAATATTGACGAATTCCATATCACCAACAAACGTACGTACACTTACGTATATACGATCTACCATGGGAAGTTTTCCATGGGTTCAGTTTAATGAAAGGCACAAAGGTTCTCATTGTGTAACGTAAATCAACTAAAGTTGTTATCGGTATATAATTAAATTATTTTAATAACAGTTGTCAAGCAATGAATGTTTATCGTATACAGCAGAAAACTCATTAAACGTTTCATTAACTCAATCCAGGTGTAAAAGGAGGGGGTTGGTATGGCATGTGCGTAGCGTTAAATACGGTCTCAGTGGACGCAAAGCGATATACATATGAACGTACATAATCTACCCTTACAGGTACCCCGGACCAAGGGATGACGTCACACCTGGGTCGGACGCCTCTTTGGTGATGAACGTGTACAGGCCGAGAACTACAGCCGGGAACACTCGCTCAGGTAGTAGTCGGCCACGGCCACTAAATAGCCCCTACAGCCAGACACCAGTTACCAAAGGGCGGCCATCATACGATATACTTAGGGTTACCCATACAGGTACCGATTGTTACACTTTGGTAGATATCGAGTTGATGTAGATACTCTTCTTCGACTCTGGCTACAGCTGCTGAGTGGTTCTGGGTACTGGTGTTGACATAGTCTTACTAATACAGTTATATTCCACATATTGTTTTCGTCTTTCAAAGATACTAATACTTTTCTTTACAACTTTCATTACTCTCTCCAATTTATTTCTTCAATTTATACCATGCATTTACAGCTTCCGTCTATTCCGCTTATCGTACTATTTCCGTTTATCCCGCTTACAACTTTCATCTACCATTTATAACTTCCGCTTATCCTCTTCTTACTTCTGTCAATGCCCTTACTATGGCTGCCGTCCTTGCGCTTGTTACTTCCGTCTTTTCCCTTATAGCCCCTGTCTGTGCCCTTACAAATCCAATCTTTGCCTTTACAACTAACGTCTATTCCATTTATTACTTTTGTCTATCGGATTCTTATTATTTTTTCGGTACCACTTCTATTGTAGTTTGTCCTGCATATTGCCTGCATCTATGTCATTTTTTTTTACTTCCTCTCTCCAATTAATTTATATGTATATGCAATACTTATACCGGTAATCTACCGTCTGTGTACATATTCCGGGTGTGTACGTACACATTTACATATACTGGTTGTCTTCCACTCACGTGTAAGTACATATACCGGATGTGTACGTACACATTTACATATACCGGTTGTCAATCCCTCATATGTAAGTACATATGCCGGGTGTGTACGTACACATTTACCTTTTCCGGTTGTCTATCCCTCATGTGTATGTACATGTACCGGATGTGTTTGTGCACATTTACCTTTTCCGGTTGTCTATCCCTCATGTGTATGTACATATACCGGATGTGTTTGTGCACATTAACCTTTTCCGGTTGTCTATCCCTCATGTGTATGTACATGTACCGGATGTGTTTGTGCACATTTACCTTTTCCGGTTGTCTATCTCTCATGTGTATGTACTTACACTGGAAGCCTATCGCCTTGTTATAATGATAAATATCCGTATACTTACCTTACTGATCCAACATTTTATTGTATTTTTTATAGTGTATACTTAAATGTAAATATATCTTTCTTAGCTGTATATATGTGCTAATTTATTCTATACTATCTCGTTGTATATTTCCAACATTTAAAAGTTATAAAGAGGTGCGAGATCTTGAATGAAAGATAAAATAAATGTAAATTACAAAAGAAGAAGAAACTGATAAAGACAGGAGTATTTGTTTGTTTGTCTTTGGTATGGATGTCATTTGTAACAAATCGTCCACTTGGTTTTTCAGGCAACATGGACGCTCAGCCGAGTAGTTCGGACCAGGATACGTCCACCACAGAGTGAAAATAACCAATGGTCAGTGAAAGCTATTCTGATGTGATGTTGTAATTATGGTAACAATAATGTTTTCGCCAAAGCCTTCAGTTTTTGTATTTGTTGTCTCCGTTTCATATTGTTTTTTATCAATTTCTTGTCGGGAAGATGCACGAATATCTTGTATTTTTTAATTTTTGTAACAATTTTATGGAAGACGATAAAATCATGCAAATTGCCCCCTTTGCAGTATCGTCAGGTCAGTTGCCCTATTAACGGTATCGTCAGGTCAGTTGTCCTATTGACGGTATCGTCAGGTTAGTTGTCCCATTGACGGTATCGTCAGGTCAGTTGCCCCATTGACGGTATCGTCAGGTCAGTTGTCCCATTGACGGTATCGTCAGGTCAGTTGTCCCATTGATGTATCGTCTGACCAATTGCCCTTTTGGCGGTATCGTCTGATCAGTTGTCCTATTGACAGTATCATCAGGTCAGTTGTCCCATTGACGGTATCGTCAGGTCAGTTATCCCATTGACGGTATCGTCAGGTCAGTTGTCCCATTGATGTATCGTCTGACCAATTGCCCTATTGACGGTATCGTCAGGTCAGTTGTCCTATTGACGGTATCGTCATGTCAGTTGTCCTATTGACGGTATTATCAGGTCAGTTGTCCCATTGACGGTATCGTCAGGTCAGTTGTCCCATTGACGGTATCGTCTGGTCAGTTGTCCCATTGACGGTATCGTCGGGTCAGTTGTCCCATTGACGGTATCGTCAGGTCAGTTGTCCCATTGACGGTATCGTCTGATCAGTTGTCCCATTGACGGTATCATCAGGTCAGTTGTCCCATTGACGGTATCGTCTGATCAGTTGTCCCATTGACGGTATCGTCAGGTCAGTTGTCCTATTGACGGTATTATCAGGTCAGTTGTCCCATTGACGTCATCATTTTGCTCAGACAATGTCGACGTTATGGCCTTTTCAGCTGTCATATAGTTGTCGTTTGTCTGAAATGTTACGTCAACATCCCCATGGTACTGGTTAAATGTAGCTAACTTAGCAATGTTTACCAGATTGTAAAGTCATTTTTATATTGCAGACACGAAGAAGTGGAATGAGGATCTGGGACATTTTGAAAAGGAATGGTGCTTTTAGCATTTTAGTCTGGACGCGGTCTGATTGGGTCATGTGATTTAATTGAGGGACGTGCAATACACAGCTAACGATTTTCTATCCACACACCGCATCAGTATTAAGTTACTATGGTAACATAGTCTTGCCAGTTACAATAGGACTGTGTAGGCTGTACGCTCGCTATTGTTATAGATTCTATATAGTGTTCATTCACAAAACAGTATTTTCTATATAGCTTTATGTTATCGTTCTATTTGCACAGGTATTATTGATATATTTTAGATATACACACTGCTCAATGCTGCACTTTATTGTAGATGGACCTTGTAGCGTTTCTTTGTTATTTTGTGAAAATAAAAGTTCGATCTACTTTACTTTTCTGCCTTTTGTTGTACATAACCTTGTTTATACGGCGTGTACAAGTCAAGTATTACTGAATTCATTTCGAAAAAAATCAATTCACCAGGTAAGAAAGGCTAAAAATGGGCGTTCTGTCCTGTGCTTATATAGACCAACGCCTTAGAGACAACTGTACCTTAATAAGCATTGAAAAGGAGACATTTACTAACTAGGAAATATATTTCAGAACTCAGCTGATATGTATGTTCCTTTTGTCCTGTGCTTATATAGACCAACGCCTTAGAGACAACTGTACCTTAATAAGCATTGAAAAGGAGACATTTACTAACTAGGAAATATATTTCAGAACTCAGCTGATATGTATGTTCCTTTTGTCCTGTGCTTATATAGACCAACGCCTTAGAGACAACTGTACCTTAATAAGCATTGAAAAGGAGACATTTACTAACTAGGAAATATATTTCAGAACTCAGCTGATATGTATGTTCCTTCTGTCCTGTGCTTATATAGACCAACGCCTTAGAGACAACTGTACCTTAATAAGCATTGAAAAGGAGACATTTACTAACTAGGAAATATATTTCAGAACTCAGCTGATATGTATGTTCCTTCTGTCCTGTGCTTATATAGACCAACGCCTTAGAGACAACTGTACCTTAATAAGCATTGAAAAGGAGACATTTACTAACTAGGAAATATATTTCAGAACTCAGCTGATATGTATGTTCCTTTTGATCAATTATGAGAGTTATGGTCCATGTTAAGGTCCATGTGCTGATGATGAAGACAGGGTCGGTGATCTAGTAAGCACTTTCTATAAAACCTGACAGGTAGGGAGTTTTGAAATAGGTGACAATCATCGGCGAGTGTTCTGAATGGGGTCAGAATGTACCATAGCTCAAATTCCATTGAACCAACTCTCAAATCTGCAGAGGGAGATGTACAACCTGACGAAACTTCAGGGAAAAACTTAAGTTGCGTATTACAACAATTTGCGACTCCTTGTGAACAGCAACTGAACAGGACAAAGTTTGTAACACTGATCACATTACACACGGGTTACACGTATAGACAAACAAGTGTGGAAACTGTCATGAAATGATGGACATCTTTGTTCCTTTATCCATGTATAGGGGATCAGGCAGCAGTGCCGATTTTGTAAACTTGTACACATGGAAATGAGTGAAGGCGAACCTTCTGATTTTTCGCTCAAAAGGATCCGATGTACAGTAGGGACAGAAGTATGGTCTTGTTTTTCAATCACATATTGAATTGTTTATAATTTTCTGCAATAAAACCTATTCTTACCGAACGCTGACTTTTTATTCTTTAATTAAAAGTATGCATTTTTATACTACAAATTAGGATATGTTTACGGTATATGACTTGATATCTATAGCCTGCTATGTGATTAAAAGAATAATTGTTGGGGAAAGTCGTTAATTCTTCCTATTCTTGTCCATTACATGTATGTTGTTATCTGCAAAAGCGGACGTCACGAAGGACACGAGCTAATATAGCGATCATCTTAAGCATCGTGTTCCTCAAGTTTGTTTAGGGCGTCTTCCACAGGGACTGGTCTCATTTTGTTGCTATACGTATGCTATAGAGAGGTTATAAATACCGCTATCAACAATTAGTAATTGCATCAGCAATATATCTATTATCATCTTATGCTAATAAACTTACAGAAACACCGCAGATGATCTTATTTTCTGTGTTACAAATCACACTGGATGTTATATATTACATGAGTGTGATAATAACAATAAGGTAGTGTGTTAGTGTGTAGATATTAATAGATATTTCCCTGTGTAATGTCATACATCACGACAATGTCCTCCAACACATGTGTAATGGAAAAATGAACAAAAATACTATGTGAATACATACAGTTATGCGAAAATCGCCCTTAAACTTTAAAAGGGAATTATGAATTATAACCCTTGCGAGAGACTTAAGGCGAAAGTATGGAAATCCAGATTAAGGGCGGGGATGTCAGAATCTAAATCGGCTTTGAAAACTGGTAAAGAGGTGATCACAAATTGTGATTTATATTACTAAAAAAAAATAGATTTAAGATGTGACGTTGTGGTTCAAGAAACTGAAGCCTCCAAGGTCAATGTTTTCGTGAAAGGTCAGTGTTATGTATCCCTGTATCCCTTATCATCAGACGGTGTTATAGACAAACGGTTGAAAATGACAGAGTTTTTCCCACATGGACGTATAATACAGTGTATTACATACATCCATGTTCTCACTAACTGGATGATTTTCGTGATTGCAACTTTTAAAAAGAAGTACCTATATGATTTTAGCTTTTGAAACTTGTTTTATAAGTAATATAAATTAGACTATCGGTTGATATAGTCCGAAAACTGCATGCTGAACATATAGTTAGTTTTCATGATTTTTGTTTTAAAAACATGCATGTATTGTAAACAACTAAGATACGTCGATGTTTGATAGTTGTAATGACGTGTAGAAATTGAGGCACGGAAACTTTCGCAAATTCAAAACACGACAAAAATTATGACGTGTAGAAATATTTCACTGTTAGTCAACCTGTCGAGGTTAATGTCATCCTGGACGGATGTTACATCTACGCATGCGCGACGAGTGTAAACATTGACTAAAATCATGGCGACATTCACGTCCGTGTATCATGGAGGAGTGCGAGAAGATCAGTACCTTGGTACATGGAAGGTTCGTTCTCTTCGATACGACGATCGTTTTGTAGTTATTCCTGAAGACTATTACTAATTCATATTATCATTTTTCAGATTGTGGAATGCGTATCGTTAGCAGGTACAGTGGACACGACCGGCATCGAAGGGTAAGGTTCGGCCCGACATATCATGTTATCATATAGGCCTAATTCAGCATTGTCCCTTTCTTATTCTAATTGTCGCAATGCGAAATAAATCACATTTGAAAATTCAGTATCCTATATGTTATTGTATCCAGTTACGACGTAATCGTCTATAGATCTGTGATAGTAGTTAAGTTATTTATTCTAATTGCGCAGTGAGGTTTTTTTTTATATGTTGTGACAAAAATATGTATGACAGATTATGTACGTATGAGTCAGAGACTGATCTTGGGCTGTGTTAAATCCAGGAGGCTGGCCAGAAAATGTAGTTTTCCCAATTGCAATGTCCATACACTATATTCGTGATGAATGATTAACATAGTAAATATATAATATTGAGAGGATGACTTAGTACAAGAACTCCCAAACACATTCCCAGTGCCCCATTTTCTCACTACGGATGATGAAAATCCTCAGAAGTAAACTAGAAAATATGAGAGTATAAATAATACTAATTTATTAAGCATTAGAAAGCAAACCTGACAAAATTACACATACATTCCTGTTCACTGACTGATATGTTAAACCCCCTCCAAAAAATGAAAAGAAAAAAAAATATGTTGCCATAGATGGTGTGTTCACAATAAACCATACCAAACTTAACCTGTCATTTTTTAAATCCTTTAGGGCAACATAATACATGCAAGTTTATTTTAAAAGTAGTTCACTCTGCCTGACCATTTGGTAATATTGTATGCCAATGTGAGGTGTATGATTGATTGAATTGTAAATAAATAAGTTGGACAACATGTTTCTGATATATTTGTTCCCCAATTGTATTTTATAACCTTCAAATTTCAGCCAATTGTTGTTAAAATGCCATTTTGTTTGGTTACTTTTTAAAAGCACTTTATGACTTACCTAGCTGTACACCAAAATGTCTTGGCTTAGAAATCAGAGTCATTACCCTTGGTTAGTCTGAGGTGAGAAAGTATGTTGGAGTTACAATGCTTCTTCTCAAATCTTATGGTGTTCCCAACCTCTTTAACTTTTTGTAAAGGTTAGAATCCATGGTTTATTATGAACTTCACCTGGTGAGGGATAAGAAATAGATGTAGATACCCACTAACTTAGAGATTGGATTCACATCCACCTAGTAAATGAAAGGTTATCATTTAGCCCCTAGCATTGTCAGGGTATTTTCCAAGACTACCTCCTATGTATAATTGAGAACTATAAACATGTATGTATGATTGCTGTATATATTGTAAAGGTCAGAGTTCCACCTGGATGACAGTGGCGATGTGTCTTGGAAAGTGGCTGATGACGTGGACGCCATGCCATTCTTTAATTCTGATACTTATGAGGTACTCTATATATACATTAGAACTATCAGTATTTTTTTTAGTATTTTTCACATGCCAAATAAACCTAAGATGATTGAGATGTTTTACTGTCAATAAATCTTTATAGTTTACAAAGTACAAGTAAAATAATGGAGGCAGATATTTCTTTGCTTTAGAGATATTCCTGGTGTTTTGTGGAAATTATTTCTTTAATTTAGATCTTCTGTGAAATAATTTAAACTGCGATTAATTCAGCATCCACATGTATTAGAATTAAGGTTTCCTAAAAATCCTGTTTAAGTAACTTTTATATAAAGATAGTAATATGTCTTTTGTACAGATACTGTTCCCACCTGGGAAGATGAATTCTGTCCAACTGAAGTTTTTTGGGACTTTAGCAGAACATGTGATTGAATTCAATGTAAGTGCAGTATATGCTATCAATGATAGGATTTACCAATAAAAGTGAAAATGGAAATAGTTTTGTGTACTGATAAAATGTCGTTTTGAGACTTAAAGAAGAACATTTATTATGACATAAAATCGCTGATAATGAAGATTTTAAGTGCACAATATGGTACAAAAGAAGTTTACACTGGACAATGTATATTTTTTTCCATTCCTTGTTAAATATTCTTTTTTACCTTTTCCACACTAATGGAATAATGTTTTGTATGTTAAAAGTTCATATATTTCGCTTCGTGTAATATTAATCTGACAAAGTAAATTGTCATGGCTTCATTAAAATTTTGTTAGACATCATTGTTTTATGTTGTAGGTGGAGATTTCTGGTGAACTGATGCTGTTGACATGTGATCGATGCTGTATGTTACAGTGTCAGAAGGTATGTTGTGTCCACATAACAGTTTACACAGAGACTTAATTTATGCTATATTTCATCATGACAGATCCAAGTAATTTATTCTGCTGCATGTTAGTCCTTTAATGATCCTAGCATTTAAAGGTATATTATTCCTGTTAATCTCAAAACATTTACATAACCTGAGAAATTATCTTGCTATAGGCAAAAATCTTTGGGCCCCCTCACACCTGTATCCTCCATTTCTACTTTGCTTTGCCACTTGTTTCTCTGGTTTTTTTTTTACCAGTACTACTTTCCCCTGCCCTCTTACCTGTATCATTCAAGGCTACTTTTCTGCTGTCCTCAAACCTGTTGTTCTTCAAATGGTACTGCTTTCCTGCTGCAATCATACCTGTATCCTCCATTGATATTTTCCCTTTGTCTTCACTCCTGTTTTTTCCAAGTCAGTGCTACCTTTCCCCTGCCATCACATCTGTATCATAACTGCTTTCTCCTGTCCTCACACTCATATCCTTCATGGCTACACCCCCTCCCCCCTCTCCCTGCCCTCATACCTGCTTTCTCAGAACTCAGAATCCAGTACTACTTTCCACTGTCCTCACAACTAAATCTGTACTTACCAGGGAATAATCTACTTTCAGGTGTCTACCAACAGTTCTAAGGGTGATTGTCATTACACATTTGGACGAGCTTTAGATGAAGGATATTTCTCTGATCTTGTTATTACAGCTGAATCAGGACATCAGGTAAATGAAGCATATTTCCAAACAGAAATATGTAGTATGTCTGTGTTAGATGTTTCCTTACATTGTTGTAGTACAGATAAGGTGAATACATGTTCTGCTGCTGATAAGGTTAGGGCAGCCATCTTGTATAGGGCTTGTATAATCAGAATATTAAAAGTTCTGACTCCCATTTTAGACAGGATATGTCGTCAGCCCATGTATATTTGAATGCTGTCATTCTCCACTAATTAAGATTTTGTCTTTATATTCATATCTTAGTAAACTTTTTACTAGATTTTTGCGTTGTAGAACTCGTAGGTATAAGTTTGGTGATATCTTTTCAATATTGAAAATTAATTAATTTCTCACATATTGTAGCTGTGTGCTTGACTATTCCCCAGCACAAAATCGAAGGATGCCATTACCATTAGATCATTTGCACCATTTTTCAGGATGGGAATAGGGTCAACTATCTTATACAGCCATTCACTAACTTTTGCTATATTGCTGCAATATTATAAAGTTTATGTTCACTTTTAAGAATTATTTTGAACAAGAATTTAAATTTGATATTTAGCTATATTGCAATGTCTGCCGTTTTCTGTATACTGTCAGATCTGAGCTATAATTATCAAATAGGTGATAAATCATCCAATAGAACAAGGAAGTAAGCCAGAATAGAATCAACAAGACACATACTAGCTGATGCTTAGTTGATTTACCGAATGTGTTTTAAACAGTTCCAGGTCCACTCTCTGATCCTGGGTCTGAGCTGCCCTGAAATGGATTGGTGGCACAACCCCCCACCCCTAACAGGCCTCCGGGAGGATGTTCTAGGCACTTTGCTCCACTATCTCTACACTGAATGTCTCCCCAAGGGTCTCTCTGAGGAAACTGTTAAAGTCTGCATCAAAACTGTCAGCAAGCTCCCGGGCATGGAGAACTTTGTCAAACTCTGTAATACTTTCCTGAAAAATACTGCTCTTCGTCAGCGTAAGTATTGAATGAAAAATAACAAATTATGTAATTCATGGTACAACATCAAAGCAAATCTATGATTATATTTAATTTGAAATTTTGATGTAGATTCAAGATGCCAATAAAATATATGAAATTCACAGTACCTTCAATATCATATAACCATTGTAATGAAAAGGTTTAATTATCTTGATTGCATTGTCTTATTTCAGAAATTGTGAATTTGATTGGAGACATGCACACATCAGCAGATCGCATCATTGAGATGTTTAAGTGTAAGAAGAACCCCATTGCACCTGGCACTATTCCAGAGGATGCTCTAGCTGCTAACCCTCCGAGGCTGTGTTACATAATGAAACAGGCAGCTAGGGAAGCTGCTATAGGTACACGCACTATTCTTTACTGGCTTGTCATCACTGCATTGATTTCATATTTATCTCTTGAAAATGATGAACTGATCAAATTGCAATGGATCAATCTCGTTTCTGTCCATCTGTAGGTCATTTGTCCTTTCATAATATTTTTAGTTTTTAATATTGCTCAGTAGTTATGGATAAATCTTTTGTAATCTCTAACGAAGTCACCCATTGGTCCAAAGATTTGATATTGTAGGTGATCTAGAAGATGTAGATGACCCTATTGTATTTTGACCTCTGTAAATTGTTATGGCTGTTTCTTATAAAGAGTGGGACAATATTCAGATTTAGGTTCCCCATGAGAGGTAATTGGTTTTATAACACTTTGTGACTGTCAAAAAAATGGAATTGCTGTGAAATCATCTTGACCAGGATATCAGAAATTGTAACACAAATATCAGAGCTGTTTCATTTGTCTTTTAACACATTGCTTTTCTAGCTAATAAGTTAGGAGGAATTCAAAAGTACAGAAACAAGTTAAAACATTCTTAGAATTATAAAGACATTACAATGGGTGACACAAAAGTCTCTGTAATATCTATGATTTGATTTTGTATGAAGTTAAAACTTTGATTTTAAACTTGTTTGACAGATTATTATTGTCCTACTGTTCCCAATAGATTTTATGTAGTGTCCTTTGTATTCAGCATGACTAAAGACCAATGTAATGATACCACTAGTGTGATGGTGAATTCTGAGTTGTCAGAGAAAATCTTTTTGTATTATGTACAATTATATAATTTATGTTACAGCAAGCTCAAAGTTTGTGTTACTTTGTGACCTGTTTGCAAGGAGGAGTGGCGAACTTCCTCAGGAAGAGAGACATGAGATTATACGTTATGCTAGGTCTAGGTGAGTTGTTTGTTCTTAAGCCATACAACCACATGTTTCCTTAAAATATCACACCCAGATCTGTTATAAAATCTATGAAAAATAAGGCATGTTATTAATGTTAATCTGTGTATTAGCTTTTAACTCCAGGTTCCATTAGGAACTGAAATGTCTTTGAATGTTATAATGGAAAAAGGATATTAAAAATCATTGATGCTTTCGAAAAAAAAAGATAAATATTTTTTACATGGATCATCATACCCTGCTTAGAAATACAGCAACTGTTTCTCATGGACAGAGTTTTTTTATTCTGACAATTATTTTTGAAGTTACCGCCACATTTGTTTTCATTTCCAGATTACCAATATTCGTAAAACAGCTGAAAGAATTCTTTGAATCATTCAAATACCAAATGTCATTTGTTGGACCAAATGAAAAACAAGAAATTGCCACATACATTTTACCTGAGGTAAGACCACATCACAATTTACCTCCCTTTGTTGGCAATTTGACACTGCTAGGGAAATAGTGTGTAGGTAGTGATTGTCATTTTATTGAAGTAATTTTGTTGCAATTTTTGGTATGTTAAGCCTGATTATTTGTTCAATGATAACATATACAGGTAGAGATATTATGTTCTTGTTAACAATGTTTACTGTTGTTTGGCAAGTAGAGATATTATGTTCTTGTTAGTGATGTTTACTGTTGTTTGACAGGTAGAGATATTATGTTCTTGTTAAGGATGTTTACTGTTGTTTGACAGGTAGAGATATTATGTTCTTGTTAGTGATGTTTACTGTTGTTTGACAGGTAGAGATATTATGTTCTTGTTAGTGATGTTTACTGTTGTTTGACAGGTAGAGATATTATGTTCTTGTTAGTGATGTTTACTGTTGTTTGACAGGTAGAGATATTATGTTCTTGTTAGTGATGTTTACTGTTGTTTGACAGGTAGAGATATTATATTCTTGTTAAGGATGTTTACTGTTGTTTGACAGGTAGAGATATTATGTTCTTGTTAACAATGTTTACTGTTGTTTGGCAAGTAGAGATATTATGTTCTTGTTAGTGATGTTTACTGTTGTTTGACAGGTAGAGATATTATGTTCTTGTTAGTGATGTTTACTGTTGTTTGACAGGTAGAGATATTATGTTCTTGTTAAGGATGTTTACTGTTGTTTGACAGGTAGAGATATTATGTTCTTGTTAAGGATGTTTACTGTTGTTTAACAGGTAGAGATATTATGTTCTTGTTAAGGATGTTTACTGTTGTTTGACAGGTAGAGATATTATGTTCTTGTTAGTGATGTTTACTGTTGTTTGACAGGTAGAGATATTATGTTCTTGTTAAGGATGTTTACTGTTGTTTGACAGGTAGAGATATTATGTTCTTGTTAAGGATGTTTACTGTTGTTTGACAGGTAGAGATATTATGTTCTTGTTAGTGATGTTTACTGTTGTTTGACAGGTAGAGATATTATGTTCTTGTTAACAATGTTTACTGTTGTTTGGCAAATAGAGATATTATGTTCTTGTTAGTGATGTTTACTTGTTAGTGATGTTTACTGTTGTTTGACAGGTAGAGATATTATATTCTTGTTAAGGATGTTTACTGTTGTTTGACAGGTAGAGATATTATGTTCTTGTTAGTGATGTTTACTGTTGTTTGACAGGTAGAGATATTATGTTCTTGTTAGTGATGTTTACTGTTGTTTGACAGGAAGAGATATTATGTTCTTGTTAAGGATGTTTACTGTTGTTTGACAGGTAGAGATATTATGTTCTTGTTAAGGATGTTTACTGTTGTTTGGCAAGTAGAGATATTATGTTCTTGTTAACAACGTTTATTGTTGTTTGACAGGTAGAGATATTATGTTCTTGTTAAGGATGTTTACTGTTGTTTGACAGGTAGAGATATTATGTTCTTGTTAGTGATGTTTACTGTTGTTTGACAGGTAGAGATATTATGTTCTTGTTAGTGATGTTTACTGTTGTTTGACAGGTAGAGATATTATGTTCTTGTTAGTGATGTTTACTGTTGTTTGACAGGTAGAGATATTATGTTCTTGTTAAGGATGTTTACTGTTGTTTGACAGGTAGAGATATTATGTTCTTGTTAAGGATGTTTACTGTTGTTTGGCAAGTAGATATATTATATTCTTGTTAACGATGTTTACTGTTGTTTGACAGGTAGAGATATTATGTTCTTGTTAAGGATGTTTACTGTTGTTTGGCAAGTAGAGATATTATGTGCTTGTTAATGATGTTTACTGTTGTTTGATAGGTAGAGATATTATGTGCTTGTTAATGATGTTTACTGTTGTTTGACAGGTAGATATATTATATTCTTGTTAACGATGTTTGCTGTTGTTTGGCTTATTAATGTTTAGAGTAAATATATTATGTGCTTGTTAATGATGTTTACTGTTGTTTGATAGGTAGAGATATTATGTGCTTGTTAATGATGTTTACTGTTGTTTGACAGGTAGAGATATTTTTGTAAATCATGTTTATTGTTGGTTTTTTTACAGGTAGAGACATTGTGTTCCATGCTTACTAAATTTACTGAAGAATTCAAGGCTGCTCTAGACAAAGCCATTACAAAAAATATTTCTGACAAGGAGAAGGGTGAGGAAAAAGGGGAGAAACACAAACATGTCAAAGATGTGCTGGGAAAGACTTTACGACATGTAAGTTTTGAAAATATTATAAACAAAGTAGTATTTCATGGATTTTCGGATGAACCCATGGTCTCGAAATCGCTAGGGTTGAAATTCCGTTTGAGTTGAAATAATTTTCCTAGTCCCGATTATTTTCCTTCTCTGTCTTTGTAATTTTTGTTTGGATGACTCAAATTTCATCTTCATACATCGTTTCTAGTTGCGTTATATTGACATTCCGTAAAACATGATATACTGTGCTTCATTTTTTAAGCGATGAAAAATGACAGAAATGTTATTTTTCATTGCAGTGAAAATATAGTTTTTATCAGTTTAATACTTCTCTGTTCCATGCTAACTAAATTTACCGAAGAGTACAAGGCTGCTCTATACAAAGCCATTACAAAAATATTTCTGACAAGGAGAAGGGTGAGGAAAAAGATGATGAATATGTAACAAACTTTTTTTCATATTTTAGGGGATTTGTAGGATTGGGGTTTTATCTTTTTACAGGTATTACATGTGAGAGAGTTGAAGAAATTGAAACACATGCATGACACTGCATCCAAAAAGTTTGAGACAGCTTTCGAAAAACTGTAAGTGTACTCTGTCTTTTTTAAATATGTTACTGTCAACTGCTCGTGAGTTTGTAAATAACAGTCTGTTTTAATGGACCCTCTTAAGTTATTTCCTGTTGATTAAACCAGTGTTATTAATATCTGCACTTAAAGACTATTTTATGGATGGACACATTTCTATTGTATATGGAGTAACTTTGACAGGAAACCTCAGCAGCAATCTAGAGTTTTGTTAATGATGTTTTTTACTACTTTACTCAGTGGCAGATTCAACAGGAAACCCAATGCTGAGAAGATTGTTCGTGTGTGCCTCATTATAGATGAACTGAAGGACAGAGAGGTAGGCTACTTATTTAGGAAGAATAAATCACATGAACATGGTTGTCTATTTTAGCAGTGATGTCTGTACACTAAGCCTGTTTCACAAGGTGATATTTTATTTTGAAAAAATCTGATGAAGGAAGAATAATTTTGAGGAAACGTGTCATTTTCGGAAAGTGATTACCCTTTTTAATGAGAGAAAGATTCACAGATGTACCTGTGCTAATCTCAAATTAATTTCAAGAATATAACCAACAGGTAGTTGTTGACCTGCAGCAACTTGAGTTTGATGTGTTTATGCTGTGTGTTCCCTTTACACATGGCCATATTAAGTTTACTTTATTTTACATTTATGCTATTTAATGTTTTTTTTTGGCTTTAGTCAGCAAAAGTACAATGTTTTAACAGCTATCTTTGTCTTGGGTGTCATCATGTTTCTTCAGTTAAGGTCACCTTCACTTAAAATGTGGGTGTACAGAAAATGCATTGTAATGGCCATATATAAGATTTGGATAGAAATACACATTTGGTTAGGTAAGACCTTTGAAAACAATAGATTGTGATGAATTCTTTGTGTCGGTTATGTTACCTAAATGAATTTTAACTTATATAAGTGCTTAATTTTGAGTTAAATTATAAAGATCTTTAAATTTCAATCCAGCACAGATACACATGATCTAAATATCAATTGAAGTGTACGGGTATTGTCTGCAGAATGTGTTCATTCTGCCTTAGTTTATTTGATATCAAAGGGAAATAAATATTTTTCCAAAAGTTAGGAATTCCTGGGAATATTAATGTGTGTTTTCTTTTTATCCGCAGGCTCCAATGTTAGTAGGGCGTGTTGAACAGTTAGCCCTTGTCCTAGAGGAGAAGTTCAAATGGCGCCAGTGGAAATACATATTTAAACTGGGGTCTTCTAAAGTCGTAAGTTGTGTCAGTTAATCTATTCTCTGAAGCTTTGTTATTTCGTCGGTTTGTACTCTACAATAGAGATAAAACAATTAAGGATTAAAAGATCAGACATTCTCTACAATAGAGATAAAACAATTAAGGATTAATAAAGATACAGACTCATATAGTAATTATTGTTTACAAATCACTGGGTAAACACAGGAGTGTTTATCATACTGGGTAATATTATATGTTATACAGGAAGTGTTTATAGTACTTTGTAATACTGTATGTTATACAGGAAGTGTTTATCATACTGGGTAATACTATATGTTATACAGGGAGTGTTTATCATACTGGGTAATACTATATGTTATACAGGAAGTGTTTATCATACTGGGTAATATTATATGTTATACAGGAAGTGTTTGTCTATGTAATGTACTATTATCATACTGGGTAATATTATTTGTTACACAGGAAGTGTTTATCATACTGGGTAATATTATATGTTATACAGGAAGTGTTTGTCATACTGGGTAATATTATATGTTATACAGGAAGTGTTTGTCATACTGGGTAATACTGTATGTTATACAGGAAGTGTTTGTCATACTGGGTAATATTATATGTTATACAGGTAGTGTTTATCACACTGGGTAATACTGTATGTCATACAGGAAGTGTTTATAGTACTTTGTAATACTGTTTATCATATAGGAGGTTGATGAATTTCACAACAACATATTTCGGACTATAATACTGTATGAATGTGTTGCAGGCTTGGGCTGTAAACAAACTATGTTGTTACAAGGCAACCCTGGCCTCATCTATACAACAGATGGTAGAGATGGTACACAAGGATGAGTTTACAGCATCCCTCACTGCCCTAAGTCTATACACTACAGACAAATCACAGGATAGTGGGACTCCAAGTATCCCTGACAGGACCGCTGTCACATATGCCCATGTAAGTCTTCCTAACCGTGTAAAATATGTTAACAAAAGTGGGCCCCACTCTCCAGACTCTCTCTGACAGGACCACTGTCACATGTGACCATGTAGTCTTCCCAACCATGTAAAATATGCTTACAACAGTGTCTCACCCTCCTTACTGTTTCTGACATATGCCCATTCAAGTTTGCCCAACATTGTAAAATATGATTTAGTTTGTCCCACCCTCCTTTCTCTCCTTGACTGGAGAACTACCAGATTGAAAGTGAATCAGTACTACAGGCCTCTAGTTAGTACTTTGATTAGATCAGTACTTCATTGCTATTAGAAGTGAGTCTTTTAAAAGCTATTTAACTATTTAATTTTTACTTTGCATGTCTTGGAATTGAATGTGTTATCATTTACTTACTGGCATATATATAGTATTGTTTGTTTGCTTTTTTTGTTTGTTATAGTTAAGTTCAGTTGAATCCCTTTGTGTTCCTCCACTGGCCAGAAACAGTAAGCTAGCCAAACGCTCTATAGATCTGTTGAGTAAAGGTGAGAAGACGGACATGATGTTTGAAATCATCGTTGTTCATGGTAAGTGTCAGATACGACAAGTCTTGTAAAGAACAGTTTGATTTTTTTTTGTTTGTTTATGAAATAACTCCATTTTACAAAGTATGAAAGATATATGGTTAATTTACATCTCAGTTAATTTATACTTTTGGCATGTAAAAGAATTCAATTTATAACATTTTTCACGATGTAATGTATTAAGGTGAAAATTCAGTATGAGTGAAAGTACCAAAACTTGATACATTCTTCACTTGGTGAAAATATTCCTTGTAATGACACAGTACTCGAAAATATATCTTTCTCTCAGAGTGCTTTGCAGCATTAAAAAATATCAGTTTTGGTAGAAATCATGTAAATATAGCATTTTATAATGAAAAAGAAAACACTCTGGTTTCTGTATTTAATTATAGGGTGTTATGTGTGTTTTATTTACCTTTGTTAAGTTACTTGACAACTTGGTCTTACATGTAGAAGTAGTTATCTGGCAGAGTAATGATAACAGAGCACTTGGATAGCCCAGCAGAACATAATATTTAAATTAGTGTCAATGGATAGTGAGAAAATATAATAAACATGATATTCTTTATATCTTAATGAATAACAGTTATCTCGTTGGATGCAAAACTTTATTGTTTCTCATAAAAAATATCAATGTTTTTATCCCACTTAATAAAATATAATTGTTTTCATAAAAAAAGCAAGCAAAGATTCACTGATCTGTATGCAGATTGGAATATGAACATTGATAAATCAGTGATTTTTCGGACTCAGATATTTGAGTCCTGGATTTTCCTTTGGGACACACTCAAATTTGGAGACCCCTCTATATCATAGTATTGTCACTCATCAAAATTTCGGAAGTTATCTTTGGGACGTATTGGAAAATGTCTTACAAAGATTGCTGATAATGTGTAAACCAAAGCACTTGTCTTTACATTGATTTATGTTGAGCACTGATTTATATTTCAGCCTTAATTTATGCTGAGCACTGATTTATATTTGAGCTCAGACTAATGTTGAGCACTGATTTATATTTGAGCTCAGACTAATGTTGAGCACTGATTTATATTTGAGCTCAGACTAATGTTGAGCACTATTAAACATTTTAGTTCTGATTTATGTTAAGTAGTGGTTTAGTACCGGTATTTATGTACACATGGACATATTTTTAGATGTTGGAGACACAGTGATAGACCACACCCATGGGGAGCCTATAGCTCGTGCAGAGTCAGACCGAGATGTTGATATCTATGAGATTCCTGCCCACCGTGTCATTCTTGCCTCCAGGTGTAACTGGTTCTGTAGGGCACTGCTCAGCGGTATGAGGGAGTCTATAGACAAGTAAGTCTTACTTAGTGTTAAGTGGTATGAGGGAGTCTATAGACAAGTAAGTCCTCTCAGTGTTAAGTGGTATGAGGGAGACTATAGACAAGTAAGTCCTCTCAGTGTTAAGTGGTATGAGGGAGACTATAGACAAGTAAGTCCTCTCAGTTTTAAGTTGTATGAGGGAGTCTATAGACAAGTAAGTCCTCTCAGTGTTAAGTGGTATGAGGGAGACTATAGACAAGTAAGTCCTCTCCGTGTTAAGTGGTATGAGGGAGACTATAGACAAGTAAGTCCTCTCAGTGTTAAGTGGTATGAGGGAGACTATAGACAAGTAAGTCCTCTCAGTGTTAAGTGGTATGAGGGAGTCTATAGACAAGTAAGTCCTCTCAGTGTTAAGTGGTATGAGGGAGTCTATAGACATGTAAGTCTTACTCAGTGTTAAGTGGTATGAGGGAGTCTATAGACAAGTAAGTCTTACTCAGTGTTAAGTGGTATGAGGGAGTCTATAGACAAGTAAGTCTTACTCAGTGTTAAGTGGTATGAGGGAGACTATAGACATGTAAGTCCTGCTCAGTGTTAAGTGGTATGAGGGAGTCTATAGACAAGTAAGTCCTCTCAGTGTTAAGTGGTATGAGGGAGACTATAGACAAGTAAGTCTTACTCAGTGTTAAGTGGTATGAGGGAGACTATAGACAAGTAAGTCCTCTCAGTGTTAAGTGGTATGAGGGAGTCTATAGACAAGTAAGTCCTCTCAGTGTTAAGTGGTATGAGGGAGACTATAGACAAGTAAGTCCTCTCCGTGTTAAGTGGTATGAGGGAGTCTATAGACAAGTAAGTCCTCTCAGTGTTAAGTGGTATGAGGGAGTCTATAGACAAGTAAGTCCTGCTCAGTGTTAAGTGGTATGAGGGAGACTATAGACAAGTAAGTCCTCTCAGTGTTAAGTGGTATGAGGGAGTCTATAGACAAGTAAGTCCTGCTGAGTGTTAAGTGGTATGAGGGAGTCTATAGACAAGTAAGTCCTCTCCGTGTTAAGTGGTATGAGGGAGTCTATAGACAAGTAAGTCCTCTCAGTGTTAAGTGGTATGAGGGAGACTATAGACAAGTAAGTCCTCTCAGTGTTAAGTGGTATGAGGGAGTCTATAGACAAGTAAGTCCTCTCAGTGTTAAGTGGTATGAGGGAGTCTATAGACAAGTAAGTCCTGCTCAGTGTTAAGTGGTATGAGGGAGACTATAGACAAGTAAGTCCTCTCAGTGTTAAGTGGTATGAGGGAGTCTATAGACAAGTAAGTCCTGCTGAGTGTTAAGTGGTATGAGGGAGTCTATAGACAAGTAAGTCCTGCTCAGTGTTAAGTGGTATGAGGGAGACTATAGACAAGTAAGTCCTCTCAGTGTTAAGTGGTATGAGGGAGTCTATAGACAAGTAAGTCCTGCTGAGTGTTAAGTGGTATGAGGGAGACTATAGACAAGTAAGTCCTCTCAGTGTTAAGTGGTATGAGGGAGTCTATAGACAAGTAAGTCCTACTGAGTGTTAAGTGGTATGAGGGAGTCTATAGACAAGTAAGTCCTGCTCAGTGTTAAGTGGTATGAGGGAGTCTATAGACAAGTAAGTCCTCTCAGTGTTAAGTGGTATGAGGGAGTCTATAGACAAGTAAGTCCTACTGAGTGTTAAGTGGTATGAGGGAGTCTATAGACAAGTAAGTCCTGCTCAGTGTTAAGTGGTATGAGGGAGTCTATAGACAAGTAAGTCCTCTCAGTGTTAAGTGGTATGAGGGAGTCTATAGACAAGTAAGTCCTGCTCAGTGTTAAGTGGTATGAGGGAGTCTATAGACAAGTAAGTCCTGCTGAGTGTTAAGTGGTATGAGGGAGACTATAGACAAGTAAGTCCTACTGAGTGTATGAGGGATTTTTCTCATTATTTGATAGTTTTTTTATGCAGACTTCCTTTATTTGTTAGACTAAATCATTGTCAGTGTCATGTTTGCTAAGACCTTCCACCTGTCTGATTTTTATAGGAAAATAACGGTGCATGATACTAATCCTGAAGTGTTCAAAGTATTCCTGGAGTACCTATACAGTGGACAGGTAGGAGGAGAAGAACACACTACAGAGCAGCTGTCTGACCTCCTCACACTGGCTGATAGATATGAGGTAACTCTAACAAATATTTCTTATGTACAAAAGCATCAGTTACCTTGACAATGACTGTTATACAGAACTTCTGGCCTAAAATATGTAGTTGTATGTTGTTATATATTTCACAACATTAGTAACAGACCTGCTGCTCTAAATTACGTAATCATAATTTTGATGGAAACTCTGTGATATGTTTTTTTGCTTAATAAGAAAATATAAGTATTTTTGCTTGGCTACACTAAAAACATTTAAAGTAGTCAAGAGGTGGTGTGAAATACACCCTGTAGTTATATGTGGGAACTAATTCAGTATTATTGATATATTACAGGTGGACAGTCTAAAGTTGTTCTGTGAACACGCTCTGCAGAGACATGTAGATAATAACACCGCAGTTTACCTCTTCAGCCTAGCTGATCAACTCCAGACAAAGTCATTAAAGGTGAGCTATCTCTATAGTGTTGTAACTTTTGTATGTAAAATCCAAAATGTCTCTCTGTCTGTCACTCTGTCCATCGGTCTGTCCAGAATTTTCGTTATCGCTATTTCTTGTTAAGTACTGGATGTGGCTTTCTCAAATTTCATATGTAGGTCTCTCCTAGGTTCGAAATTGTGCCTGATTGATTTGGCCTGATCAGAAAACAAAATGGCTAACAGGCAGCCATCTTGGATTTTAATGATGAAAGTATTTATGGCTATTTGTTGAGAAATGCTGGATCTTTCTAAAATTCTTATGAATATCCCCTGCATTCCTTAGTTGTGCTCCAATGATTTTGGGACTGATAAGAGAAAGAATTTGGCCAACAGGCCTGGCTGTAAATGATTAAGGACACATTGGCAATTGTTTTTATCCCCACGGATTCCATTGATGAGAAGATAAACATTACTGTAGTTAGACTGTGTGTGTTTCTATATGTCGGTCAATGTAGGCCTAGTCGGCATTAACCAGGTATTAAACGATGTTCTAAGTAACACATTTTTGTTCCCCAGTAAAAGAGCAGTCCAAGGTCATGGTCATTTAGGGACATTCAGTAGAATAGCATTTATATCTTATAACCATGCTCTTGTCTATTCCTTAAAACCAAATCCACACAAATTTTATATGAAGTAAAGTTGTGATCAAATAGATCAGAACAGCTTACATTGTCAACTGACATCTTTGTCTTCAGGAGAGAGCACTTTTGTACATGGTAGACAATCCCACGCTGGCTGAGGGTGAGGTGTACCTGGAGCTCCCTCAACACCTAAAGGATGAGGTACACACTGCCATCCTCAACGGAAGGTATGATATACCGACAATGATGTTTAATACATGTGTAATATATATCTGTGTAGTGTGGATACTGTGTCTGATGTTGTAATACTAAACAGTCTTACATGTGTATTAGGTATCTGTGTAGTGTGGATACTGTGTCTGATGTTGTAATACTAAACAGTCTGATGTCCTTTACTTTGTAATACATAACTGTCTAGGTTTGACCTTGTTATTAAATATTTTAGTACTTACTCAACATCTGATTATATTCAACATTGTTGATTGTTTCCTAGTATGGCTACCAAGACAAGGTTACCAAGAATACACCAGGCTGACCCGAATGTAGTGGAAATGATTAATGACATGGACCTTAATTCAGGGGTAAGTTTGTCCTAAATCATGAAATATTTTACCATGAGTGACTGTATAGGTGAAAACATCTACTTTTACGAGTTTAAGGATAAATTGTGGATAAACATTAGCTAGAAGCTAGAGGATAAACTGTTGATGTACAGTAAACATTGACCAGGAGTTATAAGATAAACGGTGGATGTACAGTAAACATTGACCAGGAGTTATAAGATAAACTGTGGATGTACAGTAAACATTGACCAGGAGTTATAAGATAAACTGTGGATGTACAGTAAACATTGACCAGGAGTTATAAGATAAACGGTGGAGGTACAGTAAACATTGATCATGAGTTATAAGATAAACTGTTGATGTACAGTAAACATTGACCAGGAGTTCTAAGATAAACTGTGGATGTACAGTAAACATTGACCAGGAGTTATAAGATAAACTGTGGATGTACAGTAAACATTGATCATGAGTTATAAGATAAACTGTGGATGTACAGTAAACATTGACCAGGAGTTATGGGATAAACAGTGGATGTACAGTAAACATTGACCAGGAGTTATAAGATAAACTGTGGATGTACAGTAAACATTGACCAGGAGTTATAAGATAAACTGTGGATGTACAGTAAGAAAACTGTGGATGTACAATAAACATTGATCAGTAGTTATGGGATAAACGGTGGATGTACAGTAAACATTGACCAGGAGTTATGGGATAAACTGTGGATGTACAGTAAACATTGACCAGGAGTTAAAAGATAAAAGATAAACAGGAGTTATAAGTAAACTGTGGATGTACAGTAAACATTGACCATGAGTTATAAGATAAACTGTGGATGTACAGTAAACATTGACCAGGAGTTATAAGATAAACTGTGGATGTACAGTAAACATTGACCAGGAGTTATGGGATAAACAGTGGATGTACAGTAAACATTGACCAGGAGTTATAAGATAAACTGTGGATGTACAGTAAACATTGACCAGGAGTTATAAGATAAACAGTGGATGTACAATAAACATTGACCAGGAGTTATAAGATAAACTGTGGATGTACAATAAACATTGATCAGGAGTTATAAGTTAAACTGTGGATGTACAGTAAACATTGACCAGGAGTTATGGGATAAATGGTGGATGTACAGTAAACATTGACCAGGAGTTAAAAGATAAACTGTTGATGTACAGTAAACATTGACCAGGAGTTATAAGATAAACTGTGGATGTACAGTAAACATTGACCAGGAGTTATAAGATAAACTGTGGATGTACAGTAAACATTGATCATGAGTTATAAGATAAACTGTGGATGTACAGTAAACATTGACCAGGAGTTATAAGATAAACTGTGGATGTACAGTAAACATTGATCATGAGTTATAAGATAAACTGTGGATGTACAGTAAACATTGACCAGGAGTTATAAGATAAACGGTGGAGGTACAGTAAACATTGATCATGAGTTATAAGATAAACTGTTGATGTACAGTAAACATTGACCAGGAGTTCTAAGATAAACTGTGGATGTACAGTAAACATTGACCAGGACCAGGAGTTATAAGATAAACTGTGGATGTACAGTAAACATTGATCATGAGTTATAAGATAAACTGTGGATGTACAATAAACATTGATCAGGAGTTATGGGATAAACGGTGGATGTACAGTAAACATTGACCAGGAGTTAAAAGATAAACTGTTGATGTACAGTAAACATTGACCAGGAGTTAGAAGATATTGAAATTCATTACAAAGTATAGCTCTATTAATATTGGTTCGTTATATTCATTACAAACTATAGCTGTAATAATATCGGTTTAATTCCTTCAAAGCAAAAAAAAATATAAAAGGATAGAAATTCAAAAAATGAAAATTAAATTGATACAAAGACAATGGTTAACTGCTTATCGAGTGTTTTTGTTTCGGTGAAGGCATCAAGCTCTCTTTTACCTTGAATTCATTCTGTCAGTCAATCAAAACATGCTACAATGTAAAATCACCAATGGTATAACATTTATGTTTATACAAGAGTTGGAATAATTAATTCTTACTTTGGGAATTGAATTACGCCCACCTATTGAGTTAGAGAAATTGGTTTGTTGCGTTAAAGACTCCTGTTATTGATTGAATACTTGTCAAATTTTGTTTCTGCAACCTTGAAGAATTTTCACAAAGGAATATCCTTAGAAAATAAAAGTGTGGTTTTTTTCAGGATGACACGTCATCTTCAAGTTCTGGAGACTTCCAGTATGAAGATTTCGATCAGGATCCAGGACGGATGGATCGCTCTGTTGCTGAACTGAGGGAAGTGGTGGGTGATGAACCCTCAGATGAAGACTTAGCATCATTGCTATTGTCAGCAGACTTTGATCTTAACAGAGCTATCAACTTCTTCTATGCTAGCTGATATTTATCCAGAGGTTGAGCTAGTAACAAAAGTGTTCACTGTATGTTTGATGTTATGTCTGAGGGAATCAGAAGACCACACCTAAAAACACCAGTACTGCACACATTATAACACAAGTACTTATACACATTATAACACAGTACAGCACCCCTTATAACACAGTACAGCACCCCTTATAACACAGGTACAGCACACCTGATAACACAGGTACAGCACACCTGAAAACACAGGTACAGCACACCTGATATCACAATTACACCAGACCTGATAACACAGGTAAAACACACCTGATAACACAGTACAGCACCCCTTATAACACATGTACACCACACCTGGTCGCACATGTACACCACACCTGATAACACAGGTAAAACACACCTGATAACACAGAACACCACACCTGGTCACACATGTACACCACACCTGGTCACACATGTACACCACACCTGGTCACACATGTACACCACACCTGGTCACACATGTACACCACACCTGGTCACACAGGTAAAACACACTCAAGGGTAGGTATTTTCCATAGATGTTGAAGACAATTTTTGGCATGATCAATTGATGAATGACGGAATGTAGTGTCTCAAATAAAAAGTTATCTGTAAGATTGGTTAACAGTGTAAGAGAAAAGATACTGTGTTACAGCTGTTAAAAAGTGTTTAGAAACTAAGATAATGTTTACACAATCTTGTTACACAGGTTGTATTTTTTGGTTGTGTTACATTGAAAATGAGATGATCCATGATGTAAAACATTTGCAGTGATTAACCTGCAGTTTTTACTATTGTACAACATTAGTAATTAATAGCTGTCATTTGGGATCAATAACAATTCATTGTAAAATTTTTGTTTTTCTACAAACAATGATGAATATCTGGCTCCACCCAATTGCCAGATGATGACAGAACAGAAGTATAGCTAAGAAAGTTAAAAACTCCCTGTTTCTGACATGTGACTGAACGAGGGAGGAAGACTAGCTCATTAATAGACAACTTGATGTCTACTTGATACAAAAGTACTGGTATTTTATGTGAATCATAAAAAACCTCTTAAGCAATACTAAATATATAACCTTTCCCTTGTATCTGCTGCTATTGACCTGTATAATACCTGGCAGGAATCCTTTAACTTACAGGAGAGATTGTTTAGAAACAACTTATTAAAATTAATAATAATTAGAATCAATTTATCACCTTATATCATTTATACCAATAGATAGCAGTTTAGAGTCCCTTCTTATTTCTCTGGTCATTAATTGGTCTGCTCATTTAATTGATTGCTAACCGGTCTTTTCATTGATTGTAAACCACATCTCTTTATTGCTAACTTATATTTAATTGGGTGTTAACATATTTATTTAATGGAGTGTTAACTACTACATTATTATTAAATAGTCATTTCATTAAGTGTTAACTTATCTAATATTTCACCGAGTGCTAACTTATCTAATATTTCACCGAGTGCTAACTTGTCTGTTTCCTAGCGTGCTAACTTGTCTATTTATTTTATTGATTGCTAATGCTACTAAACTTTGCCTTGCGTATCTGTGATTCTATGTATTGTAAGTCAGATGGAGAACGCTTGTAACACAAAGTTCCAGTGTTGTGTAGAAATTTCTAATAACTCTACAAACTTGTGTTCTATGTTATATATCAACAGTTGTGTACTACATTATATAATGTATCAGTTCATACTTCTCCGGAGAATGTTGAGCTATTGTGATGATTACCCAGTCCAGACTAAATATGGAAAGATATTTATTTTCCATCTAATTATTCCATAATGCATATTATGTTATCCTTACAAATTTCCATTTTAGGGAGAAACTTCCTTGCAACTTGAAAGAGTTATGTCCCTTCTCTGTGATGGTTCTATCTAATCATTTTGTATTATGCTTTTGTGATGTAAGACAGTATTCTTTGTCAAGGGTATGGCTTCAGTATTTTAATTGTTTCACATAGTACCTCTTGTGTTTGTACAGGAAATCATGTGAAATGTTTTAATTAGTTACCAATCAAGGTACTATGTTGATAGAGTAGTATTGAATTACATTGAAATATTGTGTAAAACGACTAGGATAGTATGTTGCTAGTATCTCGTAGTTGTGTTTTTACAAATTAATTCATTTGTCTACAAAAAAATTGTGATAGTGAGTAATTTTATTGAAAATACAGTGAATGGCACACTTCTACTTAAAAAGTAAACTGGAACTTTCTTGTTATATTATATGGAATACTTGTAGAGAATGGAACATTTACACATAAGGTAAGTTAGCAGTTCCAACGGGAACACGTTTCTGTTATTACATATGTAGTCAATGAATGCTTTATTTAAGTGCAATTCCTTATACTTTAAGCTTCTGGTACAAGCAAGCGTAAATTCTGAGAGTGTATTCCTGCTTAAAAAAATAGTTGGTTATTTTTGTGTGTGATTGTGAATATAGTGGTTATCTCCCTTAGCACTTCTGTAATGGCCATTGTTGATATGAACATCAAGCAGATGATTTATGATGTGAAGTTATTTGTAGCTTTTTTGGTTCATTGTTTAGAGTGTTTGTTATATATGTCATATTATAGTTTGTGATAGATAGTTATCATGTTGCTTAACTTAGGAAAAAAACGGACATGCCATTCTCAAGCTAAGGGACTATGTGCCCATGTGAGTAAAACCAGACTGTAGGGATAATATTGCTTTACTTTAATTAGTATGTATCATGTTAACTATGATATATTGAAATTGATCTGATGAGATTTATTGCTCATTAGCATAACAATGCGAATGTAAATTTCAGTTTTGAAAATTATGGAACATAATTCATGAGGAAAGAGCATTTTAAGGTGACAAATAAACTAGCTTAAACTAGACTGCAGTTAATTTGTCATAAAACCCAGTATAATAAAATATATATATATATACATGGTTTAAGCATTATATATATTCCACCTACAGATAGTGCGGCTACAGGTGGGAAAAATATTCTTCATTCATCAGAAATTAAAGATCATTATATTATACTAGGGAAACACATTAATTTTTAATGTTATTCTTTAATAATGCATTAGATGAGATTGTCTTGGGGAAGAAGAATAGAGATTAACCCCACTGCCGTGGTTTTTGTTGAGGGATAAGAAACATGTCCACTTTTTATATTCATTCAAGAGTAATGAAGGCAAGTGTGGGTTACTAGGTCCCTCATTCAACTTTATCAAATGTATGAAATAATGAATTAGTAGTTATGAAAAGAATAAGTATTTCACTAAAGGAATGCACTGCATTAAGTGTGAAACATTGCTTTTCTTGTTATCTAAGCTTGTGTGACAAAGCATGGTAGTATTTTTACGGGGTTGAATGTTATTTTTGATGTTGTATTTTATTCTTTGAAATTTTATCAAAACATATTAATGACTTGCTTACACAGATAAAGAATTACACAAATCCAGTTGTCATTATTATCTACCTGTTTTTATATGATATTTCAGTTTCCTTGTGTTGTGTACAGAAGACGTCTGTGTATTTACATTCCAGGAGACTGATGTTTTCTTAATCAGCACAGCTTTAAAAGCAAGTTAAAAACAATCTTAAGAACAGTAAAACATTTAAAAAAAAACATATAGAATGTTTGAAACTTTCTTGTAATTACCTGTTAGCTGATCAAACCGTAGATTTATGGGGACGTTTCTGACTTGTGTATAACTCTATAGGAAAGATTTACAATTGTCTAGTTTAAATTTATCCAGTGTGATTTTCATACCAATGAAGCATTCCTTTGGTTAATGTTATTTATATGTTTATAATATGAAAATTGTATAAATACATGTATTTATTCCACATTTTCGGTGGATGCAAGTAATGTCTGATATTCCAAATAAATTGTTACCAAACATTTTCTATTTCTCTGACTAGTGAACAATGAATCTCCAGTAAAATGTGATTAGTCATACCAATAAATTTGTTACATTCATCATTATGACTTGTTTTATTTGTCTGCCTGGTTTAATTTTAAATTGTGGAGCTAATATTGCTGGACAGATTTGGGATCAAGAATCAATCCTATAACATGTCTAGGGCTACAGTGAAGGCTCAAGATTCACTCTTATTAACACACCTAGGGCTAAATTTGAGGCTGGATATTCACTCCCATAACATATCTTCAAAGGTCTACAGTGGAGGCTTGAGATTCACTCACATAACGTCTAGGACAACAAATGAGGCTGGAGTTTCCCTCCTTTAACACATCTAGGGCTACAGTGGAGGCTTGAGATTCACTCACATAACATCTAGGACAACAAATGAGGCTGGAGTTTCCCTCCTTTAACACATCTAGGGCTACAGTGGAGGCTTGAGATTCACTCCTCTAATATCATCTAAGTTTACAATAGTGAGTTTCCAGTTTCATTAAGATACTCCTACTTGTTACCCTGATATTCATCACTGACAGTTGAACATCGGATGAAGTGAAAATTTTCTGTTGCTGTCACAATTACATACAACTGTAGACTACTATATACTGTTCATGGATGAATCACAATAAAACGCCAACAAGCAGAGTATTAATCATGTTTTATTTACAGCTGTTGTGTATGTATCATTAAGTAGCAACAGTTGACATATTGCACATAGCTACATAGGTTGTAGTTGGCATTAGTTGCCCAAGAGGCGGTGGTAACATCCCATACCAGCCTCGACACACCACCTACTGCTGTCTGAGACACCACTTACTGCTCAATGAGGCAGCCAGTTAGTCCCAGATTTACCTAAAAGAATCACATATTGTTAATAAAATGAAAAATATACACTGAATACATAAATCTGTTGTTTATCTTTAAAATGATCTATATTATCTTTTGTGCAATCTGACCAGATCTGATGTGTGTAAATATTTGATTATGAATGAGATTCTCTCCTTTGGTGGACTATTGGTAATGCCACGCCCAGTTTGCTACACCAGCTATGTCTGTCAGTATTGGCAGCCAATAGAAACAGGTGGGTTTGCTACACCAGCTGTCTATCAGTATTGGCAGCCAATAGAAACAGGTGGGTTTGCTACACCAGCTATGTCTGTCAGTATTGGCAGCCAATAGAAACAGGTGGGTTTGCTACACCAGCTGTCTATCAGTATTGGCAGCCAATAGAAACAGGTGGGTTTGCTACACCAGTTACTGATGTCCTCATTTAGAACTATCATCACTTTTTACATTCTAGTAACCTCACTATATCCAGGAATGATTCTAATGTTGCCATCCCTGATATAATTAAAGTCATCTAAAGGCAGAATATTTGGTGGATTTGATAATGTTCTGGGTCTATATGTAAAATAGTTTTGTTCATCAATGCTACTTTCCTTAGTACTGAAGATAAGGTATCTTCTTAACACAGATCACACACAACATTTAAATAACACATGTAAAAATATATGACAATATATACATGAATGATAATTACAGATTATTCTTCTTTCACGACATAGCACTGACTCTCACTTTAAATATTTCTGATTTCATCATTTTACTAAAGCATGATCATATTCATATAATAAATAGTACGACATTACAGTCCCAGTTAGATGGGGGAATACCTCAGTAAGACATTACAGTCCAGGATTAAGGGGAATACCAGTTAAATGGTGGAATACCTCAGTAAGACATTACAGTCCCAGATTAAGGGGAATACCAGTTAGATGGTGGAATCACTCAGTAAGACATTACAGTCCCAGATTAAGGGGAATACCAGTTAGATGGTGGAATATCTCAGTAAGACATTACAGTCTGTGATACTAGAGAATCCCTCAGTAAGACATTACAGTGTGATACTAGAGAATCCCTCAGTAAGACATTACAGTGTGATACTAGAGAATCCCTCAGTAAGACATTACAGTGTGATACTAGAGAATCCCTCAGTAAGACATTACAGTGTGATACTAGAGAATCCCTCAGTAAGACATTACAGTGTGATACTAGAGAATCCCTCAGTAAGACATTACAGTGTGATACTACAGAATCCCTTAGTAAGACACAACAGTCTGTGATACTAGAGAATCCCTCAGTAAGACATTACAGTCTGTGATACTAGAGAATCCCTCAGTAAGACATTACAGTGTGATACTAGAGAATCCCTCAGTAAGACATTACAGTGTGATACTAGAGAATCCCTCAGTAAGACATTACTGTGTGATACTAGAGAATCCCTCAGTAAGACATTACAGTGTGATACTAGATAATCCCTCAGTAAGACATTACAGTCCCAGATTAAGGGGAATACCAGTTAGATGGGGGAATACCTCATTAAGATATTTCTGTCTCAGAAAAGATACAGGGAATCCCTCAAATACATTCCTCATTATGTCTAGAAAATGATATGGGGACATCCCTTAATATTAGACATTACAGTTTCATATACAAGAGCATCCCAAGATAAGAAATTACAGGTTCTGATACGGTGGAATCCCTCAGTAAGAAATTACAGTCTGTGATACTAGAGAATCCCTCAGTAAGACATTACAGTGTGATACTAGAGAATCCCTCAGTAATACATTACGGTCTGTGATACTAGAGAATCCCTCAGTAAGACATTACAGTCTGTGATACTAGAGAATCCCTCAGTAAGACATTACAGTGTGATACTCAGAAAGAATCCCTCAGTAAGACATTACAGTGTGATACAGTTAGATGGTGGAATACCTCAGTAAGACATTACAGTCTGTGATACTAGAGAATCCATCAGTAAGACATTACAGTCTGTGATACTAGAGAATCCATCAGTAAGACATTACGGTCTGTGATACTAGAGAATCCCTCAGAAAGACATTACAGTCTCATGAGATACTAGGGAATCCCTCAGTAATGTTCTTTGATACAGATGCATCTGTCATGATAACATGACATTGCTAGGTCCTGACGAACAGCTGCTACATGTGAGAATGCAGTGACTGACAATTTCATCAAGGTCAGAGTTACAGTCCTCGGTACATGTATTACCACACAGAAATACTTAATAACTAGCATAAATACGGGGCAAGAGGTAAGATTTTTACAGTGTCCAAGGGCCAAAGGTATCTAAACACAGTTAACCTGAACAGGTGTTACAGGTGACAGTGACACCCTGAACATCAACAGTAGATACTGCTGTTATAGTATACAACTTAAAAGATGAATTATAATGACATGATTTTCAACTGGTAGTCCTAAAAACAGCCCCCCAAAAATGGAAATAATTCTCCTTCAGTGATCTCTGCTCCAAACCATAACCTTACCATATCTATTCACCAATAAGGTCATGCCTGGTAATAATAAACACCAATATAAACAAATGTTCATGGTCACCAACCACCTGACTCTGAGTCAGGGATAATGTTTTGGCGGGTCGATTCTAGGATAAATATAGTGGTAATTTCTATATTAACCAGAAGTGTTGTTTATAAGTCAGAATTTAAAAAATAAACACAAAACCAAAATATACAGACTATTCAATAATCTGACACAACCTTCACCTATCATCAAATGTAATTACTTTCCTGACTTGGCTACTGACAAATGTGATACCAGATATTGTTTATTTATGGGTGTTGGGTAGTAAACTAAACACCCATCATATTTCAAAGTAGACACTGATATTTACACATAACTTTGGACATATTCAAACCTGATATCACACACATACCTGAGATTTGTGAGTCAAGACGTTAAGTGCCTGCCTGAGAAAATGTGAGCAAAATTTTCATGGTTTGGTGCAGAATATAAACTCTGGTTTTTGATAAAACTTGATATCAAATGTTACAAGATATGCCATATTGAAATCATAACTCCTTATCCTATTTCTACTGATGCTGTTGTTAAAAATAAATAAAAATGTACTGTAACAATCTAGGAGAATAAATAAAAAAAATTGCCCTCAGAAGTTCAATTTAATTCCATGTTAGGGTTATTACTTTGAAAATTATGGTATAACAAGCTGGTCTATGAATGAGTCACTCACTTACTGTAAATAGAATTCTACAACATAATGTAATATATTTTGCAATCAATTTCTTCTATGATTTTGATAGCTCATTACACTGTTTTCATATTCTCACTACCACATTCCCATATTACACCAGCAATTCTCACTACCACCCCTCCATATCACACCTGTCCTCACTACCACCCCTCCATATCACATCTGTCCTCACTACCACCCCTCCATATCACATCTGTCCTCACTACCACCCCTCCATATCACACCTGTCCTCACTATCACAACTTCATACCACACTACTACACCTTATTACCACACCTCCCAAACATCTCTACTTTTTACATGTTTTTCCCACCATTGACTTTGCCCTCCCAAACATCTCTTCATTCCTCATATTTTTCTCATCATTGACTTTTCCCTCCCAAATATCTCTCCATTTCTCAAGTTTTTCCTACCACTGACTTTTCCCTCCCAAACATCTCTCCTTTTTACATGTTTTCCCCACCATTGACTTTTCCCTCCCAAACATCTCTACTTTCTACATGTTTTTCCTACCACTGACTTTTCCCTTGAAAAAAACATCTCTCCTTTTTACATGTTTTTCCCACCATTGACTTTTCCCTCCCAAACATCTCTCCTTTTTACATGTTTTTCCCACCACTGGCTTTTCCCTCTTAAACATCTCTCCATTTCTCATGTTTTCCCTACCATTGACTTTTCCCTCTTAAAAATCTCTCCTTTTTACATGTTTTTCCCACCATTGACTTTTCCCTCCCAAATATCTCTCCATTTCTCATGTTTTTCCTACCATTGACTTTTCCCACCCAAACATCTCTACTTTTTACATGTTTTTCCTACCACTGGCTTTTCCCTCCCAAACATCTCTCCTTTTTACATGTTTTTCCTACCACTGGCTTTTCCCTCCCAAACATCTCTCCATTTTACATGTTTTTCCCACCATTGACTTTTCCTTCCCAAACATCTCTACTTTCCACATGCATGACTTTCACATATCTCTCTATACTTTCTTACCTCCTCTGAAAACATGCCTCCATAAAAACATTTATTCACCGTCTGCTGCAACAAGTGACACAGGAGTAAGGAGCTGTATGTATGAGGTAAAAGTAGGCAGTATTATGTCTACAATGTGCCATTACCATGGACTTAAGCTTTCATGGAGCCTCCTACAGGGCACGGACAATTCTACAAGGTCCCATACATGGGCAGGGGCTCCAACAAATAGGATGGGTAAAGTACAGCCCTACCCATGGGTAAGATTGGACCACCGCTGCCCAACCCACAGGAAGGAAAGACACACTACAACCTACCCATGGGTAAGATTGGACCACCGCTGCCCAACCCACAGGTAAGAAGGATACACTACAACCTACCCATGGGTTACAGGAAGCACACAACATTGTAAAACTATTCAGAAGTAGTTAGGGGTGTAACAGTTTACCAGTACATCTATTCACATTATTTACATATTTACAGAATGAAGCATAAACAAATGGTCATTAAAAAAAAAAAAAACAGAAAAAAATAATATCCATAACTTAAAGCACATATCACAGAACATCAATCCTAGCTTGGTAGGCATCACATTATATTAACACCCAAAATGTGTTGCCTGATCAGTTACTTGCACAGTGGTAAAAAACTGATCGGACGGACTTTGGTAAATATCACATATAATCACGACTATTTAGTTTTTGTCCAGTGACATCAGAAGGTGCCACCCTCTATATGTCCACTAACTAATCAAGCGTTTATCGGCAAGGAGTGTTTACTATACACATTATCTCCTCTGGGAATTCACACTGCACTTCATATAAACAGTGAGCATTATGTAATAAATCTTCGGTATATGATGATGTCACTGTCCATATAATTAACTGAACAGATGACAATAATTATAATCCAACACCAAATACAATTTTATCGTAAAAAGGCACCAGAATGTCTTTTTCACAATTATGTTGTACCTGATATAGTTTTAATCATCAATTTTAACTTGCAGACAGAGAGTGACTAAATGTTTACTAATGTTTCTAGAACCAGTCTAGGAGGTTGGAAACTGTTGCAAGGAGTTATCTCCCTTAAACAACCAATGTTACACTGTTATACCAGGTACATACCGTGTCTTTTACATACTGTATCCTTGTAACAAAAGCATGGTTGTGAGTCCCAGCTGTGATGATGATAGAACATACAGCACTGTAAGGCTAATAAACCTGTCTCTGATAGAGAAGGATATATCACAGCCACTCGTGTACACCTGTCTACACAATTCAACAGACCTATTTGTGACACTATCCATGTTCCTGGGGACAATAGTTTTGTGTATGTGACATGTGACTGGTAGATTTAATGGAAAAGCTGCCGTGTTTGTCACCTACTATTGGCTTGTACTTTGGACTGATCCTCACATACTCGACACAAGCACATGATCCTTGGCAACCCTTGATGCTGGTACCTGTTTGGATGTGATCCTTGATGCCGGTATCTGTTTGGATGTGATCCTTGATGTCGGTACCTGTTTGGATGTGATCCTTGATGCCGGTATCTGTTTGGATGTGATCCTTGATGTCGGTACCTGTTTGGATGTGATCCTTGATGTCGGTACCTTTTTGGATGTGATCCTTAATGTCGGTACCTGCTTGGATGTGATCCTTGATGCCGGTACCTGTTTGGATGTGTTCCTTGATGCCAGTACCTGTTTGGATGTGATCCTTGATGTCGGTACCTGTTTGGATGCTTTCGTTGATGTTGGTACCTGTTTGGATGTGATCCTTGATGCCAGTACATGTTTAGATGTGATCCTTGATGCTGGTACCTGTTTGGATGTGTTCCTTGATGTCAGTACCTGTTTGGATGTGATCCTTGATGTCGGTAACTGGCCATGGATGACCCTACCTTGGAGTACATGTACCTGGTACCTGACCTTGTTGGCACGTCACAGTCTTACTTTCTCTAACACCAGTTTCTGACATACAAGCTAAAAACTTCACAAATTTGGCACTAATTCTGTAGATGATTCCATATGTTCTACACAAGAATGACCGCTGACAGCCAGGATGCCGCCAACAGAGATATGGTTATGATTTCACAAGACGTGACTTGAGAGCTCGGTATGGGTTATGGTGACTTGGGGGTGAAGGCGCTGTAAAAACAAAACCATCAACATTTTAGTAAATTCTGCTGCATCATACAACACTACATAGTACCTAAAGAGCTATTGTTATGGCTATAAATCACATCCACGATTATTGATCAACAGTAACATACACGTCCTCTTTTATATCTATTATTTCACATTAGATTTGTTATCAGATTAACAGCTTGTGTACAGCAGCAGGTAAGTACATCTTTTTAATTAAATCAAATGACAACAATAAAACACATCTAGAAACAAACAGTCATGCAGTTAGTAAAACTCAAACACTAGTTGTTATCTGTCAAACTTCATGCAATAAAATCCATATCACAGAAACACAGGCCAAATTACCTGTACAGACACTCTTTTGAATTACCAAGGTACATATTTATTATTAATCACACTGATATAAAAATTTAGTTTTTTTTCAAACCCTTTCATAACACTTAATACAACAATGCTTTCCCAGCCCTAAAAGTTGACATCCTGCACGTAACACAGCCTCCACATAAAACAACTGTCCTCATATAACATAATTCAATATCCTTATCCCAGCATCGACATTACACATTACGAATAACAAAACATTCATACTAAAATAGCCATCCCTCGATATAACAGTCTTCACAAACTGAATTCCAACCTAACATATTATATACATAATCAACCCTTGTTAAAGTATAGCATCCATATAAAATATCCCCCTTATAACACAGCTGTCACACATATATTTTCCTCTCACAGTGAGCTGTACAGATATATTATAGTGAGCTGTACAGACATACTACAGTGAGCTGTACAGACATACTAGTGAGCTGTACAGACATACTATAGTGAGCTGTACAGACATACTATAGGAAACTGTACAAACATACTATAATGAGCTGTACAGATATACTATAGTAAGCTGTACAGACATACTATAAGAAGCTGTACAAACATACTATAGTGAGCTGTACAAACATACTATAGTGAGCTGTACAGACATACTATAGGAAGCTGTACAGACATACTATAGTGAGCTGTACAGACATACTATAATGAGCTGTACAGATATACTTAAGCACTGTATATATACCCTATATAAATGAATGAAACTGCCATTCACATCTGACCTTTCACTGTGACTACAGGAACATACCCCAGTGTCAGGATTAACTTAGCCTCTGTCCCCTATTCAAATGAATATCTAATACAATGGGGCCATTTTCATCTACATTTTCTATTTCTTTCAATTTTTCAATGGATAAGTTTTTCCACTTACTCTGAAAAAAACAAAACTCCATTCTCTGAAGAAATATAGCTGAGTTAGTTTTAATCTCTCTTACTTCAGAGAAGTTACAGAGTGATTCCTAAATTGTTTAGTCACTGATGTAGTACACATAGAGTCAATGTACTGTAAATCAGTACCTAAACCACTCAGGATGTTTATCAATGGCTGCTGTAAACCTTCATCATTATATATACATTTTCATATAGTTTGATAAATTTCACATTTTGAGCTGTTCAACATGGTAGTCTTCAAATACCTGCAATTGATTTCTGATGAATATGTATATATTTTTTTTCAAACACACAAACAATAAAGCATGCAAAATAAGATTTGGTATATTGCGCTTGAGGCCCACTCAATAACTAGTAATATACACACGTCTGTGTAACACTTCAGTATAGATATAGTGTACACGTCATATCAAAGTCATGGAAATACAGATACAACCAGAGAGTCAGTGAATGTGTGACAACAGGGAGGGAAAAACCAATCGTGAAATGTGAAATAAAAATGGCCAACTTGGCAACAGGAACTCAACTGAGGCTCGATGGCCTACAGCTACTCCATTTACCTCAGAACTCAAGAGGTTTGGGCGATTTAGGAGAGAATAGTAGTTGGTTCGGACCTGTCATAAACAAAGAATATTATCTTTCTTATACTTCAAAATAAAAGAAAAAAGCAGTAAAAAAAAAAAACTGTGATTTCATATCAGTATTATGTTAATTATCTGCAGGTTCTATGTAAGAACATGTGATGTGAAGGGCATTTTCTACTGGTGACAATACAATACATGCAAACTGACACCAGATACCATTAACAGGCTTGTTTAACAGTGAAAAAGAAAAAAAAAAAAAAAAAAAATATTGACACTACTATTTGTAGTTTTATGTATATTTTGGGATAAATTCCTCATTCTGACCATTCCTTACTTTATATACAGTAAAACATTGTTATCTTACATATCAATACAACACTTATTTAACTATACCCTGGGGAAGAACACAGATACTTGAAAAAAAATCCAATTGACTTCCTAAATTCCAAGACTTGATTTTCCTATCATATCAAAGACTTTGACGAGGAAATCCACAACAAGAGATTGTATCACATGAACTCCACTGACTCATATATATCTTATGAGTACATTATCTGTAACAACTAAATCAACCCTTAGCTATTATCATCAATTCATTTAATACACATTGATATTCTATTATCTTAAATTACGAAAGACAATTCCTTCATTTATAATTTCTCCGTTCTTTGGAGTATGTGTAAGAGAGGTAGCGTAAGATTTAAATATCACATGTTAAGTATATTCTTATCGTTTTTCCCGTGCTATTCAAGATTACATTTACGCTCGGAATCCTACCAAAAATGAAGTATAAGGTGTAACACCTCTCACATCATGTAATTGGTTATTTTTCACCCCCACAAAAACATTGAAACAGTATTCGGATATCAAGATATGTTTAAAGAGTATAATTATTGGGAAATTATGCTTTACTTTGTGTATCCCATACTTACTCCACTGATTAGGGAAACTTGCCACATCATCCAGACCCTCCTCCAGTATCTCTGGCTGCATGTGACTGAGATGACTGATGTCGTTAGATGGCTGGATACTACTGCCGTGTATACCTAGCAATGTCCTATCTCCTGTCACAAATAACAACCATGTTATCGACACCAGGTACGATATTTCAAACACATTTATCCTCAAACTTCTCTTCTGTACAGGTTTTCCTCAACTTTTCACAAAATGATGTAAGATTGGGTTTTCGCAATATTTCTAAGCTAAAAAGGAAGATTATCAGTGTCTACTTGCACACTTCTGATATATGGTGAAAACCAACCTATGGATTTTATAAACTTTCCAAAATCAAGTTATCTTTCTCACCGAAAAATGATCAATCCATATAAAAAAAATGTGCAATGTAACATATGCTTACCTAAAGATCTGGCTGGAATAGTATTGAGTCCATAGGGAGTGGATGCTCGTCTGGCCTGGCCTAAAGGAGTGTCCGACTGTTCAATCACAAATACAAGACAATGTATATTACACCCTGACACAGATTACCACTAGGATATTTCTGACGCCATGACTCACTATGATGCAGAGCAGTCAGAACGTAGCCTGTCAGAAAAGTACCTGGTGTACTGTTACCTAAACAGCTTATTATCAGAGTACCACACAATAAAGATCAGTATGTTGACGTCTAAAGTATATACTACAATATATACAATATCTTACCCTCATGGCATGGGTGGTGCTGGGTCGTGTGTCAACAGGTATCATAAACTGGCTACGATGAGGAGCCCGGATGTCTTTATCCACTGCACTGCTAGCTCTATTACTAGCACTATGAACCTTCTGCTGGAATAAACACACCCATATACAGTGAAAAGAGCCTGTTTTGTTTTTGTCAGTATTAAATCGAAGATAAAATCTTCAAGTGACATATGCTTAAGTTATGAACATTTTATAATATGCAATCAAGTTATAATGAAAATGACATGTTGGGATGATTTCCTTCTGACTTACTTGTGTTCGTGTTAATGAAGTACTGGGTTCTATCTCCGAGCTAAGTGGGGGAAGAGCACCATTCCTCTGGAGGGTCAGGTCATTGTGAGGATGAATTCGAGTGACCCTGAGAGCACCAGTGGGACCTGTCCGCTCCTCCTCCTGGCAACAGAAAGTCATATATAATCTTACTTACATGCAGCAGGTGCTGATTAGAAATAATTCAGTCCCTGGTGTGAGATCTCAGTTTTGTTATATGTACTAGCATTATAAGGTGATTATGCCCTACATGATTTACAACACACCCATTACATATATACTAGTACCTGATCTATATGCTATCAAACACAGCTAGAGTGTAACATACAACACCTACCACATTAGGGGTGCGTGACCTTTGGTCCAGTGGGGCCAGACGTAAGGACCTAGAAATGGCCACACTTCGATTCCCTGAAAACTTGTTTGTCCCAGCCGTTATACTTGTATTTGGACGATTTTGAGTTTTGTGGGTCGGCTGTATACTGGAAGCAGGCCGAGCAGTAAGAGGGTCTGTTTGTTCACTGAAATTATCAACCACAATATTAGTCATGCATTTCATATTAAACCAACATTTGACACCTGAACAATTGTATCTATACATTTATATTACTTTAGTGAGGATTAACTTTAATATACTAGTAAATGTTATGAAGATTTATGTGCAGAGTTTGGTTCCTAGATAATTTTGAGAAAGATTAAGTCTTTTTTGGTCAACTGATCAATATTTTGACCACCATTATGTTGTCCATGCAATTAACGTTAACAGTATATCCACACAATACATATCAGGAATAGGTAAAACCTACTGTAACAATGATTTCTCCCTGGTGATCAAATCTTTCCTCGAGATCTGAAGCAGTTCATCCAGCTGTGGTTTACTATGTTTAGGTAATACAACTGTTGTGTAAGATCTTGGCAACTGTCCAAAATAAAATGGAAAAACATGATAAGCAATCAAACATTGAATGCAGTATAAAACATCTGAACAGACATCAACAAAAAATTCTAAAATGTATAAATCTTATTGTAATTCCCAAATGATGCACCTAAAGTTCCAAGTGAAGGCTTTAGAATTTCAGACCTTTCTATCTGAGACAAAGATTTGAAAACAAAAACATGAACAGAGAGACTGACAAACAGACATCGTGATAACAAAAAAGCATCTACAGATGTAAGACTGTATTAATGAGCGATTCCTGGAGTTTCATTAGTAAAACAAAGGTGAAAATACATTTAATTTTCTATCTATGATACAAACACATTGATCACAAAGTGGGATAAATGACTACGAAACAGAGTTACCTACCCTTTGCATGTGGAAGGAGGGTTCCCGCGATGGAGGCAGCTGCATTGTATTTGACGACGAAATATTTATAGACATATCTGCTACAGGAAGTGACGGCTTACTCTCCTCTGAAATGTTATAAAAAATTTAATGTCTTACCAGTCATATTAATACTGATACAAATACATTCTTTATCTGCTACAACACTGCTGGATAAGTGTGTGGTAAGTATAATGACCTTACACACTACACCACTGCTGGATAAGTGTGTGGTAAGTATAATGACCTTACACACTACACCACTGCTGGATAAGTGTGTGGTAAGTATAATGACCTTACATGAAGAATTAACAAAGAATTTACCTAAGACAAGGATTGAATACTGCCGGTTCATGTTTCTCATCCATTCTAAAATCTGAAACAAACCAATTCAAAACACCCTTAAAACATTTTTACTGAGGAAACTGAAGTTAATTAGATGTTATTTTTTGTCACTTTCAACAATTAAATTTCTTAATGATGAAGCCATTATTTAAATTTTAAATCAGGATTTAAAATTAAACACGATCTAAAATTAATTATCTATGTGATGACTTTACCTCTTGCCACAAATGGTCAAATACGGAGCTCATTACCGCATCCTTTACACAGGCATTGGGTGTGATAGGAGGATAGCCCACACGTCTACGCCGAGGCGTCAGCTGCTTCTTCTGGTTATAATCATCGTCATATCTACAGAAAACATCACTTTCATTCAATATCAATATTTACTTTTAAATCAATAATAAACCTATATTTTGGTTTTTCTTCAATTGCTTTTTTTTAACTGTTGTAATATTAACAACTTAAGAATACCAACACAACATTAACCAAAATCCACTGAAATTTAGATTGGAAATATACAATGTTCTTTTATTTCTACACAACAAGTTACAATTATTCAGAGGTTCAAGAAATGAAGGACTTTTATTCAGCAGTACAAATTATCAGATAGAAATACAGAGGTAGAGTACACTTACATGTCTACATAGTCTATAGCAATGATCTCTTCATACTCTCCCTCCTGACTAAAGATCTCCTCCTCCAAGTGTGTATACTCTGAGGATGCATTAGATGTTGACATGCCGGAATGGTAAGATCGTGCCTCCATAGGGGGCTGCTGGGGCCGTAAACGTTGTCCAGACAGTGTTAAACTGGAGGGGAAGGTAAAATTACAGATGTATATAAAAGGTCCTTAATTCTCTATACAAATAACCATTAAATAATGTTTATAAATTTTCTTTTTTAGGGAAATAGATGATTTTGAGAAGAAACAGGCTCAGACAAATCAAAATCAATACCACTTTTAAAGTCCATAAGGCCTCCTGTCTATAAATAGTAACATTTTATAGATATGTTTGATAATGTAGGATAAACTTTGCGTTCAACAGGAAGTTAATTACTCAATAATTTAAAGAAATATTTCACCTTAGGATGGAAAAGTTAGCAAATTGCTATTTAACTATTTGTGATCTACCTGTGCTGCAAACATGCCAAATACAGACTTTGTGACTTGTAAAGTCTACAAGCAGACAGATACCTGTGTATGTCTTGCGTGGTGACCATTTCATGGTCTGTGATATCCACTAGTCCCATACTGCCCGTGGATGGCCGTGAACCCTCCCTCTCGATTGCCTGGTATCCCATGTCCTGAGGATGGAACAGTTGTTCGCCCAGGATTCTGTAAACAAACAACAACATTAGATTTGATCCAAAATAAAACTTTAAGTTTTTTATAGCATCAGTTTTTATTATCCTTATATAGAATTCTTCTTTATTCTAAACTTAGTTAACAGTGCACCGAGATTAATAGAATTTTCACTTTTGGGAAAGACAAGAAAATCTCTGTCAAGGAACAATGCTTTTCCAAGAAACAAAAAAGGTAAATGTAGACAATTCTAAGATATTATAATATAAAATACCATCAGAATCTCTGGATGTATATAGAGTTATTATGTAATGTTTTCAATGTAGAATTACAATATACTTTAAAAAAAATGGTATTGATCTCATAGGTGTATGTCTCAAGGTTAGAAAAAATATTTCAACTAACAAATTGCCAAACTTTTTTATTTCTTTTTTTTTTCACAATTAAGTTATCATTCTTTTGAAAACAAATCTTTACCTTAAGTGAGGAAACTTGAGATTCCATTCCTTGCATTCTTTGAGTATGTAACTGGGTCCTTCTACATTTTGTTCAAATAACATAGAGTCAATCTGGTCAAAAAGGCATTGTACTGTTTTGGCTGCCTGTTTGTCAAACTCCTGAAAAAAAATCAATCAGTCTATTTAGTAAGATCAGATAATTACCAAGTATCAATGATAAATGTAAACAGCTGCTTAGAGGTAAAATCTTGCAACATCAGCTGTGTTTGTGTTTACTGGTGTAAAATCAGCTGTGTCTGTGTTTACTGGTGAACCATCAGCTATAGCTGTGTCTGTGTTTAGAGATGTAAAATCAGCTGTGTCTGTGTTTAGTGGTGAAACATCAGCTGTGTCTGTGTTTACTGGTGAAACATCAGCTGTGTCTGTGTTTAGAGATGTAAAATCAGCTGTGTCTGTTTTTACTGGTGAAACATCAGCTGTGTCTGTGTTTACTGGAGTAACATCAGCTGTGTCTGTGTTTACTGGAGTAACATCAGCTGTGTCTGTGTTTAGAGATGTAAAATCAGCTGTGTCTGTTTTTACTGGTGAAACATCAGCTGTATCTGTGTTTACTGGAGTAACATCAGCTGTGTCTGTGTTTACTGGAGTAACATCAGCTGTGTCTGTGTTTACTGGAGTAACATCAGCTGTGTCTGTTTTTAGTGGTGAAACATCAGCTGTGTCTGTGTTTACTGGTGAAACATCAGCTGTGTCTCTGTTTACTGGTGAAACATCAGCTGTATCTGTGTTTACTGGTGAAAACATCAGCTGTGTCTCTGTTTACTGGAGTAACATCAGCTGTATCTGTTTTTTAGAGATGTAACATCAGCTGTGTCTGTGTTTAGTGGTGAAACATCAGCTGTGTCTGTGTTTAGAGATGTAACATCAGCTGTGTCTGTGTTTAGTGTTGAAACATCAGCTGTGTCTGTGTTTACTGGTGAAACATCAGCTGTGTCTGTGTTTACTGGAGTAACATCAGCTGTGTCTGTGTTTACTGGTGAAAACATCAGCTGTGTCTTCTTTTACTGGTGAAAACCATCAGCTTTGTCTGTGTTTACTGGTGAAAACATCAGCTGTGTATCTGTTTACTGGTGAAACATCAGCTGTGTCTGTGTTTACTGGTGTAACATCAGCTGTGTCTGTGTTTAGTGGTGAAACATCAGCTGTGTCTGTGTTTAGTGGAGTAACATCAGCTGTGTCTGAGTTTACTGGTGAAACATCAGCTGTATCTGTGTTTAGTGGTGTAAATCAGCTGTGTCTGTTTTTAATGGTGAAACATCAGCTGTGTCTGTGTTTAGTGGTGAAACATCAGCTGTGTCTGTGTTTACTGGTGAAACATCAGCTGTATCTGTGTTTAGTGGTGTAACATCAGCTGTGTCTGTGTTTACTGGTGAAACATCAGCTGTGTCTGTGTTTAGTGGTGAAACATCAGCTGTATCTGTGTTTACTGGTGAAACATCAGCTGTATCTGTGTTTAGTGGTGTAACATCAGCTGTGTCTGTGTTTACTGGTGAAACATCAGCTGTGTCTGTGTTTACTGGTGAAACATCAGCTGTGTCTGTGTTTAGTGGTGTAACATCAGCTGTGTCTGTGTTTAGTGGTGTAACATCAGCTGTGTCTGTGTTTACTGGTGAAACATCAGCTGTGTCTGTGTTTAGTGGTGTAACATCAGCTGTGTCTGTGTTTAGTGGTGTAACATCAGCTGTGTCTGTGTTTACTGGTGAAACATCAGCTGTGTCTGTGTTTACTGGTGAAACATCAGCTGTGTCTGTGTTTACTGGTGAAACATCAGCTGTGTCTGTGTTTAGTGGTGTAACATCAGCTGTGTCTGTGTTTACTGGTGAAACATCAGCTGTGTCTGTGTTTACTGGTGAAACATCAGCTGTATCTGTGTTTAGTGGTGTAACATCAGCTGTGTCTGTGTTTACTGGTGAAACATCAGCTGTGTCTGTGTTTACTGGTGAAACATCAGCTGTGTCTGTGTTTACTGGTGAAACATCAGCAGTGTCTGTGTTTACTGCTGAAACATCAGCTGTATCTGTGTTTAGTGGTGTAACATCAGCTGTATCTGTGTTTACTGGGGTAACATCAGCTGTATCTGTGTATAGTGGTGTAACATCAGCTGTGTCTGTGTTTACTGGGGTAACATCAACTGTATCTGTGTTTAGTGGTGTAACATCAGCTGTGTCTGTGTTTACTGGTGAAACATCAGCTGTGTCTGTGTTTAGTGTTGAAACATCAGCTGTGTCTGTGTTTACTGGGGTAACATCAGCTGTATCTGTGTTTAGTGGTGTAACATCAGCTGTATCTGTGTTTACTGGTGAAACATCAGCTGTGTCTGTGTTTACTGGTGTAACATCAGCTGTGTCTGTTTACTGGGGTAACATCAGCTGTATCTATGTTTACTGGTGAAACATCAGCTGTATCTGTGTTTACTGGTGAAACATCAGCTGTGTCTGTGTTTACTGGTGAAACATCAGCTGTGTCTGTGTTTACTGGTGAAACATCAGCTGTGTCTGTGTTTACTGGTGTAAATCAGCTGTGGCTGCTGTTACTTGTTTGCTTTGCAGACCATTAAACAAGTAGAGCCCTGAATACTTATTAAAATTTATGGGATTTTTGACATTTTCAAGGGTTCAAAACATAACACTTGTGGTGTTTTTGTTTATTTGTTTGCACAATGGAGACCACACATGGCGACTGTATATACAAGTCAAAGGGGAGAATTTTATGTCTATGCACTGCTTGGTCTGAAATTAAACTACTCTACTTCCTTCTTGGTATGGAAATTTTCATATTACCAGCTTTGATAATTTTTTCATTGTATCTAAATCTGATGAAGGATAGAGTATTTCACACAAAACTTGGACACGATCCTGTATGAATAGCTACATTGTACGGAGAACGCAATCATTCGAAATATTTCTCCAATACAAAGTTCCAATACAGGTAACAGTAGAGGTAAACTAGCAATAATATACAACTTAATGATAACTCTTGGTAATCGAATCTGACCTGCTGACCTCAGGACAAGGCATTTAATACAGGTAATCCTACTGAGAGGAGAGGAGGGGGCATTATTGAGAAGGGGGTCTGTGGAGGAATAAAGGGACAGGAAGTTGAGTTATAGAAAGAAGGTTCAGGGATGGGGGAGGAGGGGAGGGAGGTTAGGGAAGTAACAGAAAAAAGGTAGAGGGAGATTAAACACCACAAGAGGATGGTTTAAAGGCAGATGATTTCATTATCTTTTATAACAATGGTCTAAGGGACAAGTTCACACATGATAATCAAATCATATAAAGCCAAGAGACATTCCGGTCCAATCAATACTCTAACCACCTGTCCTGATAAACACATGGTCAGACAGTCAACATTTGTGTCATATTTAACTTCAGTTCTCTACTAGGACAGTCAGTATTTGTGTTTACACCTGAACCACACTGCATGTGATATTAAAGTCACAAAGATATAACCGCACTGTGTATTAATCAACACAGTGCTATTCAACAAAGTCTTATTCTATCTTTGAAGTTGGATTTAAACCCTAACTGCCAATAAGTTAACATGAGAGAGGACAATGTTGATTTGTTTATAGAGCCCCAGTGGTGGGTAGTAGGGCTAGGAATCCTAGGCAGTATTACAGGCTAGTGTAGAGATAGATAGCATCACCACAGTTATAGCACCGAACCCACACTATCTTACACCAATACAGCATTTCATAGTCTTGATGATAAGGTGTAAAGTTTCTATTCTTTATATCATTGAATAACAATAAATAATGCATTTAATTTCTTTTGGTTTTCTTATCTAGAAAAGTGTTTCAGATCCTTAGGTGGACAGAAACATGCTTTCAGGGCATTATATTAGTAATATTGGATTACTTACATCCCATGAATAATTGGAGTCTGTAGAACTCCTCTCTGTTGTGTTGCCGGTAGTCCAGCCCCCACGTGCACTGGAAGCATTGCTCTGGGTCTCTATGATGGTGGGAGAAGATCGCCCACTGCTGCTTGGTGTACCATTGTAGCTATTAAGAGAGACAACAAAGGTCAATGCCAAAGGTAGAAACACTGTTGCCATGGTGATACAAGAAATGCCAAGGTCAAAAGAGAAGATACTACAGTCATGGAGATACATTAAAGATCAAGGTCAAAACATGGTAGTCATGGATATACAATAACAAGAGGCTCATGGGACCTGTATTGTTCACCTGGTTTAGTTTGCAAAAAATGATTAATTTGAACTGAAGGAAAAGCATCTATTTCCCCTATTAGACCCAACCCCTCCTCCCCATGGGGGTTAGATGAACTGGTGGACAAAACTAAGCTCTCTTCACCCAAAAATGCTTCAGATCATCTATCCAAAAGACCGAGACCCATTGATTATATAAACTGATTTCTATTTACCCAAAAATTCTTCAGACAAAATTTGAGCAAAATCTAAACATTCCTATAGAAGAAGTTGGATTTTAAAAAACATGAAAAATTATCCCCTTCTGGGCCTGATCCCTTGGGCCTGCTGGTTTCCAGAGTCATTATTTATACAAAATTTGCTTGGTTTTCCCCAAAGATGCTTCAGATAAAATTTGGGCCAGGTAGGCTAAAATGAAAGTTTAAATAGAAACATTGCAATCATGGAGATGAAATAAAGATCAAGGTCAGAAGAGAAAACAGTTTAGCCAGTGGAGATCAGGAGTGTACCATTGAAGGGCTAATGAAATACCAGGCTTGCCTAGTTGATTTAACAACCATTACTAGTCCCTAGGCTAATGAAAAATATAGTGTGAAATGTGTCAAAAACTTGTTTTAGATTGTTGTTGATATTGTTACTGGTGATAGATCGTAACTTTGTCAGGTGTAATTCAATTTCCCTAAAACAAAAAGATTGTAAGTGGCATGGTGTAATATTGTGGCAGCCATTGAATGTCGGTAGCCTGAATAACCTCACATGATCAATGCTGCAATTTCAGTGGGTGCAAGAATGGGAAGCGTTAATCATCCAAGTTACATATTTTGCTGTCAAAAAACCAAAAAATAATAACACTTGGTTTTCCAATCCATTCATACAATCATAGAAAGCCATTTTTCAAACGAGAAACATCAAACAGATAAAGTAAAACTGATTCTTTGATCCCAATATCATAATTTAAATAAGAGGTAATTAACATACATGAAATCAAAACAATCCCATTTCGTATTTTTCAGGGTTTTTTTTCTTTTCTTAAATGATAATTTGATCACAAGTTTAATTAAAATTAATTAAGCTACAATCAGTTTAATTGAAATTGATTAAGTTTTCTAAATGGCTTATGATTGTTTATAAAATAAATCACCTGAATATGGTGGTAAGACCTGAAAATGTTCAGTAACACATTTGCAGTATTGATTTCATCGTTCAATTATCAGATTGAAACAAAAAAGTTCTTTATCAAATGACTGAAAATCAGCATTATGTAGAAAGATCATACACTAACCAAACCAACAAACATAAAAAAATGTATCTTTAATCATAGTTATAGCAACAACATAAAACTAAAATGGTGTTATTTTGTCAAAAAAATAAAATAAATTTTTGTCAGGCTAGTTAACAAACAAGTCAACTAGACCTTGGGCAATTTTTTTTAAAAAATCTGAATTTTACACCCCTGAAAGTCAAGGTCAAAGGAAGGAAATGTTGTAGCTATGGAGGTAGAATTAAGGTCAAGGTTATATGGAGGCAATGTGATCTTATAGCTATAGAGATGAGAAGGTACAATGTCCAGTTTATAACTGCTTATAATATTTTCGAAAACAAACCTGACATAGAAACTTAGTGATAGCATGTTCTACACCTGACCAATATTGGTATACTTTGGGAAATGACAATTGTTGATGACAATGAGATACACTTACATTGTGATGGTGATTTCTACACTGAACAGGTACTTGGAGGGAAGGAGGGGGGTTGGGTGGGAGGGGAATGACAAATATTGATGACAATGAGATACACTTACATTGTGATGGTGATTTCTACACTGGACAGGTACTTGGGGGGAATGACAAATATTGATGACAATAACACACTTACTTTGTGATGGCGTTTTCTACACTGGACAGATACTCTGGGGGAAGGCCCATAGAGTTGATATCAAGGACACCAGGTACTACAGATGCCAAGCCTCTTCTGTAAATAATTAAGAACAGAAATATTTTGTTAGTCCTAAAGAAAGGTACACAGAGTGCATGAAATAAAGCTGCAGTTCTTCCTCTGTATTTCAAGTATGGTAATGTAGCCTGGTATGTTTTGTTACCTGGTAAATCTTCTGTCATTATAACTGTACAAATATACCTAACAACAACACACGTGTAAGCTGACTTGTAAGATATCCTGTTATAGACATCATGACTTTTTAATGCATCAAATTATTCCTTCATTTTTCTCCCTGGTACACTTTACTTATTGTCAAATCTAACCAAATGTCAGTATCTGTCAGTAAAGAGAGGTTTTACTGTGGGCACAGCTGGTGTCAATGTAGGAAGGATTTCTTAAATGTTTTGTATGTGTATTTTAATGTAAACTGAATGAAAGGATATTGACATTAAATATCCCTCTGTGAGAGTTAAAATCATCAGATTTATGATGTCCGTAACAAACAAGAATCTTCAAATTAACATATACGGTTAAAAACATGTTATAATCATCATGTCATACTCCGATTTCCCTGTTTACTCAGAAAACTTGTTTATTCAACATTTTTTCGTTTATTTAAAGAGTGATTAAATCATTTGATATGAGAAGAAAAGAAAATATGAGTGGAGACATAAGTTTGCTATTTTGGTGACAGTTGTGTTTTGATAGACCGACTCCTAGTCCCTTTACAATGTCATACGAGATCCTAGATCAGGCAACTAATCAAACACGCCAAAACATGTCCATGCTGTGATGTTTTGAACACAACCAGATACAACCCATCCACCCAGAAACATCTCAAACCTACTAACATGGTCCGTTGACCCACTGTTAATTACCTGACTGTCAAACGGACAACATACATTGTAATGAAGTGAGGCATGTCAGACGGATGTTTTTATGGGCATCTGTCGTGTTGCTCCTCCGTAACCAACACACCAGGCTTGTTGATCCATCTACACCCATCATAAGTATATATACCCACCTCCTTATTTATATTTCCCAAATAAAGAAAATTTCTAGATTATGATCTGCTTTGTGTAGGACTGTAAGAGTATAATTGTTGCATTCTGCCTAATAGTTTTTTTACAGACAAGCAGCCAGCTCTTCCATTGGCCAGACTAGTAAATACATTGTTTTCAATGCCGATTTGTAACACTTACAGAATTGGGAAAGTGCCTATATGTTTGTTTGTCATGATACCTCAGCCCGAACAATCTGTAATCCTAACACAACCAACCATTTATGATATCCTTTATTCCAGGCTAACAGTCACAAGATATATAATGAGTATTGTTTTCACATAAATTCGTTGGAATACATTCAAAATATCTGTAATAGAAAGTAAACGTTTAATGTTTGATACAACATGCAATGATATCTAAATACTCCAGTTAAATAAAAGACTGCTTTGATAGATTGAAGTAAAATTCAGCATTTGCCTTAGTTTTATGTAACTCTGTCAGTACAGAAAAGACTGATGTCCCCCAGGGTGTTGGACAATGTGGAGCCATCAGATGTGGAAACATGCTGTCCAGCATTTAAGCTCTTAATAACAGGATGTTATTAGCTGAGTGTTCCTACCCGACTTCATAGCTTACTAACACAACAGCAATACCACAAACGATTACCTGTAACAAACATTTGACTTTGCAGCCTTAAGATCTGTTGTCCAATCTTTGAAGATCGAAATAAACAGTAACATAGACGAGCAATAACCTTAACTCTTCTCAGAACTATAAACAGTACGTCTCTTTAATGTCTGAATATTAGAGACATTATGTTCGACAGGTTGACAGAAATATGTTACAAGAGCACTATATCTGGCCTGAAAGAGTTATATCAGAGATGTTGGTAATAAAATCTAGCAAATGTAAACAAGAGCAGAAGAGAAGTTACAGTTCATATCCTTGTAGTGGGCAATAAAGACAGGTCAGCGTAGTGGTCACCTGGACTACCACTAGAACCTGGTCAGTTGTCCCGAGAAGTTCGACCTGGGTTTACAGGTAAAAATCCTCAACGTCCACAGGTAATACCGAGTAATCAATCATCACTGCCTAGAAGCCTGTTTGTTTACAACTTAGGCTAAAAGCCCTTTGAAGGACAAGTACATAAGTATCCTTTATTGCCTTCTATAATGAAGCAGGTTACTTATTCTCCTTTGCATTCATAGATTATTGGTCAATACATTGACCACTTCTTATCTGTAGTAGCATGGTGACAAGTCAGTCAGACCAGAGATGAACCTCTGACCAATGGAAAACCTGACACCTAAACTGTTAGAAACCTCAAAAGCCAGAATTTCTCAACAAATTTAGCTCATTAATTAATAAAACATTCAAACCATAAGCAATGATTTGAAGAACTGTAACTGCCTGATGAGAAATGTTGTACAGGCGACCATGTAACCGATAGTAACACCTCGGGAACACTAAAGCTTCTTATTATATAGATTTCTCTCCTCAATACATGTAGCATTAAAAACAAATTTGACAGAATTTCCTCTCTAATGAAAAATATTGACAACTCATCAATAGTCAACAGGTAATGTCTATCAGCCCTGGTATCAAACATATCATTTTACAACCTCTAAATATTTCTACACAAGTTGACACAAACATATGGTTTATCTTGAAATGTATTGAAAAACATGTTAACTGTACATAACATGTTTTTCTTATCATCATAACTCCCACTGAAACCATAATAATTGCATGAAAAATTAAAACGCAAAAGCAATTATTCAGTAAATGTTTCAAGACCGAAAATGAAAAAGTACTTCAACTCAATTGTATCAAATATTGGACTTAACAGAACCACAGTTAATGAAACTTCGGGTGAAATTTAGATTTAAAAAATCAAACATTGGAAGACAACACCCCTTTTCTTTCAAACTGAAATCAAGATGTTAGAATGAAAATGCTACATCAGGAGTATTCCTCTACATTATGAAGATGGAGAACATCAATATGGTATCATTGGCTGGGGTCATGCAGCATGTATATCTGTGATCTACTATGACCATCACTACCTATCACAAAACACACCTGTCCAATAAATTAAGGTAAAAAAATTGTATCTCATAATCTACTACAAAAATTTAAAAAAAAAACAACGTTGGGAACTAATGACATTTTGAATGGTTTTACAATGAACAAAGAAAATGTTGTGTTGCCATGGTGACAGCTGGGATCGTGCATGACTTTATAGAACCATCAATAATTATGTACACAAACCTTGGTCTGTTTGAGATGATACCAAATGAAACTTATCAGTTTTATGGTATAATATCAGACTGGTTGCTACGCTTGCCACTGACATTTAGATAGCTTTCATGTAAGATACAAGCTTCTAGACTTACCACATTATGCATCACACTTCCATCTCCTACAATGGTTCTTTATCCTTAAATTAATGGTGCAATACCATTCTAACATATTTAATGGTTCTATATCACACTATGGTATTTAATGGAACTACATCACATGGATGTGTTTAATGGTTCTACATCACACTGTGGTATTTAATGGCTCTATATCACATGAATGTGTTTAATGGTTCTACATCACACTGTGGTATTTAATGGCTCTATATCACATGAATGTGTTTAATGGTTCTACATCACACTGTGGTATTTAATGGAACTACATCACATGGATGTGTTTAATGATTCTACATCACATTATGGTATTTAATGGAACTACATCACATGGGTGTGTTTAATGGTTCTATATCACACTATGGTATTTAATGGCTCTATATCACATTATGGTATTTAATGGTTCTATATCACAATATGGTATCTAATGGTTCTATATCACACTATGGTATTTAATGGTTCTATATCACACTATGGTATTTAATGGTTCTATATCACACTATGGTATTTAATGGTTCTATATCACACTATGGTATTTAATGGTTCTATATCACACTATGGTATTTAATGGTTTTATATCACACTATGGTATTTAATGGTTCTATATCACACTATGGTATTTAATGGTTCTATATCACACTATGGTATTTAATGGTTCTATATCACGCTATGGTATTTAATGATTCTACATCACACTATGGTATTTAATGATTCTACATCACACTATGGTATTTAATGGCTCTATATCACATTATGGTATCTAATGGTTCTATATCACACTATGGTATCTAATGGTTCTATATCACACTATGGTATCTAATGGTTCTATATCACACTATGGTATCTAATGGTTCTATATCACACTATGGTATCTAAGGTATCTAATGGTTCTATATCACACTATGGTATTTAATGGTTTTATATCACACTATGGTATTTAATGGTTCTATATCACACTATAGTATTTAATGGTTTTATATCACATTATGGTATTTAATGGTTTTATTACACTATGGTATTTAATGGTTCTATATCACACTATGGTATCTAATGGTTCTATATCACACTATGGTATTTAATGGTTCTATATCACACTATGGTATTTAATGGTTCTATATCACACTATGGTATCTAATGGTTCTATATCACACTATGGTATCTAATGGTTCTATATCACCTTAATGTGTGTAATATAAGCATTTCATGATTCTATTTACTGAAATTAATGATTTACTGTGTTCTATATTTAATGTTTTATAATTTTATATCAACTTTATTTAATGTGTTTGGTAATTCTCTGTTTTACCTATATTCCAATAGACTATGTGCTATGCTAATGTCATCTTTAAGTTGTAATGATTGTCTGAAATCCTACAGTGTTTAATGGTTTTATATCAACCTAATCTGATGTTTTTGGTCCTTTGATGAATGTTAATGGGTTATATGATCCACAGAGATGCTTAACGACTCTAGATCCTTTTTATGCGTTAATGAATGCTCCTAAATCATCTTTTTGCTTACTTCCCTTCACCATAACCATGTGTATACAAACAAATATCACAGGTACCAATTTGAAGTAATTAGTAATAACTTCTTTCAAACTGGGATTAGTTTTGGAGAGGCCAAGCTGCATTTCTCTCTAGAGAAATTGTTTTTAAAAGATGTGAGAATTTTAAATCAGGTACCAGAATGATAAGTAAAATTTCATCATTTTCTTTCCCTATCTGTAGTTAAATCATCACAATGTTGACTTTCCTATTTAATATGGAATTCATATCTAAGATTTACAATAAGAATATTACAGCCTGTGCTTTATCTCTTTATTGTCATCATGTAAGCCAGATGTCAATATCTTTAAAAAGTCTACACTTATATAGAAGCTGATATCTACCACAATACATAGTTTCGTTCTTTTAAATAAACTTGAAGCTGACACAAGAAAAGTATTTCCTACAAAACGAAGACATTACCTTCTGCTGTGTATTTTGGCACTGACACATACAATAGCCTTTGAGAGGCCATAGTGCCGTTTGTAGAGAGGGAAGGGGACACGGCCACGATCCAGCCCTCCTCTACTGATGCAGCGAACTTCAGCACTGCGCACCTCGCGGTTATCTCTGGGGTATGACATGGGCACATATCTCACAAGTGCATCTGTCCCCATCCCCATACACCACTGACTATTCTTTATCCATCCTGTGTGTACACTGCTCTCATAACATAAATTTAGTACGAAACTCCAAGATCACTTATACATGTGTGCTTGATTCCAGCAGCTACTAATTCTCCAGAAATACAAGAAATCTTATCCATATTTAGCCCTGTTTTTTGATTCCATGGAAACAGTTAAGTATTAATCAGCTAGTGTGATAAAGTGTGATCTCTGTTCCCGGCAGACAGACGACACCTGCTCAAGTTGATGGCCACTGTAAGGTAGCAGCAGTCAAAGATGTCTAAATACAAACACTTCAGCTAAAACATCAGCATCCTGTGACGATCTGCTGATGTAACATCAATTTATTTATTAGCTACATCAGGTCCAGACACATACCAGCAGAACAGTGAACCAGAACTGAAGTAATCAACTGACGCCACTTAAGCCTGCGTGTCATAAGTCGTCTTCTCACCTGTACTACAGGTGTAAATTCCTAACACATGGTCACCACTTTTCCTGGATACATCCACCAAAGCCAACCTATACTTGTAACATATGCACAGCAATTACCTGGTGGGCCTTTAAATACTGGTTTTAAATAAGAGGACAAACAGAACTTTGTTGACCGCTGTTAAATGTCCACTGACAACGACAGCGCAGACTTAGCTCTCTCTTTTGTACAATGCAAATTGAATACTTTAATGTTGTATTAGTATGAGGTGTTCGTGATACTGGCAGTATTACAGCTCAATGGTCTCACTAATACACTTCAAAATGTATCACATTTTTAAAGCTATATGGCTCCTTCTCAGACTTGCCAGTTCTGGTGTTGTCCCAGTTCTTGCGTGACTTCCTTAAACCAATGGTCCAACTTTGCTTAACGACCCTCCTTCTTGTTGTACAAATGGAGTTAGGCATACAAGGGCAACCTTATCAGGGTTCCTAGGGACGGCAGATAGCCAGGAAAAGGCCACAAGATGTTGTCATTTCATTATATTACCTGTGGCCTGGTCAGTACTGTAATTGAAAGTGGTATCTCATCCAGCCCTGATTTACAGGCACAAGCCCATTGATTCCACAAAGCTGGCAACACACGATTCTATCAAACCATGACCAAAAAGGCTGGATGGAGTTATGATTACAAAGTTAGTAATTAATCCAATCCCCTGTAGTGATGGAGAGAAACTGTAATCAAAATCAATTACATGCCTCTAGCAGAATCTGTGATTACAGAATTATACGTAGCGTCTCATTACCGTGCAGTTTTTTGTCCTATTTCTGATGATTGTTCACACTGTGTCAATTTAACTTCCTCTTCATGTGTTATATACCTGGGTAAAATATCTTATAAAGGTTATTGAAAACTAATCTTTTCTGATACCGTAACAAGTGCATTTCATTATAATGTAATTCAAGATTTTAATAACACACCTGTGCTTCTGTAAAGTAATTCTATCTTCTAGAACTTCCAGTTGACAGGATATACCATTGGCTTAAACAACCTTTTATGATGTAACACATTATAGTGATGATTGTAAGATTTTTAACATTTTCAAAAAATTCAGGTTTTATATTTTTATTCATTTTACATGAAATAATTAATGAGGTCAAATTGAATGTACTTGGTTAATGATTAAGACATTTGTTGCTAAATTTAGAAGAAAAACAACAACAATGTTCGGGACATACCATTAAGAAATGATTTAATTACTACAATGTGTAGGTTATCAACAACTCCAGTCACGAATCACATTGGTATTTATAATTTGTTTTCCTAACTTTTTAAATTTTTCATCTTTCAGTCTTTTTAATAGTTCACACATGGGGTTGTTAATGACACCAGAGGTGTTTACCATCACTGATAACTCATAATAGATGGAAATATAGTGTTACACTGTACTTATTTAATAAATTAAAAAAAAGACTATATAAAATCAATGTGACAATTGGTGAACAGGATGACAAGCCTGGTAGTCACACCTGTGTTTGCCTGATCAATACTGGTCGATGTACAGGTCATGTCACGCCTGCCATCATCAAATACTACCTGATGTGAGGCCCTGTTTACTTCCTAATCAGTGTTACCATTGACAAAAAGAACTGTTCTCTCAATAACAGTCCCCAATGTATGATGGTCCAATGAACCACATGTTTTAGTGATGTAATTGAATCTATACAATCACCTTCTACTGTCTCGATAAAATTCAGAATGCTAACTCTTTAGCCATGGATGATATAAATAAAAATATCAACCCATTATTTTAATATTTAAGACAATTCGTTCTAGTTCTAGTCTCATTTCCAAGCTGTAGAATAAAACTCATTTCTGGGTGATCCCTAAGGAAATGTAGTTGACTTAAATTGTCAGGCAACCAAACAAACACTGTCCATATTTATAGCAAAGAAGATGCATGAAAACACAAACACTGGGTGCCTGGAACAGCCATGAATTATAGATAGCAATTTCATAATCCATACCATGCAAAAATATATCCCTGTCAGAGAGGATGTATAATTAATGTGTTTTGGTGTGGAAGCTCAATATGGAAACATCTAGGGACATCAGTACGTCAATAATAATCACAGACCAGTCACACATAAATGGCATATCAGGCAGGCAGTGGGTTACCATACCCACAAAAAACCTACCCTTGAAATCTTCAACACACAGTCAATAGCAGTATTGGTTCATCACTTTCAACTGAACCTCCACCTCCAATACAAAGCTGACTGCAATACCCTACCACAACCCTCATCCTCCACCTCCAACACAAAGCTGACCGCAATACCCTACCACAACCCTTATCCTCCACCTCCAACACAAAGCTGACCGCAATACCCTACCACAACCCTGAACCTCCACCTCCAACACAAAGCTGACCGCAATACCCTACCACAACCCTGAACCTCCACCTCCAACAAAAAGCTGACCGCAATACCCTACCACAACCCTGAACCTCCACCTCCAACACAAAGCTGACCGCAATACCCTACCACAACCCTTATCCTCCACCTCCAACACAAAACTGACTGCAGCATCCTACCACAACCCTTATCCTCCACCTCCAACACAAAGCTGACCGCAATACCCTACCACAACCCTTATCCTCCACCTCCAACACAAAGCTGACCGCAATACCCTACCACAACCCTTATCCTCCACCTCCAACACAAAGCTGACCGCAATACCCTACCACAACCCTTATCCTCCACCTCCAACACAAAGCTGACCGCAATACCCTACCACAACCCTTATCCTCCACCTCCAACACAAAACTGACTGCAGCATCCTACCACAACCCTTATCCTCCACCTCCAACACAAAGCTGACCGCAATACCCTACCACAACCCTTATCCTCCACCTCCAACACAAAGCTGACCGCAATACACTACCACAACCCTTATCCTCCAACTCCAACACAAAGCTGACCGCAATACCCTACCACAACCCTTATCCTCCACCTCCAACACAAAGCTGTCCGCAATACCCTACCACAACCCTTATCCTCCACCTCCAACACAAAGCTGACCGCAATACCCTACCACAACCCTTAAACTCCAACTCCAACACAAAGCTGACCGCAATTCCCTACCACAACCCTGAACCTCCACCTCCAACACAAAACTGACTGCAGCATCCTACCACAACCCTTATCTTCCAACTCCAACACAAAGCTGAACGCAATACCCTACCACAACTCTTATCCTCCACCTCCAACACAAAGCTGACCGCAATACCCTACCACAACCCTTATCCTCCACCTCCAACACAAAGCTGACCGCAATACCCTACCACAACCCTTAAACTCCACCTCCAACACAAAGCTGACCGCAATACCCTACCACAACCCTTATCCTCCACCTCCAACACAAAGCTGACCGCAATTCCCTACCACAACCCTGAACCTCCACCTCCAACACAAAACTGACTGCAGCATCCTACCACAACCCTGATCCTCATCTTCCAATTCTCAGTGGACTACAGTATCCCACCCCTTTCCTGAACTTCCCCCTCCAATACACAATACACAGTGCTATCCGAACTCTGAGCCCCCATGTCCAATACACAGCTGACTATAGCATTCCTCCCTAACCATGAACCCCCATGGCTGACACAGCTGACTATAGTATTCCTCCCTAACCATGAACCCCCATGGCTGACACAGCTGACTATAGCATTCCTCCCTAACCATGAACCCCCATGGCTGACACAGCTGACTATAGCATTCCTCCCTAACCATGAACCCCCATGGCTGACACAGCTGACTATAGCATTCCTCCCTAACCATGAACCCCCATGGCTGACACAGCTGACTATAGCATTCCTCCCTAACCATGAACCCCCATGGCTGACACAGCTGACTATAGCATTCCTCCCTAACCATGAACCCCCATGGCTGACACAGCTGACTATAGCATTCCTCCCTAACCATGAACCCCCATGGCTGACACAGCTGACTATAGCATTCCTCCCTAACCATGAACCCCCATGGCTGACACAGCTGACTATAGCATTCCTCCCTAACCATGAACCCCCATGGCTGACACAGCTGACTATAGCATTCCTCCCTAACCATGAACCCCCATGGCTGACACAGCTGACTATAGCATTCCTCCCTAACCATGAACCCCCATGGCTGACACAGCTGACTATAGCATTCCTCCCTAACCATGAACCCCCATGGCTGACACAGCTGACTATAGCATTCCTCCCTAACCATGAACCCCCATGGCTGACACAGCTGACTATAGCATTCCTCCCTAACCATGAACCCCCATGGCTGACACAGCTGACTATAGTATTCCTCCCTAACCATGAACCCCCATGGCTGACACAGCTGACTGTAGTATCTCACCCTAACCCTGGACTTTCCCCTCCGATAAACAGTGGACTGTTGTTTCCCAACATTACCCTGAACTTCCCTCTTCATAAATCAGGGGACACTATTCCATCCAAACCCTGAAGCCCTTCCTCTAATACATCTGTGACTGGTGTGTCTCACACTAACTCTAAATTCCAGAACAGAGTTGACAATAGTAATCCACCACAACTCTCAACTTTCATCTCCAATAATACACACGGGAATACAGTATCTCACCCTACCCCTGAACCAACATCCCCAATACACATTGGACTCACCATGAATTTCCACTTCCAATACAAAACTGACTGCAGTATCCCACCCAAACACTGAACCGGCATGCACAGTTGACTGCAGAATCCCAATCCTAACCCCCTGAACTCTTTACTACCTCCAATTCACAACCACATGTGGTTACAGGAAGGCAAAAGTCCTAAAGTTTATCAATGTCCAGCCAAACCTATTCATAAATCATCTTTAAAGCCAGTAATTTCAAGATTTCAAAGAACTACTTCAACAGTAGTATTTCTCAATCAAGTGATAACAATTTGCACAACATGCAATATGGTGATCAATATTTGAGGATGGCTGTATTAATGTGAGTAGATGAGAACATGAAACAGTGCTCAACACCATTACACAGGCCAAGATACCAAGCTGGTATCACCTGCCCTGCCTCATCAACATCACCACCATCAGCCATCACCTTGGTAACCAGGTAAACTTTGTCAAACAACCCTTAGGGTAGACATAAGCCTGTCACATCACTCAAGCTTTTCTCCCCTGACATTTACAATTTTCAAACAATTTCTGGTGTTGATTTCACACAGATACAGACATCATACTGAGCAAATCAATATTTCACATTAAACTGGAACTCTATCATTTAATGTAAATGTAATTTACAAAATACAGTTACACACCAATTGTAGTAAAGCAATGTAAACCAAACAGTATGGGACCACTTTAGACCCGAGAAACATGAAACCATCCTATTCTGCCACAAACTGATACACTCTCATTAATATCGAACTTTACCTCAGGGAACCTAGTTAATCACTTAATGTGTTTCTACAGAAACAATACCAGTAATCATTCTAACAAGTCAACAAATGTATTACTAAACAAACTCCATCAAAAAATATCTGTTTAGCACAACCTCAACAGTTCAAATTCCAATACAATATCAACCACTGTACACATCCTACAGATACAATATCAACCACTGTACATCTCCTACAGATACAATATCAACCACTCTACACATCCTACAGATACGATATCAACCACTGTACATCTCCTACAGATACAATATCAACCACTGTACACATCCTACAGATATATTATCAACCACTGTACACATCTTACAGATACAATATCAACCACTGTACATCTCCTACAGATACAATATCAACCACTGTACACATCCTACAGATATATTATCAACCACTGTACACATCTTACAGATACAATATCAACCACTGTACATCTCCTACAGATACAATATCAACCACTGTACACATCCTACAGATATATTATCAACCACTGTACACATCCTACAGATACAATGTCAACCACTGTACATCTCCTACAGATACAATATCAACCACTGTACATCTCCTACAGATACGATGTCAACCACTGTACATCTCCTACAGATACAATATCAACCTCTGTACACATCCTACAGATACAATATCAACCACTGTACAGATCCTACAGATACAATATCAACCACTGTACATCTCCTACAGATACGATGTCAACCACTGTACATCTCCTACAGATACAATATCAACTACTGTACACATCCTACAGATACAGTATCAACCACTGTACACATCCTACAGATACAATATCAACCACTGTACATCTCCTACAGATACAATATCAACCACTGTACATCTCCTACAGATACAATATCAACCACTGTACATCTCCTACAGATACAATATCAACCACTGTACATCTCCTACAGATATATTATCAACCACTGTACACATCCTACAGATACAATATCAACCACTGTACACATCCTACGGATACAATATCAACCACTGTACACATCCTACGGATACAATATCAACCACTGTACATCTCCTACGGATACAATATCAACCACTGTACACATCTTACAGATACAATATCAACCACTGTACATCTCCTACAGATACAATATCAACCACTGTACATCTCCTACGGATACAATATCAACCACTGTACACATCCTACGGATACAATATCAACCACTGTACACATCCTACGGATACAATATCAACCACTGTACATCTCCTACGGATACAATATCAACCACTGTATATCTCCTACAGATACAATATCAACCACTGTACACATCCTACTGATACAATATCAACCACTGTACACATCCTACTGATACAATATCAACCACTGTACACATCCTACAGATACAATATCAACCACTGTACACATCCTACTGATACAATATCAACCACTGTACACATCCTACAGATACAATATTTACCACTGTACACATCCTACAGATTAAATGTCAACCACTGTACAAACGATGTCTTATAGTGTAAAAGCATGAAAGACAATATCAACATCTGTCAACTTAAACAAACAAGATTTCTAGAACATTGTCAATTAAAGATCCTAGTTACATTCCATCATGCTATCCCTTCAATTATAAAACCATCTGTCTTGGACTGCTTTTAATACTTAATTATGTAGTAAAGATTGTTTTTTGAGATTCCAGTATAGAAAAGATCTATTGTGTATGTACATCTGTGGAACACCTTTTTTCTCAAATATTTTCAACTGACACTTCTCTAAACCAGAAAGCTGAAGTATTACCAGAAAATAATTATGATCAACCTTACATGAAAAGAATGTCATCCAAATATGCCAACACTTAAAAAATAATGTAGATTTCTCAGTAAGTATAACAATCATATAAAGACATTTCTGTGTATCCATCACACTCCCCACTTATATCTTATGTAATCTAAACAGAACCATGTCTTACTTAAAGCACAGTCTATGACCTGCACCTTGACAAAAATATAATTTATGGATATGTATTCAAAACACAATCAATGATCTCTGCCTTTGTTCAACAAAGTGTATTCAGTCTGAAAATACTATGCTAATGTGATGCATGTTTTATTTATAGAAATTCCATTGTTTTAGGTACACATAGTCTGTTGTAAAATATCTGTTCAAGTCATTGTTGTTTTTCACTACCATAGATAAGTTTGTCAGAGTTATCTCCCTGAAGTGGGATAGTGTGCACATCGATAAATAGAAAGTTTGTCTATGTATCATACCATATTTTGACTGAAGGTAAAACTTACTCAGACCCAAAATGTGAATTGATTAATATTACATATGAAGGTAGATAACTCTTACTTGACTGTCACAGAGTCAGAACATATCAGTTGTTGATAGATCATGTGTCTTAGACAATTACACCAGGACTTTGTAACCTACCTAGCACAAAATTACAACATATTTCGTTGATGAAAGTTTCGTTTTAAAATGCCTTGTTGGTTTAATTCCTATGATAATAGAATAAGAATAGAACAATTCAAATTATGAGTAAAAAAAATGGCTTCCTGAATTTGTGATTTTTCAAGAACAAAATAATGTAATATTGCTCTGACTTGACAGATTGGGATCCAACACCCAGAATTTGTGTCTTATCAATCACAATATTTCTTCAAACTTTCATTGCTTTTGACAAAATGAAATAATTATATCAAAACTCAAAATTTCAGTACAATCAGAAATTGCTGAGAAAAAAAAATATGATATCTTACATTGAAATTTCAACTCAATTTGAATGATCCAAAATATTTGTGAATATTATTGTGAAACAATGCTTAAGTACAAACCTCTCAACAATCCAGTATATCTATTCTTGGGTATTCCCTCACTTTTTTGTTGTACTGTTACAAACAAATTCATTGCAGTTTTTACCATAGATAAATGTGATGTGTATTTTATGTGGGGGACAAAGCAAGAATTACTAAATTTTGTTTTATTAATACTGCAGCTGAATAAGAGATTGTACTCGGAAGGGTAAAGAATGACAAACCTAGACCACAAGTAATGTAGAGGTGTCAAGTACAAGAAATGTTATTTAAAAATAATGTTTCTCGGAGTTAAATATAACATTGAGGAATTTTGTTACAGAATATAACTAGATGAAATATGCAGCCTCATAAAGGACAGTATGTCTCTCAATTTTAAATGGTTTGACAAAGGCTACATTCAAAATGAATATTATATATAACATCAAAAATTACAATAATTTAATATTTTACTAGACAGTAAGGAAACAAGAGTATCAGTGAAAATGATGAATGCTCCCTGAAAATGACTTTATTGCACACAAAATTTTAACAATGGGCAATAATTCTGTAATTGAGGGGTTGCAGGCTGAGAATTTGGTGCACTGCACATTGTCTGCACATGATCAATGTATGCACCAAGTTTTGTTATCCTAGCTTTAAATACAAGCAATGTTAATTCAAGGTTGGACATGGTGGCAACTATTTGCTCCCCTAAGAATTACTTGGTATATATTTATAAATGAAAAATATAAGCAATACAGCATTAAGGCAGTCTACTAATTATGTCTGACAAACACTGTGTGTAAACTAGTCAATATCTCCTGGTTCAAATCTGCTGACCATTGGTCCATGACTGCATGCTGACCATTACAGCCCAGTTATGGCTGGTCCATGATGACATGCTGACCACTACAAGCCAGTCATTGCTGGGCCATATCTCCAGACACCTACAGCCCAGTCATTACTAGACCATGTCTGCCAACAACTACAGGTCTGGTATTGCTGGTCCATGACTGCATGCTGACCTCTACAGCCCAGTTACTGTTGGGCCTTGTCTGCTGACCACTACAGACTAGCTATTGCTGAGCCATATCACCTGACCACAACAGCCCAGTATGGATCAAATACTGCTGCACCCTGTGTACTGACCACTACAGGCCAGTTAATGCTTGGTCATGTCTGCTGACCACTACAAACAGGGTGTATACAGTCCAGTACATTAATTTTACTACAATACACACTGACCACTGTGGAGTTGTTTGG